TGACAAGATGAAAATTCTATAAAAGACAAATCTTGAAAAATCCATGGGCATCTTTAATCATGTTTTTATATAAATGAAAAAATAATGATAAAATATGAAAAAATAGAATTCTTACTAAATACGTTTACCATTTTTTTAAAGAAAAAAATTACTTTTTCCATTAATCGCAACACATTGTGAACACGAGTTTTTCGGGTTCAGATCTCTGTCATTTTGACATTTTTATTCACACATAAACCAAAAATTACCATCGTTTTGACAGGGTCCAACTACCTGTTAATGTGTTTAAATAAAATATAGCTTCAGTGATGCCTGTCGGGTACTGAAACCACTGAAACTGTATTTTTAAACAGTGTGTGAATTATTATTTAAACACTTTAAGCTTGAGCACACCTTCGACCACCTCACTAATGGAAATAAAGTACTCCGTCCTTGAATTAGCACAAAAATTGAAATGTCATTATTACAACTTACAGCCACTAATAACTTATTCATCGACATGACATCACAACAATATCCGCAAATTAGAACTAACAAAAGCCGACAACGCAAATTAGTTATCTCCACAGAAGCAGCGATACCTCAAAGAACCAATTTAGTCCCAAACGGAAAAATCGATCCGAAATTCAAACAAATCCGAACGAATCGCCGATGAATCACCATATTCGTAGAAAGTCGAATTCGCGAGGAACCCTTGCACTCCGAGCCGTAGGCGTGGAAAAACGGTCACATTTAAACAATTCCTTTTCGAGCTTTGTCATTTCTATTTGCGAAATAAATTCCGACGAGGTCAAACGAAAAGCGTAATTGAATCGTTGCACTTCGCCAAAGCTGGCAAGAGCGTGCTTTTGACTCAGACGTCGAAAAAAGATAATCAAGCGTGAGATAGCGACTGCTTAATTTAATTATACCTACAGCTAAAATGCCACAATAACCGTTGTGAAAAAAGACAAATCATAACAGCGATAGCGAAACCGGACTTGGGCGGCAGAAAAACTTGTAGACATTATTTATGACGGTATTTCTGTATTCCGATTTTAAAAGAGCTGATTTAATGGGGAAATACTTGCACTTTTATTGAGTCGCCGAGTGTTTTCATTAACCTGGACGGGAGACGGGAATTTCATTTGAGCTGGTACGGGGAAAAATGCGGTAAGTGCTATTTTGCAAAGTAGCGGAAAATAATTGTATTGATGTAATAATGGTCGTGAGCGAAACTGAGTCGCTTCGTAAAACAAACGCATGAGGTGATGAGATTTTCCCTGGAACGCTGAATGATGTGGAATCGCGGAAAAATTTACCGGTCGAAGTACTTAGTCGTAAAATGACAAATTAGAAATTGCAACGACACAAAAATTAAATCAAATTGTAGCGATCCAATTTTGTACCGCATACTTTAGGTGCGACTCTTACTACAGAGGAAAATCTTGTGCCGCTTCTTGTCCAAAGTGTTCCTAACTATATCTCAAATAATGGAGGGTTTTCATTCTGTATGTCCAGAATAGGCACTTTATTGCTGAAAATTATCGTAGTAACTGTATGTTTGGCTGTAGTACTTCAAAACGACATTTTTAAAATTTTCAAAGTTATCTATTTTCTCTGTTTAGTTAACTTAACAATGTAAAGGCAGTCATGGAAACGAGGTTTTCCTTTTGCATTTACTCTATATGACACAAAAAAAATATCAATAAATTTGATCCAACCTTGGTCGTACTTTTACTGAACCGCCTTCGTACATTTTTAAATTTGACCAAAATTTAATTTTTCATACAAAAGGTGAAATAATGGGGACTTTGAACAAAAAAAAAACTTAAAATGGGAATAGAATTAATTTATAGAAAATGGAATTAGTCTCAATTAAAAAAAAAATTGTCTTTAAACATTTGTAAAAAGTATAACGTTACACAGCAGAATATATTTGATTTTTCATAACACAGATTTTTTTAATTTCAGGAACAGGGCCATAAAATGAACGTAATTGCGAAAAAACCGAAAACAAAAAGACGAGAACCAAAAATAATAAAATAATACATACTTGCTGCCTCTCCTGAGAAAATTTTTTTTTTTGCTCTGCCTGTATAACTTTTTTGAAAAATGAAAACGTCTTGAGTGAATAAAATTGTGTTTTAAAAAGTTTCTATAGTGTATGTCAATTGAAAAAATTTATAGAAAATAAGGAAAATAGAGCTAATAATATGTAACAGTTGTAACTATAATAAACAACAAAAACAATAAAACATTAACTGATATAAGTTGACGGTTGAAATACCGGATCACCATTAATGATTGAAATAAATTTTTGGGTTGGCGATTCTGAATTATTGGCAGCAGTGTAGGCATGTCAGTTCACAGTTGTCAGTTTGACATGAGTACGCTTAAAGAACCAATTAGAAGATGGCAGCTACTGAATTGGTGCCCAAAATTTCAATTTTACGTCAGGTACGCCGTCATAAAATGTTGCCAACTTGACAAAAAAAAATACAAACTGTACCTTGATTTTTTTTTCACGTTAACATCCACTAAACTGTGGATTTTAAAACTGAGTTGCAATTAGAAAAAATCCTTACATTCTCTATTTTAAAAGATTTGACGTGAGGTGCTACGTGATAGGTAGTTCCATAAATAAAAAGTGGTGAGGTATAACTAAAAAAATTATTTGTCTTACGAAGATGGCTGCTAGGCACAGGAATCGTTTTTCTTTTCTTTTCCGAAAAAGTGGGATCATTACAAAAATAGTAATGTTGGACGCAATTATCAATTTTAACAGTTTTTGTCAAAACATACAACTTCGCAATGTAATAACATTCAACATGCTCTAAGTTATGATTTTCCGCTCAATTAACGTCACAAGTGTAAACACGGGTTAATTTGTTTATTAAAGTAGCTTTTATTTATCTGAAAAAATATATAGTGTTCTATTTGAAAAATGAAAAAAATACTTTTAAATTATAGGGCCGTAGTTAATATAAAAAAAGCTGGAATATATTCAAGTAACAAAACTTATTAATTTTACACAATCTTTGTTTTTTTTTTAATTCGCAATTCTAGATTTATTACACTGCAGTAAATAAACACTAAATGAATGATACAGTAAAAATGGTATCTTCATGGTAGGAAGTGGTTTTTGTTTAATTTCAAATTTTAGTTCTTATATGATGACAGTAGTTTGCATAGGTTGCAATACATATATCTACATAATTAAAATAACTCACATATATGTAATATCTGACCTGACATTTTTTTACATTTCTGATCTTTTTCAGTAGATACAATTATGAACTTAGTAACAGAGACCAATGATTTACATTTTCTACAATCTACAATAAAACTTGACAATTTGGCATTTAATGTTAATCTCTGAAATTTTACTTGTATCAAAAAATAAAAAGAAAATGCAAATAGTTTTTATTTTCTAGCAGGTGCAATATGTGTTTTTTGGAACATATTAATTATTCATATTATTACATTAATTTTAACCTTCTAGGTGTATTTTCAAAGCATAATTTGCAAAATAACTACACAGCATTTTCTTCACCCCCAAACGAGTTGATATGGAAATTGTTATCTTTCAAGGTTCAAGAAGCGGTGAAGAAAATATCGTATAACCTGTATCTAAATCATTGTGTTTTTTTATATTCTTTATATTTATAACTTTTGTCTTTGTCGTTGTAGGCATCATTACTAAGAAATAGATCTGTTGATACAAATTCATGTGAAATTCATAGTTTCGGAGATAATAATGACTTAAAATTTAATTTTTAGTTAATTTTCTTCCAGTTTTTTAATGCGAACTTCAATTTATGCGAAATTTTTAAATCTTCTGGTAAAAATTAATATTGTAGGGGAGCTGATTTTCATAGCTACGTACATTATGTATTGTTAACCGATTGTAAGATGCCAAATATGGATGAAAAGAAAACTGGAACAAGAATTTAGTGCCAACTATCCCTGATCTCCCCTATCTACTCTTTCCGTTAATTCTATAATTTTAGAATTTTATGAATAGCGTCCTAAAACCAATATTTTTCAAATTTTAAGGAGTTTTCAACACTAAAAATAAGATTTAAATAGTTCTAAATGAAAAATATAACATCAAAAAATCGTAAAAGATATTTTACTTCCAGTTCTATTTAAAATTCAAATTTATGAGTTTTCAGTATGTCGGTTGTTATAATATACAGGGTGTCCATACGGTATGGTAAAAATTAGTTCCAATATTCAGAAATGACATTATATGACAAATTTGAAATTTTCTACTTAGATCTATGAAAAGTAGTGACGTCGTCGACATTTTTTGAACACTATTTTTTAAGCTTATCTTTTATTAATATAGTGAAAGTGATAGAATTTGAGAAACACACTCTGATAATCGAATGATTTTCATACAAACTATATTTCAGCATAGTTATGACGTCACCCACATTTTTTAACTACTCAAATATATTTTTCGGTGTCTATTTTAAAATAGTGCTAAAAGTGGGCACACTTGTGTCATGTTACATTCTTATTCTATTTAAAATTTATCTATAAAACGTAGGCCATATATAGAAACGGCCTACAACTTTGAGCTGCGTCAGTTTTTTGTATTTTCACCACATTTTCAACAATGTCGTCAAGTTAAGTAAAAACCTAAACTCTTTTCATCATTTAAAAAGATATTAACGTCAACTTTGACAGTGCCAACCACAAGTCAATATTTTTTCGTCGAATTTAACCCGCATTTTTTTGTACACGCTGTAACCATCGTAGTGTCCTGTGATCTTAAAACAAATTTAAAATAACAACAGGCACTAAATCATATTTACGATTCTCAAGAATGTTATTTATTGTAAACACTAATAATATCTTATTATGTATTTATTCCTCATGACAATATAATTCAGAAAGCCATAAATTACGTACATAATAAATAGAAACGTTTTTGTGAACCCATTTTTTTTCAGAAATAAGAAAAATAACCACTTTACGACCTTTTCACAAGTTAAGTACCATGAACCTACCTGAACTGGGTCTGTCGCTGTACCTCGTACAATAAACCCACGCCGGCCACAACATCGGCTGGGCTTCAGTCTTCTTCTCGGGTTCACTCTTACTCAAATCCACCGGTCCTTTCGCCTCCTCCACCTCCGGCACCACCTTCTTCGGCTTGCACTTCCTTATGTTAATCGGGTCCGTGATCCTCCTGCCGAAATCGGCCTTCAGGATATTGTCGATCGAGAACTTCAAACTACCCCCGTTGGCGTCGTTGTTGTTGCCCTGCAGCTTCTGGTTGAAGAAGTTCTCCGGCGACGCCGAGTTTCGGAACTCCGGCTCCCGCTCCGGCTTCGTGTACGCAACGAAGGGCGAGCCCGGAAACGATTTTGTACTCGAGGGACTGCTCAATCTGGGACTAGAAGGGCTCTTCCTGCTGGGGTCCAGCGTGCTGTTCGTGATCTGCGAGATCGCGTTGAGGTGGCTCTCGATGTTCTTGAAGGTGAGCGGCGCCTCCTCCACCGGGTTCTCGTTGCCGACGGACAGCACCGTGTCGTCGCTGCTGCAGCTGTTCTGGTCCAGGAGGTTGGGGGACTCCCGGTCGAAGTGGTCGCTGGAGTCCATGGACACCGACCCGTCGTGGGCGCTATCCAGGTTCTGCCGGGAAAAGTGGTGCGGTTGGGGGACCATGTTGGTAGTCACGGCCGCCATCTTTACCCTTACAACGACATCGTCGTCGACACTCACCCACTTATCGGTTTATTTTTTTTAAACACGTATTTTTAATTCACGTTTGTTTAGTTTTCTACTGCGGTCAGTGTGCAGGGTTAGACGGGTCGATCTACACACCACGAGCTACCACGGTATTCTGACGTTTGGTCGCTGGGTCGGGGCGTGGCTTGAGGCGAGGGTGGGGCGATTGAGGTGTGGCCTGGCGAGGAAACGAATCACGGCGGCGAAAATGAATGTTCTGGTTGAATTTGACATGTTTTATGGGTTATTTATAGTCGCAACCGCAAAGTGGGAGATTATGTAGACGGGCTGGAAGCCTGGACACGCACATTTCGGGAATATTCGTGTTGCTGTTTATTCTTTGGATTAGCAGGATCTGGATTTTTTTTCACTGGATGATGTCTTGTTTGGCTATTGATCGATTTACATAGACGCTAATTGAAAAATTTACACGAAACGAAGTTTGTTTTGTTTCATTGTTGCAATTTATTTTGCTTATTTTCGACGGTTTTCACATCCAACTATGTGGTGTTGAATCCGACAAAAAAATAACAAAAGGTTTTGCTTTTTCGTCTGCTTGGTCGAAAATTAGTCCCAGGAATGTTCAAACCGTTTTTAATAAGGTACTAACAATTCTAAAATTGTCCGTATTCTTTAAGTGGAAACAAAATTTGGAAGATCTTTTATTAAAAAAAAAATAAATAAATTATAGAAAATTTTCTAGGACCCAATAGTCACCAAGTACACAAATAGTGATAGTTTTTAACTTTTTGGAAAGTTCTATGAGTATTTTGTTAAGGTAGCTAACATTTTAAAATCATCTTTGAAAATTAAATACCTCAAACATAAAATTCTTAAAAATTTGTCATAATTTCTAAAATTGTTCATTAAAAAATATATATATATATATAGATAGGCACTTGTAGGGTTATGTACTTATATTGAGCAAAATCTTACATTTTTCCTAATTTTCAGTGTTAGAATTTTTAATTTTAAAAATTTTATTTTGTCTTCCTATTTTAAAATGTTCAACAGTCCAAATCTAATTTGTTGCAGTTTTTAAGTACACACAATTTTCAAATTATTTTCATAATTATTTCCTTAAAAAAAAATCACAATTTTTTACGCAAAATATCTACCTACTTATTTTCCGCATTAAAGAAATAAAGCTTTATTCCCACACAAAGTGCGAATTTTCCACAGCTTTAACCAGTTTATGTAATCGCACGAGTGTGATAATATGCATTGACCCACATGTAACACAAAAAAAATATCTCAAACTTCAAAATGTATTTAAACTCATACTAATTTTTATAATAAACAATGCGATAATAAGTGAGTTAAATGAAATTATCACTATGACCATAGTGCGAAATTTGCTCACAGCGAGGCGTTAGCCGAGTCGTGATAATAATGCGTTGACCTACAAAATTTATCTACGAGCTGAAATTTGTTTAATTTGTTGTCTTTGATAATATTACACTTGTATTTTTACAATGTTGTGATATTATTACGTATTTTAAAAAGTGGGATAATTTAAGTTTATCTCACTGTGTAAAATTGAAATTAAAAATCAATTATAATATTAGTTTTTCTGGAATAGTCACAGTTTTTTTCCAGAAAGCACAATTTTGTGGGATTTTTTGAAACTGAACCCTAAATAAAACAGAAATTGAGCTTTTTGTGAAACAGAAGAGAATATCCAATAAAAAATCCATTAAAAGATTTTAATGTCTCCTGCATAACTTACTGTGTACTGTATTCCAATAAATTTTCTTCGTTAACATCAAAAGAAACATCTGTGATGACATAAAACAAAGAAAATTCCCCCACGTTATTTATCGAAGTGAGTCATGAAAATGTTGAAACATTTATCAAAGAACAAATTTCGTTAAAAGCGTGTAGAAAACGTGATTTAAACATAGTGCAACTTTAGCATTAACAGTAATAACATCAAGGAAGTATATATTTAGGAATAGTAATATTATGGCACTAAAGTTTGAACTAAATAGGTTCAAGTACCACGTTATATATTTAAAATTAGTTTCGCATTCTTAGCGTCAAGATAAATAGCATTTATCCATACGGAAGTACGTTATGTAATGATATGCCTCTGATATAATTTCGACTTTATCGTTACAACCGTACGTAACCCGTACTTTATACACCATTGTTCACACTTTTTTTTCTCTGACCATTCCACAATTTTTAAAAAATTTCTAGCCAACGGTCCAGTTTGGCCCTGTTCGTGCCCCGTCGTCCTACCAGCACACAAAAATAAAGCTGTTCGCACAACGTTTATCCTGAACAGCCAGCCATCAGCCGCACCAGCGTCCATGATAAATTACCTTATCTAATTTCCACATCAACACATGTCAAATTAGAGAATCAACAGCTACATGTTAACATTACGACACGGAGTGAATTCGTGTCAGGAATGAATCCTCGATCAAATTCGTTCGACGAGTCGAAAATAAAATTTTGAAAAATCACCTTGCCGTCGGCAGACGCCTTCCGAGAAATGCGAGTGCATTCGCCGTCACAACACGAAGAAGAATTCCATCGGACGCGTCTTTAAAAAGCAGCGAGACTCGATGATGGTGCGATTAAAGAAACCGAAGGTAGTTAGCAGGATCTATAAGTAGATAGTCGGGAAAATTTGCGTCATTATGGTAATTGGATGCTTTAAACGGCCTTAATTAATAACGCTTTTAAATTTTGCGCCTCGATGCTGGATCATGGGATTCGAATAACTTAATTTTAAATGGGGGGTAATGGGGGGTTTTGTGGCCGTGGGGGAGCGGTTGTGGTAGTTTTTGTTTTTATTGGGGAGAATTACCTTTGGGTGTTATTGAAATTAGCAGGTTTTTAAAGAATTTGTGGTTCGCCAGTGATCAGGATATAGGTCAGGTCAGGCCAAGTCAGGTCAGATCAGGTTAAGTTCGCTCGGATCAGATTTGATCAGAGTAAATTAAATCAGGAAAGTCAGGTCAGGTCATGTTAGATCAAGTCAAGCTAGAACTTTTTTAAGGTGTAAAAATATACCTACAATAATTAAAAAAAAAACACACTATATATTTTTAAATATTCTCATTGGGTTTGTTGTAGGCTATATAACCAAAGTTTATTTTTGAAATTCCGATGCAACGTTGCCAAGTTATTCGAAGTTTCTTCAATGCTTTTGATATTGCAAGGGCTCCTAAAAATAAACACAATAATAGGGCTATTTTTATAACCTGTCTTAAAATATTTTAATGAAGAGATGAACAGAGATGCGCGATTTGTTGCGATATTAATGGAGTGTTTATAAAAAATTCTAAAATATAATTTTCAAAAATGGATATTTAATTTTTTTTTAAATACAGCATTTTGTACTCTATTTTTTGTTCTCTTTCTTTCGATGTCGGTAAAAAAATAAAAAAGTGAAAATTTTCAGAAACTATTTTAAACAGGTATGAGAAAAAGAATAAAAAGCAGAGTAAGATGCAGTAATAAAATAAATACGTATTCAATTTGAAAAAAAAAAAAAATTATAGACACTCTGTATATTTTAGACTCACATTAATTCACACCATATAATAAAGCACGTACCTCTATTTATTTTTCCGTAGCATAGTGTAACACGGGTTTTAAAAATAATCTTTTTGAGACTTTTTTACGAACATTTGCACTGCTAAAAAATTTCAAGAAAATTGGAGTCACGTGGCAACGTCGCATTAGAAGTTCAAAAATAAACTATGTCTACTTATCAACCCTAAGAAGAGACCAATGAGAAAATGTAAAAATATGAGGGACGTAGATTTAAATAAACTAAGTCGTGTGTTATATCACAAAAAAATAACACACTATACCGGGTGTCTCAAAAATGCCGGCTTAACTCTCCGCTACCCTCTGTCTGGGAAAAATAGTAAAAAAATCCTTCTCAAATTTTGGTGGAGTTGTAATGATTTTAAAATTGGTTCTTTTGCTACGTTTAACAACTAAACAACACATTCCTGTTTTTGAGTTAATTTTGGAACCCCGTTTTTTTTTTTGGAAAATTTAACACAATTTTGAGGTTCTAGGTATTCCTGCTTGGAAAGAACATATTTAATTAAATTTCTTGGAGGATACGTCATTTACTAAAATCAGTCTTATCTTAGCAGGTAATAGCCCCACCCACCCGCCCTATCTTTTCTTAGAGAGTATCTCATTTGCCAAAATCAGCCTTATTTTAGCAGATACTAACCCCGCCCACCCGTCCTCTATTTTCTTAGAGGGATCTCATTTGCCAAAATCAGTCTTATCTTAGCAGGTATTAGCCCTGTAAAAAAATAAAGGGCGAGTGGGTGGGGCTAGTGCTTGCCAAGGTAAGGCTGATATTGCCGAATGATATACCCTCTACCCTTCATATTTTTAGAGAGTAGGTCATTTGCAAATATTAGTCTTATCTTAGCAGGTACTAGCCCCGCCCACCCACCCTCTCTTAGAGGATATCTTACTCAAGAGTAAATCCGACATTTTCCAGATACAAAAAAATTAAAAATTAAGGAGATGTCGAGGAACGCGTGTGTTAGTGACTCGCCCTGTATAAGTAAAATAATTAAATAATACTTCTTTCTCGTGTTCTTGTGTTGAAACTGGTAAATTTTTATAATAATTTAGTCTTCATAAGATTAATTGTTAACTATACATACGATATATGTTTAGTTATATTTTTGGGTAAACAGTGATATAAACTGATGAAAATATTTGTGTAAAATGTAATATTAAAATACAAAACTCTTTTGGTAACGAGAAAAAAAAACTGTGGGCTTTACATAAACCATGGGTGAATTAATGTCAGTTTTTTTTAACTACAATTGACAACAATCAAAATTGAAAAAGATTGTTTTAAGATTCATAATTCTGTATACGACATCCGTAGATTCTATACCTATCTATTCGAATTTATAAACAAAAATTTTGTATCACATATGTTTATATTGACCAGAGTTACGTAAGTTTTTTTTGGTCTTGAAATTATAACTAAATCATAAAATAATATTAAAGAGTTAGTACATATCTTAATAAACTGGATATCAAAAGACAAGTTTCACAATAAGAAATAAAAAAATCGCCTAAGTTTAAAAAAAAATGAGAAAAACGAAAATTCAAAATCAAATCGTCCTGTATAACTAGGCTACAAAAACTAGATTAAAATCACAGATCTCCCTTTTAAAAATGGCGGCAGAGTAAAATTTTAAATATGGCTGTTCTTGTTAAAAAAAGTAAGAGGCTCGGACTAACTACCATACACATTTTTTTCCTCTACAAACAAGCGGAAATTTTTATAATTGTCATGATTGTGGACGTATTGTCAGTCGTAAATAGGACTTCGGTGATGAAGCTTAACGTTAGATTTTATTGTACAATAAATTCGCATCATAAAGACTTGAACCTGTCTCAGGTGGGTTTTCATTTTTGTCTCTAGGGAGACTTTGATTTCATGATTTCACCGTAGTATTATCTTGGGTCCATTCTGATGATGTCTTTTTCATCCACTGAGATTTAATTAGTTATCCTAGGAAGAGAAGTCGTCGAAGGTATAACACCATATGGGCCAAAAAATGTCTCTGACTTCATTCCTTGGTGCTTTCCTCTTTCGGTGCTTCCATGCCCCAGCATCCACGCTGAAGCCGCCGTCCCGAGCTTACATCCTCATCAGGCAGCACGTTGTTTGAAAGCGTCACGGTGTTGCAACAGTAAATGCCCATTAATGCAATTATGCAAGCTCATAATGCAACACAATGACATCTTTATAGCCGTTCGAACAAACTTCATCCATATAAGTTCCCCGGACGCTATCTTGGAACGATTTACGCTCAGATTAGCCCATAACGCAATTAAAAACTCTCACCATAAGAATTCCGGTTGCAATAATCGCCGCTTTATAATCTGCTTACAGTTAAAAACAAAAAAACGCTCGTTCCTGATAGTTTCCGAGAAAAATCGTCCGAGCGTTCTCTATTGCCGTAATTTCATCTGTCGTTTCATTAATTAAAACGGCACAAGGTCCGCTTTTTCTGCAAACTTTTGCCTTCAAAGAAACTCGTTTATGGCGCTGGTGCTCCTTGTATTTTTGTTATTTTACGGCTTCTGCGAAGATTTGACGCAATAATCTTTTAAATGACTTGTGTGTGCAGCTAAGTGCGGCTTGATTTGACGGTGGTGCGTTTTAGATTGGGTGCTTTTGTCCACGAAAACGGTTTGATGTTGCCAAGGGAACATGATAATTTCATGGGCATGGGGGGGCTCCGGACTTCATTAAGCGGAAATCTTGGACGTATTGTGAAGTGTCAAAGCGGGCAGCTGCTGGCGGACAAGACCAAAAAGGAAACATGCGAAAGGACAGTGGACATTCCATGACCACAGAACGATTTTAAACATTTTCTGAACCGAAGATTGCTTGTTGTTGCTAAAATTCACGTCTTATCTGTCGAAGTGGACCAAACAAAGGTTATATTTTTCAAATTTCAACCAATGACAGGAGTTTAATGATACAAAAAAAAAAAACAAAAACCTGTAATTGGTCAATCTTTTGGCAAAAATTCAAGTATTATCCTCCTTAGAAGCACAAATGAAAATTTACCGAAAACTAAATTGCTTTAAATAGATATTTTTTGTAAAATAATATTTTTTGGCACTTTGACTTGCTCAGTTTTTTGCAGTCGATCACGAAAATTATGGTTGTTATGTAGAGCAAAGTGTGTTCTTTTACTTAATGTAACAGCTATTTAAAAATAAAGGACAGCCCACACTATAATTAAAATAATTACAAAGCTACTTAGTGAAGTTATTAAAACGTAATGGGAGTTATTTAACTGACGTCTTTAATATTCTTGTACGATCGTGTTTGTAATAAATTTAATTACTGTTTACAAGATGCACTTTGATGTCTCAGGTGTTTTCATTTTTTTACCTTTGATGTTTAATTTCTGTTCTCTTCAGTTTTATTTTTCTTTCAGTGCTTTTTTGTTTTAACAGAAATATATATGATAAAAAAAAATCCTATTGAAACTTTGCTACTCTAGCTGAATCAATCTGACAGTAGAACCTAATGTTGTGAATACAAAAAAAAAGTATAAGATGCTATATTTAAAAATCATAAAAATAAAATTAAATAAAAGAAATTTTATTTTAATTATTACAGTAATTCCAACCTGTAACAAAAAACCTATGTAGGTAGCAATTATTTTAAACTCACCTTTATACTTATTAACCTATCTAAATTTGCACTTAGTTTTTAAAAAATACTAGTCACAAACCGTTTGATGTTAACTGGAAAAATCTCAGATTTAAATATACAGTGTATCCAGAAACAGAAGAATTTGAAAAAAAAATCGAAAACAATATTTGTCAAACTTGAAAAACAAAAACTTGATTTCTGAGTCGTTTCAGCGTATGATCGGGCTAGTTGTGCGTCATAAGTTTGAAAAAGAAATAAAAAAATATTTTTTTAAATTTCGTGGAACTTAGTTTACCTACGCAGTTTGTCAAAGTATTTTTTTAATTGATTTAGAAATGTTAAGAACGTAAAAATATCAATTCCTTTTCAGTTTTTTATGCCATTGTTTTTTTTTTCATTTTAATGAACCCATATATACTACCAAACGCATGCAGAATGAACCTTATCTTGGTTCTGACTATTGGAATGACCCATTTAAGGAAATTATAACGTAAACGTCCACTTTAATGTAAGAAATATTCTAAATAAGCACCCAGTGAACTTTTTTCTTAAAGCAGCTGTCATCACTTCTGCACTAATAGTATGTTGGTACCTGTATCTCTTAACCAACCTCATACTACATATTTCAGCGCATTCAGAAGCACATCAGTTACAAAAACATCTCAGCGTCCCTCCTCAACCCTTAATTAAACCATTATAGCGAAAAATGCGCCCCCCGACCCATCCGAGCCGTAATTCCCATCGCAACATGTTTATGTAAATCCGAAACGCAGCCGCTTCCAACAGCATTCGCCATAACCCATAACAAATCGTCCAGAAACTAAGCCGTACAAGTACAAAGCAACGCCAATATATCAATCCGCAAGCTTGTATTTTTAATAAATCTCAACATACTAACCGAATTGACACCTCTCCCACTCCGACCACTCCGGCTCCGCCCATTTCCCCCTTCCGCCGTCTCCCCACCACTTTACTTGCCCCGCCCCTTCGCTGGGCGGGGCGTGAGAACCAATCACTGCAGCGACGTGTGTGGTCCTCAGATCTTCATTACATCTTCTGTTGCCAATTTAACGATTCGAAACGCGGTAGGCGATGGATGCGGCATTTACCAGAGTGTTGGAGAGAGAGAGGGAGCATGCGGCTAAATTCAACGTAATTAAAGCGATTGTATGTGTAAATTTGATATTTTCTTATTACCATTCATAGAAAGGCCATCCATCATGGGCGCAATTACGGGGTAATGGGACGCCTTGTGTGGCGAGATATCTTCTTCATGGTGGGTTTGCTGGGGCCCTTCGTCGCAATTACTCCCACCTAGGCGCAATTTTAAGCAAACGCCAGCGACGGTGCGCCGAAGACAAATTAAAAAGTTCTTAATTGAACATTCTTTCATTTGGGAAGACAAGTTAAGGAGGGTTCTCTCTTAAAAACGCTCCGACTCTAAACTTAATTAATCACTCGGAAGGGATCTACAATCTCCTCACGTTCGCTACAAATTGATATTTACACCCTGAGAGTATGCAACCAATTATTCGCCGTGAACGCGCGAATTTATGGGGCGCGGGGGCGGGGGCGGCGTGTTCATTTCCTGGGAGCTGTGATAAAAAAAGAATTTAATTAAAATTTCAAGAGTAATAAAAAAAGTGGGATACAATTTCTTTCGGAGCGATACTTTAATCAAGTAGCTGTTGGATAAATTGCTTTGTTCCCTTTCTTGAAATTATTACGTCACGTACGGCGTTTTTTCCTGGACGCTTTAATTTTCCGGGGAAATTGCTTTCTTTATTGCCTCGCGCTTTTTTCGTGAGAGAATCGCCACTCAACTTCAGAGTCGTTGACGCGCGAATTAAAGCCTTAAGATGACAGAGGGCGCCCGAACCTACAACAAATGCAATGAGATACAGCGAACTGTAATTTAAGCGTTAAATTTCATAATGTTTTTTAATAATTAAACATTTTTGATATTTATTATAAGTAATTTCTAATATTTTTTAAAACTACATTGTGTTACAATTATGTTGCAGGTTTCTCTCTGTTGTAGGGCAGTCGTTCATAAAGTAGTTTCACTATATGTAGTTAGGCTAAAAAAATCTTTTTCCAGTAAGAAAAAATGTTCTGAGGTGGTAAAATAGGCAACATAAAAAAACGACAAACAAAAAGTCGACAAAAAAGGCAACAACAAGGAAAACTAGCATATAGGCAGCCCAGTTTACACAGTTGCGGTTGTTCAAGTGATGATATCTTCTGAATATCAATAATGTCGAAGTCAAATTTAAAAGATGACTTATTTATGGTAAAGCGATTAAACATCGCAATATATGTTATCTCTAGTTGGCTCATCAATTTTCCCTTATCAAAGCTACAAAAACGCATGCACAACAATTCTTTATTTTATCGTAATACTTAAATAAAACCCCTCGTAGACGAATTTAGATAACAAAATCATTAATAATAAAACAAAGAATGAAATTAGTATTGCCTAGTGACGTTATATTGAACCACCCTCGTAGGAACACTTGACTTTAAGGTCAAACAACCCCAACGCCCCTAACCTAACTTTCTAGGTAAAAGTTGACAGCCGCCAACCAACGACCCATTCAGGGCCACTCGCCCTTTTATTTCCGATGGATAAGCGACGATGAAGGTCTGTTCGAGTCACCCCGTCGATTTCCAAGGTAATTTTGACCATATTGCTGTATTCACGCGTCGTCGGAGCGATAACTGATAATATCAAATTTCAGCCCCAGACTCGACACCAAACACTGCAGGTTCCCACTCGTGAAGCAACATGAAGTCCAAACGAAAGATATTTGTTTACACAATACTTATTTTATCGTTTATCTTTTACATAATCATGTGTATGCAAATTTCAAATACGGAAGGTGAGCCAAATTCGGGACATACTATAGGTACGCTTTGGTTTTGTTGCAGCTTTTATGTAGTTTCTAAGTTGTTACTGTTTGGTTGTACTTTGCACAAGAAGGGACAGCGAACGGCGCTGCTTTGTAGACGAAAATCGCAGTCCGAAGTGGTTTTGATTTACGTTGTGTTTGGTTGATGCTTGCGGCTTTTTCTCGTTCCAAGTGACGTTGTTTACGCGGCGAAACACATAAGTAGAGTTAGATTTGTACAAATTAACACCCCGTTCTAAAAATAGTCCGAAAACATTTTGGTTTGGAGTTGGCTACAACAACGATTCAGAATGTTTTCCACGATTGTGTTTGAATTGTTTAGTTTTGTGACGTTGATTATACTTTGGTTTGTTCATCTAGCTTCTGTGGAGGGCTGGGGCTACAACACGACGCGGGATACTAGTCAGTACATTTTAAACAACAATTTGAGCGCACACATTTTTCCGGAGCACTTCTGTGATCATGACTCATTTCTGCTTGTAATGGTGTGTTCGGGACCTTCCAACGTCGAGGCGAGAAATGCAATACGAGAGACATGGGGTGATAAACGAAATTCGAATAATGTGTCCTTATTTTTTTTACTAGGCGAAACCATGAATAGTTCACTGCAGGTAAATTTCAATATTGTGCAACACTTTCGGGATTATTGTTTTGTGTTCTAGAATGATATAGTGGCGGAGAGCAACAAATACGGAGACATAATTGAGGAACGCTTTGTAGATTCTTACAACAATCTCACTTTGAAGTCTATTGTTATGTTGAAGTTAGTTAGTAATTATTGTGCCAACTCTACGAAATATTTACTGAAGATTGACGACGACATGTTCGTCAACATGCATCTCATTGTGAAGATGCTTATGGGTAGAAATAGCACGACAGATTTGCTCATGGGGAAACTGATCTGCGGAGCAAGGCCCATCAAAGACACCAGCAGCAAGTGGTTAGTGTCCAGGTGTTTTATTGCGATTGGTCAGAAACTATAATAAAAATTGACGTTAATCGCGAGATCGAAAAAAGTTGACTGTGAATGAAAAACTTTAACAAATTGTTTTTTCGATCTGGCTGTATATTATTTTTGAAACGTCAAGGACACACGCAATTCAAAAGTTTACTATTAACAGTGTAGTTTAGCATTTTCTTAAATTTAATCAATTTAATGACAAGATTCGATTTAAAAACTTGATTAGTGACCACTAATTAGAATCTTTAAAAAAAAAAAGAAGAGTGCGTCGACCCAGGGACGCACGGATGGAGTTTTAACTCTACGGTGTCAATTTATATAAATTAAACATGTCTACGCGGCGAGTCATTAATTTTCTCTTAAAAAATAATAAAAACCAAAAATATTTTGCATTTGTATTTTTTGACAAAATGATAAATATCCATGTATTGTCAATGCATTCTTTTTATAAAATATACTTTTTTTATTTATTTATCATATAGAAATATAATTAATTAACATAATAATAATATAAAAAAAAAGTACAATGTGTAATTTACCAACTAAAGTAACATAAATATTTACATTACACACATTACACTACAAATTTTTCTCTCTCTATAGCGCGGCGTTACATGCCTGTTCAGACTCAGTTCAAACCGGTCTCGGTGTCTTCGACACCGACACCATCCTATTCCGGCGCGCGTGTTCTAATACGAAAACAAAGGAGTTAAAACTCCGAAAACTAAAACATTACTACACTGGAAAGTTGTGATCTTCGTAATTGAGATTGTTTTTGAGGAAACCGTGTTTATTTTCGTGTAAAATTCTAGGTACTCTCCGCGCTACATGTACTCGGGCAGAGTGTACCCCAACTACCTCTCCGGCACCGGCTACGTGATGTCCGTCGACGTGGCCGAGAAGCTGTACAAGGCGGCGCTGCAAACACCAATTTTCCACCTGGAGGACGTATACATAACCGGGATTTGCGCAAAGAAGGCCCGAGTCAGGCCCCACAACAACTCGCTATTCACATATCAAAAGTTAAACTACGACTTGTGTCTCTTCATGAAGCTGTACACGGCTCACCGCTTCACCCCCGTCGACATCCGCAAAACGTACAATTTATTGAAAGACAACAACGTGACGAGGGAATGCCTCACGCAGAAGAACAGCTTCAACGTCAACCACTGGATAATGAACAACATAATTAAAGTTAATAAAACTTATCGTAAGAGTAAGTGTGAATAGGTTTCTATTTTCCTTTCGAGAATTGTGATAATTAGTGCATTATAAATTGTATTTTTTACGCTTTCTACGGATCTAGTGCCAAAGTATTCGACTAGTTCACAAACGTTTATATTTATTACGGGGGCGGTAGAAGGGCGAGTCGGAAAATTCGTTTCTGTGATTGTAAATACGGCGCACTTTTCTCAACTTTGCAGTTTTAGTGGATCGGGAAACGTCGACTCGCGCCGACACGAAACTCGAAATCGCACAAGAGTTTCGTGTGGGCGCGACCACAACGACCACCGTTTCTAGTAAGCAAGCACATCTATCCGCACATCTCTAACACGTTTGACCTCAGGGTTTACTTTAGCTTAAGATTCGTTTCACTCTACGTTTGCAACACCAAAGAACACACAGTTCTCTACAGCTGCTGATTTTGGTAGATGTTTTCGAGAGATTTGTGGCTAGGTTAAAATCGGACGATTTTAATGCTCATGCGGCCATGACCACGATGTACGTTTGATGCAGACACGCATCAAGACAATTTCCATGTACTCAACCCTCGTTTTCAAACTCTTGCCCACTACATTGTAAAGTCAACAGTCAAAAAGTCTGAGGAGAGTTTGAAAACGCGAGGGACCTCTTTAACGTAAACAACAATGACGGGAGAAAAGTATACACCTAATTCATTCCTGGGATAATTTTATTATAATAATAACAATAATAATAATAATAAATCGTGGTTTAAGTCTCAACAACCTGCACGCAATGTTTTTTTGAAACAGTAAAATTAAGTCTACGAAATAGTGAACAGCAAAAACACGACGTTCACTATTCGGTGGGCTCTACTTTACTACTTGAATATGATGAAATCATCACGCGGAGTCGGTGTGTTGGCGGTTAAACCGCGATTTATCGGCCGTTGGAGTTCCTTTACAGTTCAATGCTCGTTTGGACTTTGTCCCTTTTGCTTAAAAGAAAGCGAAAACCACGACGTTTGATCTGACGTTCACATGAGCTTTTCAGGTAGCTAGTTTGTGTAAGTAGTTGGCTTTTCCATTAGTCGGCTCAAGCGTTACCGTTTTCACAGGTTACAAATGTAGTTCAACATTGTCCATGATTTGGTAAGAGACTAGTGCCTTAATGTTGAAATGTATTTGTTTATCTTAGCTCTCATCATGAATTGATTCCAATAAAACGTCCAGCTGAATTATATTATTAAAACTACTTCAACTGAAAATTCGTGAACTTAACATGTGTGGCGACTGCGCCATAAAATCTGATCAGTTTGGTTTCGTTCGGCGTCTGCAGCGAGTTGCTCAATGTAACGAATGTGTATTTTTTGCAACACACTGTAGACGGTCACGTTTGCGGTAAGACGCGATTTTTCTTTAGGGATTGTGTTTCGAAGCCCACTTCGGTAATTAAACAAAGCTTGTTTTAGGTAACTTCGATTATGATTACTGGGTTCCTCGTTCGTACTTATTTCAGAACTGATAGAAGGAATCTGTAAATGTTGCAGTTAGTTGTACCTTTTGTTCGTCAGTGCTTGAAAAATTTAGTTAATTGTTGTTAAATTATCATTATGTATACATTCCGTGTCCGACGATGTTACAAATTATTTGTATTTCGAATTGATGATGTATAAACTAAACTAAAAGAATTTTAAAATATAAACGATTATGTGAAACAACAATCTGACTTTTATTAACCTTTCCACGAGTAATACATTATAGACTAAATTATGTACATGATATCTTCACAGCTAACTTCTTACACGCCCGTATGCAATGCGTCTTCCGCCTTCGAACCTTTCGAAGACCACGATCCTTAAACGCCTGTTGGGTTTTTCGATCACAATGTTCAGTTTCTCTATGCTATCCCATCGTTTGTGGTCGAAGCTCACCGCTTCGTCACTGAGGGACAGGGGGTACCCTGAAACAACTTCTGATTAAATTGATTACATTCGGATTACCTTTCTTTTACCGTTTTGGTTGAAAAACATCCGTAAAACATCCTCGGAGAGGGTTCTGTCCCTGGGGTTGTAAGCATGCAGAACCGCTTTACAGATAAGCGCGAAGTGCGTCTGCCTGCTTTGGTCTGGGGGCTCCGTGATGTATTGCATTATTCTGTATAGGAGCTTGTAGCCGGGTAGGATATTTACCTCTTCTGGGTGGTAAATTCTGTGTAAAAATAACATTTTTATCAAATTTAGTCAGTTATTTAACCACTTTCAAAATAATCAAGTTAGAATAATGTTCTGTGTACCTATAACATATAGAAAAGAAAGTCGTTATCTTCTTCATGTGACGCACCATATAGTAGCGCTAAAAAAAACACCTTTGCGGCCAATGAAACCATTTATAGATTTACACTAAAACTCTTTTTGTATTTAATCATGGTTAAAACAATCAGGTGTCTGGATCTTTTTGAGTTAGCTACTGTATATTTTATGTATTTAAGCGCAAAAAATACGTAAAAATTCTTACCTAATTGTGTATATTGCTGTTGGCACTGGCATGTTGAGTTCTGTGTTTTCTCACCAACGGGCAAACGAAAACTGTCCAGAGAGACAAATCTTACCTTTTAGGTAAAGAGAGGTAAAGTATTCATAAACAGGTCCTTATCAGTTTATTATTCGAAACCCTTATTATAGGCATCGAGTACCTGCTTAAGCTTTCCGAGAAGGGTAATGACAATCTTTGGAATACAACTTTCTCGGTATTAGACAAAAACATATTTTTGAATCTGTCTTGGACTACAGTTAAAATGGTTGTTATTAAGCATCCATCAAGAATCAATGGCAAAAAGCGCCAAATCGTAGTGACCAAAAGTCACTTTGGGGTGTTTAAAAGTAACGGATTTTTCAATTTTTTTTTTGAGACTTTTTTTGTGATTTTTAAGCATTTTTTCATGTACCCAAGTTTTGATGATCTTGAGTTATTTTTGAGGGAGTGTAAAACCAGGGATTTTTTAAGTTTTTTGCGCCAATATTGTCCAGTGACATTTTGGTTACACAACAGAAATCACCAACAACTCAAATTACATAGTTTAAATTGTTGGCGGTAAAACATCAACTGTTCAACACAGAACTGAAATTATTGTTCACATCACTGTATAGAAAAAGGTATAGTTATATTTCACAAGAATATCCACTTACCTTCCTTGCTGTAAATGTGCATATAAATTAATTTTTTGGATGGATTTTAAACAAGCCAGAGACATTTTTTTCATTGTCGAGTTATCGTGCATTTTTTGCGCTTTCACGTTTCGCTCATGTTTACTACGCTTGATCTTTTTTATTTTTTGTATATTCTTGGCTCTGGGAAGGTGATTTTCAAAGTTTGACACAGTTTCGAGGAAACTGTTTCCTTGCATTTCCTTCCGCCGCCTATTCTTCCTTGTGGCGGCGGGAAGTCTGGCGGCGGCGACAGTTTGGCGCGCAGTGTCACAGTTACAGATCGAAAAATAACACTCCCTTCATTTGTGTTTCGCAATTTTAAACATTATTTGGAATATTTTTTTAATCTTAATTTTTTACCAGGTGAGTCACAAACTCAGATTCTATTTTTCACGTAGTTAACAAGTATATTTTCAAATTCTTAAAAAATAAATCTAAATTGTATTGACTTAGATTGGGTACACACGTTTTGACCATCTGGTCTTTTATTTCAGGGTTCAGTAATTTTTAACAACGCTGAATACATTATAATAATAAAAAAAATAATCAACACTCAATAATTTCTTGATGTCTGATAAGTGATAACTAGAGAGCGGATTTTATGAAATTTGCATATCCGTTATTTTTTGCATATAAGTCTTGATATTTAATGTGTGAACGAATCATGCTAATAAAAATGACTACAGCTATAAAAAAAATGCATAGTTGCATATATTTGCCTTCTGCTGCATATTTCACGTAACTGGTGCATATTTTGCATTTTTATCAATTTTTGTGCTAATTTGAAAAAAAAAATGTTATTCTATCGGCATTTATCTAGAAAAACGAAATTTCATTAATCAGATTGCAAATATTGTCCTGAGTTTCAAATAACTAGGAAAGGTTTGGGTTTTATGGTAGTTTGGAGAAACCACCGGGTGTTAAGCTAATCTTCCAGGGCTGTAATTACTTTTGGAAATACCGTTCATTCCCAATATTTTTGTTCGTTACTTAAGCGTATTAATGGTATGTTTAATGGTGGTCGAAGGGACGTTACCCTATTATTTTTCATCGTGAGTTTGCATTGAAAGCATTTAAAGCGATACAGGTGTGTCAATATGTCGACGTTAACTCTAATTAATTTACGGATTATACGTTTTCCTGAACTTATTCTTCAAGAAGGAACTCTGTTTTGTCGCGCCGGTAAGGATTTTTATACATCTGTGGACGTAGTACGCACTTTTTCTACTTACAAAAGCATATTTTAGAATCACCGGATAAACTTTTTTGTGAGAATATTTCGAAAAATATTTAAAAATAAACTGTTACCAAAATAGTAATTAAATAGTCGATTACTACTATTTTTCAATTTGTTCTGTTTATGTTTATTTTTTAGTATAACAATATTATCTTTAAAAATGTGATTTATGTGTTAGTGAGAATTAATTAAACACTTTGCAATGTGATTTATGTATTTTTTGTAATAAAACGTATGCTCGGGAAACCTGTTTTTGTAATTTGTAAATAAATTTAGTTCGGTTATTACGATTTTTTTTTTAATTTTTGGAGCATATGCAACTGCATATCTCCGCATATATTAAGAAAGTTACCGCATATTTGCATAAATTTGATGCATATCATATGATCATATTTCCCAAAATTTTGCTGCATATTTTCCGCTCTCTAGTGATAACTGATAAGTATTGCTATTAATTACTGATTTCCTTAGGTTGGTGAAAAAGATGCATGAAGTGAATAAAAAGTGGGTGCGAAATCAAGATTCCACGCAAAGAAAAACAATCAAAGGTAAATAGCATAAAATACATAAAGATAAACACAAAATAATTCAATTGTATTGTTAAAATGCGTGATATTTGCTCAACAACACTGCGCTGACGTCATTAAATTTTTTGAGAGGATGAGACACAGTTTAAAGTCGGCTAGTCAACACGTGGACGTTTTATGAAATTTTTCTCTCTATATTATAATACGTATCTTAAGTTACATTATTGGTTTACTTTTTTGAATTAATTTTACCTTTTAGTGGTAGGTAAATGCTTTACATTAAAAAAAAGAGACTTTCATTTTTGTAATTCGAAAAGAAATGTGTTTAGAACCTGAAACAACAAAGATTTTATTGAGAAATGTTAGAAATTTGATTTCACTAGCTCACATTTTGATCTGAAACTGAAAATACGTGACCAAAACTGAAAAAGAAATTGTTTTTCTGAAAAATATTTCTTCCACTAGATCCACAGATGTGGCAAGTATTTTTACCATAAGTCATTTTACAACTGTTTAGATTGTCTTAGGACACATAGACTTTTTATTTATTACTGCTCATTCTTCAGTGGTGTTCATATCGGTGGTAGACAAGTCATTTCAAAGAGTACCTCCTCAGTTTCGTATTAGACACATATTATTAAATGTAGCCTAAATATATGTTAAGGTAAGTATTTTTCACTCAGTCATACTTAGAAATTATTCTGTATGTATGCGGTGACTTATAAAAAAAGTCCCACGTTACCTCGTCTTTTATGAATAAAAAAATTTGAAATTCTTCTTTTCAAAATATTCGAGAATTTGTTGTACAGGAGTATTTTGAAGCAAATTAGGGTTGATGATGGAATAACCGGGAAAGGAGGATCTTTCGAGAACTATTAATTCATAGATTTTCTGGGATTTTAAAAACATGCTGTTGAAACAGTGAAAATGTTTGTTGACGCATGTGGATGATGGTTTAACATGCCCATGACAAAATGGATGGTAAGTATATAAAATTGTCAGTCATGAAGTCATTATTATTACTTAATTATATAATATCATCAAATTTTCCTAAATAGACATAGTTCCTTTGAAGTAGACTTCCTCTGTCATCTGGTCCCCATTTCAAAAAGATAAAGAAGGAAACAGAACTGACTCAGGCTGATTCTGAATTTTGGCCCACAATTATAAGTCCTAAAAAAAGCAAACCGTGCCTCCCATTGGTCCAAATCGCCTTCCACCTCCGTCCCTATCACCCCACCAATCCAGCACTTCCAGCAGTTTTTGCTTAACAGCCAGTCGTTCTCGAAATTGGTAACCGCGTCAAAACCCAACGTGTCCAAAACTGCGCGCGTTGACTGCAACCGCAGCCGAATTGTTGTCAACACCCACGTCCAAAATGCAGCGATCCGAGTCCTAGTAGCACCGCCAACCAGCTCCTCGTGGCCACCAAAAGGTAAAGGACACTGTTTACGTATCATTCGCAAACACGCTTCGAACTTTGGTATAAATAGTAGCCTGGTGTGGTTATTTTAAGAGAAAAAACACTGCGCGAGACCTTCGAACTGACAACGAAGACAGCAACACGTGCTGCCGGTTAATTGGAATCAGAAAACTTGCCCCTGACCCCATCAGGGTACACGATTTTGTAATTTTATTCTGTTTACCGAGGGGTGGTCGAGCGTCATCGCGCTTACGTTTATTTTCTTTCTCGTGACGGAGACGCGATGTGGACAAAGGGCACACGGCCACCTGTTGATGTTGTTACCTGTTACTTCTCCGGTACCGGTGGCGTCAGTGTCGAGGACTTCGTTTTGTGGCGTAAAGTTACTTTATCGACGAGGTAAATAATATTCTATAAGTTGGTTATTCGTTGTTTTATTCCGACGTAGGTATTTGAAATGTGTGGTGGGTGAGGCATGTAAATGTATTGTGAATATGTATTTATGAGTGTGAATCCGCAAGGTCATGCTTTGTCGGGCCGCGGGCCAACGCGATTTGGCTCTTCGTATCAAAAATTAATTTAATGATAACGATGTTTACGTAACGTTGTTTATAATCCGACGAAATTGAAAATACGTGATTAAAATTGTGCGAAACGGGACCTACTGTTTCCTACTCTAGGGTCACGAAACGTCGAGAAAACATGAAAGTTTAGCTTACACTCGAAAAATAAAAAGTAACAAAAGTGCATTAATTTGCGATTTTATCTCGTTTTCCGCGATGTTTAAATAGTGAGAACAATGATGACTAATGCGAATAACAACATAATTAAGCCGTAATTTTTATTGTAAATTAAAGTTTGATTAAATAAACTCTTTGATAAATGAAGAACAAATAGACGAATCTACATGCACACAAAGTTTACTTAATTACTTAAGATAATTATATATAAGGTCACACTCGACGGTCTTTTATTCTAAGCGTTTCGTCGATTGAAGTAAGTTGATTGCGTCTAAATATAGTGCAAGGATAGGTAAAATTACTTCTGGGTTTTAATTAAAATATCGAACGACGGGTGACATTTTTAATCCACAGTTGTTAAGACATTTTAATTTTAAAAAGTTTGTTAAAGTAAGATTTTATGTGGAGCGATTTATCCCCCCTCAAAAAAATTTTAAATCTGTGTATTTTCAGGTGCTGAACGGTCTCCGGAAATACCCAGCTCTAGAATGGAATTAGCGTGACACTCCGACCCTATTGCTATAAACTTAACTTCAATATGACACTCCTATTGTCGTATTTGTATAATGTTAAGACCAGCGAACTTGTAGGATAGAAGCGTTATGGAGTTAACTGCTACGAAAATCAGGCATTTTTGTATACATTGAGGCGGAAATGTGGATTTTTTTGCCTCAAATGAAATTCAAGAAAAGGCTGCTATTTCTCTCTTTCGTTGTAATATTTGGCGTCCTCTACTTATATTTTAACTCAAACTGGAATGCCCCCGTCTCGAGTGAGTAAATCGTACTTTATACTAAAAAAAAAACAATCAGCTTTAAGGTCCTCCCTACGTAGACGGTTGGAACCAAAACACCTCAAAAGATGTCAGAAACTACGTTAGTGAAAGTTCGCCACCACACATCATCCCAAAGGACTTCTGCCAAAAGAGCGGCATTTTACTGGTCATGGTGAATATTAAGCCCGATGACTTTGAAGTTCGTCACGTCATAAGAGAAACATGGGCGCGTAAACGTACGTGCATGTTGTAATTATTAATTTGATCGTAGGCGTCGACGTTTGTGATAAGCGGTGCATCAAAGTGGTCTCGTTGACGCCCTTTTTATGGGTGCTAATGCATTCCATAGTTGGTTTAATTAATTCCGTACTACCATATGATCGAACAAAGTCGATTTTAGAATTTTTCAAAATTTCAGGATACAATACTTTAATTACGAAACTATTAGTCTTAACTGAACTTAATTTTCTACTTCAGGATTTTTCAGGTGCCAATGTTTCCTTCTACTTCTTGGTGGGTGAAGAGAGGAACCACAACTATGAAGTGCAAGTACGCGCTAGCCACCACAATTAGACAAAACTTATTTTTTTTCTTTCAGGTTAGACTTAAGTTCGAGAGTGAAAAATACAACGACATCATTCAAGAGCGTTTCCTAGATTCTTACAACAACTTAACTTTAAAATCCATAAACATGTTGAAGCTGTTTAGTCGCCACTGTTCAAAATCCTACAAATATTTAATGAAAATCGACGGCGATGTGTTTTTGAACGTCCACAACGTGCTCGAGATGTTGTCAAAGCGCAACAGTGAGACGGATTTCCTCGTTGGGAAACTCATCAACGATACGAAACCATTCCGAGACCCGAGGAGCAAGTGGTAGGTCTTCAAACCTGATTTAATACACACTTTGAAAAAAAAAAACAAATTTCAGGTACGTGCCTCGTGAATTATTTCCTGAAGAAAAGTACCCCGACTACTTGTGTGGACCCACTTATTTAATGTCGTCCGACGTGGCGGAAAATCTTTACCGTTGCACCTTCGAAACGCCTATATTTTACATCGAAGACGTCTACATCACTGGGATTTGTGCCAAGAAAATCAACGTGGTTCCTAGACACGACTCGATGTTTAAATGCCAATACACGAATAAGTATATTTGCTTGCATAGAGAGAAATACAGTATTCATTATTACAAACCTGAAGAAATCCGCAAGGCTTACAGGATCTTGGTAGGAAATGGTTGCCCGGCAAGTGGTTCCATAATGGTACGTGGTTAAAATAAAGTCGTCATAAAATTGATTCGGTTCGGTTGCAGGAATGGGTGTGCTCCTTACTTTTCTCAGTGTCGAGCGCATGGAGTACTTAACGAATTTGTGATATTTTAAGTTATAATTTTGTATTACGCAGAAAATATAATTTGTTCAAAAGTTGGACGCTTTTTAGTTTAGTGATGATACACCCCGATCAAATTTGTGATAAACCCCGATCTTCGTCTTTGGCTGAAACAGATCGACGAATAAATGTGTGTGATTATTGCGAAGTTCTGCGGTAAAGCGCAAAGTAAAATTCCCATTTGCATCTAGTCGCTAATTTAATTTGTCAATTAAAAGTCAAAGAGTCTTCATAGTCTCCAGTTGAAAAAACCAACCCAAGAATTAGCGTTGTAAGCAGTAAGTCGAACTTAATTCATGCTATATAAGCAGACTTTAATCGTAATGTGGAAGAGGCATCGGTTTCATTCACGCAGCCCATAACCTTGTTGTACTCCACTTCCGCATGATTTGATAAAAAGCAATAAATTAACCGCTTTTGTGTGTTTTGTGGGTACACAAAATCCCGTGACTCGAGTTCCGAGTTTTTCGCATCTATCACAACACTGTAACAGAATGAGGTTCGGACCCGCCAGGATTTGGTTCAGAAGACTCTGTTTTATTTTTTCCTGTGTTGCGATCATCGATTTGTTGATGATTTGGAACAGTTCCTTGACTGACGGTATGTTAATTTGATTGTAGTAGTCTTGATCTGTGAGTGCCTCACAGGTTTGTCACCGGTGGAGGGTTGGGACGAAGGTGTGTCGAGAAATGTGAGCGACTACGTTAACGAACTGTTCAAGCCTCGCATCCTGCCAGAAAGCTTTTGTCAGGACGAAAAAATTTTGATGGTCATGGTGTGCTCTAGACCTGATGGGTTTGAGATTCGGAGGGCCATTAGAGACACGTGGGGCCAAAAACGTAAATGAGTGTGGAGGTACCGCTAACTGTATGATTTCTTTTGCAACACAGAAAAATACTTTTTTAATTAAAATCCACGAAATCATACAATTTGTAGTCGTATCTCTAAAACCACCCTGAATGAATTTCAGTTTTCAGACACCAACGCCTCGGTGTTTTTCCTCGTCGGAGAAGTCAAAAGTCGCCGCCTCCAGGTATACCAAATTTCATTCGAAACTCAATTTTCTCAAAATTTCGTAGAACAAACTTGAAGCTGAAAGTGAGGAATTTGCCGACATCATTCAAGAGCGTTTCGTGGACACTTACAACAACCTGACTTTAAAGTCCGTGCATATGTTGAAAGTGTTCAAGATATATTGCGCCGATACTTATAAGTACCTGATGAAAGTCGACGACGATCTTTATTTTAATCTTGACGCGACTGTGACACACCTTCAACATCGCCCTTACCAACGCAATGCACTTATAGGTAGAGTGAGAAGCCAAACAGCTCCCTATCGAGGATCCAGTTCAAAGTGGTACGTAAAAAGGCAGTTAAAACCAAAAATACACAGCTTTTTAGGTACATGCCGTACAAGTGGTACCCTGATAGTATATACCCTGATTTTTTGTGCGGACCGGGTTACCTAATGTCTGCCGATGTTGTTGACAAGTTGTTCAAATGTTCGTTGGAAGTACCGTTGCTGCACACTGAAGATGTGTACTTGACGGGGATTTGTTCAAAATACATGGGGATAAAACTCACAAATAATTATAGATTTACGTGCAACAAGAACGACAGTCACGTTTGCCTGGATTCGAAAGCATGGACGCGTCATTATTACACGGCGGCCACCATTCGAGAGACTTATTTCATTTTGAAGAATAATGGATGCGAAAAACTCAAAAGATACAGTGTCCTAATGGTAAAATTTTGGAAAATTGGTGTGGCATTATTTAATTATGGTGATTGCAGGCATGGATTTTTTTTCTTCGACATTTTTAGATGAACCACATTTTTTAAAGCAATTAATTGTAAAAAAATGACAACTTATTACGAATGTAAATTAAATCCTTTTTTTTCGAAACTGGTTATAATCATTTCGACAAACAAAGGGTTTTAATTCCTGATTAATACAAACTGATAATGAATCTAACAATAATAACAATTTACCTTGTTATTTTTAATATCGAAAGCTTGTCATTTACTTATCAGATAAATGAAAATGCATTTCTTGGAAGACTGATGTTTATTGTTTAATATAAAAATATTGGCGTTGGATTATAACTTATTTAGAAAGAATAAACAATATTTGTTTATGCAATAGCTTGAGATTTGAGTATAAATGACCCTCCGTTGAAAGACAGAAATGATCATTTATGAAAGACTGAACACCTGAGCCCTGCAGTACCCCAAATCTAATCTTTTATTTTGCATCGAATGCAATTTTCGCCTCTGTGTATCCTGTGATAGACTGATAGAGGTCACAAACACTTAAAGTTTCTTATTATTATCATTATTTTTCAGTTACAGGAAAATGGAACTTTTTGGTGACAAACACGCGCAAGCAATAATTCAGAATTAATAGACAAATATTGTATTTACGCAATTAACCTTGACATCAGCGCCTTGACATAATCCGCTTACTTTATAAATGAAGTTCAAACGTATTACGAATCTACTAAGAAAGTTCTTTATTTTTTCTGGCGTGGTAACGACTGGTTTAGTCGGTACACTAGTTTACCAGGGGAAAATTAACGACCACAAATGAACACCATAAGTCTCTATTTGTATACAAGTCAGCAGACCCGTGTGAGGGTTATGTAATAATATACAAAAACTATACTTAACAGGAAAATTACAATTCTTATTTTTATAAAAATATGCCACTGACGACAACACCTCAAAAACCTATATGGCAAACTCCCACTACAAATTACTGAAAATATTTACTCCCACAAAAAACTTGCAAATCTTTAAATACTCATCGGCAAGATAACTTACAGCTTGCTAAACAATTATTCATCGTCTGATATTTTACAAAGATGGTCGAGCGACGCCACTATCGACTTCATCATCTTCTTCTCGCGTTTCTTCTCCTTTTTCTTCAATTTCTCAGGTACATATTTCTTTTTCTTGGAATATTTACACGTAGGACTTTGTTTCGTTTCAAAATCGATTTCCTCAGTAACGAATTTGCGCTTCTTGCAATTTTCTTCTATGCACATCTGCTCTCTCACTTCCTCTATAAATAGAGCCGTAGCAGTCTTCTTCTTCTCCAGTTTTCGTTTCTTTTTCAACTTTTTCCGTTCCGCTTTCGACAAGTCGTTGAACGTCCTTTGAGCTTGTTCGAAACTCCTGTGCGAGTCATTCGTTTCGCTGTTGCTGTCTTCAATGTCTTGTTCGATCCCTTCGTCGCACGCGTTCGAATTAGGATCTACTAGACCGGAATTATTGCTGTTTTCGTCCTTAATACTGTCATGGCTTGTGTCTAAATCAGGTGTGTAGTATTTCACTACGGTTTCGTCGTTAAAAGTGACGCTTTTACGTTTATTCTTAATCTTCTTAGAAGTGGGACTCATGATAATCTCAGACTCTTGGACGATATTCGACGCAGTTTCTTCTTTGTGTTTCTTGAGTTTTTTCATTTTCTTCTCCAGATTACTGACGTCGTCAGTCAATGAAACGTTTTTCATCTTTTTCAGGAGAAGTTTTTCTTGTTTTTCTATCCTTGATAACTTGCCGCTCAGTTTTAAACCGTGTCGAGCCCCCCTACAAACAAACTATGTACTAAACACTCACTTCAACGTTGCAAATATTTACTTATGAGCGGTGCGACCTCCACACGCTGCAAACAATTCATCATCTGTTAAAGGAGTAAAAGACATGACAGGCTCCGGAGGTGCAACATTGTAGCTCTCCACTTCAGACCCCGACAGTTTCGCAGTTTTTAAGAAACTGCCATATTCGAAATTCTTGTTTTTCTTCAGATCTTTCAAAGAATAGCTTTTTGTGGATATCTCGACTGGCTCTTCGCGTAACTCTAATTTAATTGCGTCTTTGTCTAATTTCACCTAAAGGAAGACGAAATTAATTGTTTTTTTATGAGTTTTGAACGTCTGGAATGTTGCTTACGTTAATATTGTTGGCGGCGTTGTTAAAAACTCGTTCCCACCAGTTGTTGGTGAACTGTTCACCGACGTCGTGTCCTATTCCTGCATTGTCGAATTTTAGCTTTGGTTTCAGTGCTTGTGAAATTCCGTCTTCGTTTTTGCCCAAACCTTTACCTAAATCACGTTTGAGATGAAAAAACTAGTTGTAATTTTTAGGTTATGGTTTTTTGTGATGACAGATTTTATTGAAAGAGGGCTACGTTTAGTGAGAAAAATACGTTACCGTCTGTCCATCCATATTTTTCCAGCTGCTTTTTGGCAAAATCCATTTATACACGTGGGGTTATAGCCCCATTTGACATATAAACACAATTTCGATTTCTCTTTGACAATCGACGGATCTGAACCTCAAGTTGATGACCGAGAAATTAGCTCAAATCACGTGAGTCACAGCCGCCCAGATAAAGCGTCGATTTGGTACTGATCAGGGGGAAGCAAAGGGGGTACGTCTTCACCTTCTTCTTTTACAACAGAACAGAGTAAACTTTTCTTAAACGTACTGCGACCAGTCAAGAGAAAACAAGTTCTTAAATAATTTATTGGAATAATAATCGAGTTTTAGAAAGAATAAAAACATAGTTTAAAATTACGATGAAAGTTATAAGATTTGCAGGAACCTTTATATTTGATTTTCTTCTCAATTGGTAGCGCTAGTTTGAAGCAGCCAATCCACGCGAACTTGACGTCGCAGGCCTCACTGTTAACCAATAACAGCGCATTTTTCAAAGTTGCCATATTCTTCGGATTGTCGGCATTTTGAAAATGAGCACAAAAAGTAGAACGTGAACATTTTTTTCCGCTCTGGTCACATTTCGGAATAAATCGGACATCTTCCAAAGTATTTTTCCACGCTCGCACTTTTCTTCTTCCATCGTCGACAATTCATCTGGGCGATCTCTATCTCTTTGTTGCGATTTTTAGAGTTGGCAACGCACTCTTGTTTACTTGTTTGTGATTGGCAACCATGTTTTATAATAGCGTCTAAATGAGTGTCAACTGTCAAACAGAAAAAAAGAAGCGTCATTTAATTTTTTACGATTTTTGTAAAAAACAATTCCGTTTCGAGATTTAGCGTTACATGAATGGGAAAGAATGAGTTCGGACAATATCATCGAACACATTTTCACGCCGTTTCAGGAGAGCATCAACTCGGAACAAGATGTTCGAGAGGTTCGTATAAACAACAAAAGAGTGCGTCGAAAACCAAAACTCTGTTACAGGAGATCCGCAACATAATGAAAGACATCGAAAAGTCCCTTCGGGAAATCGTCACCACCTTGCAGATAATCCACAGGACTCTCAACGGTGAAGAAAGTCTGTAGTCACCTTAAAAGTGTGGTTAGAAATCAACGGTTTTTAAAGTTTCAGCTGCGTGTTTCACAGCACGAAGTCTCTTCAACGTGGTCCAGAAGGGCTTCGAGAAGCTCGATAGCGTGATTCCTGAAGGGCAGTATTACCGGTACAACGACCACTGGCGCTACGCCACGCAGCGCCTCTGTTTTCTGGCAGCTTTGGTGGTGTTTTTGGAGAAGGGTTTTCTCGTGGATAAAGTGACCACGGCGCAGATTTTAGGTCTGCACGAGAAGTCTCGCCTCCATCTAGATCTAGAAGACTATCTGATGGGGCTGTTGAATTTGGCGACGGAGTTGGCGCGGTTCGCTGTGAACTCAGTTACCTTTGGGGACTACAGCAGGCCGCTGCAGATCTCCAAGTTCGTGGCCGAACTGAACGCGGGTTTCCGTTTGCTGAACTTAAAAAACGATTCTTTGCGAAAGAGGTTTGACGCTCTGAAATACGACGTTAAAAAAATCGAGGAAGTGGTGTATGATTTGACGTTGCGGGGGCTGGTGCCCAATTCTGGAGGAGGAGAAGCGGTGGAATAATGGCAGAGTTTCGTTTAATGTACAATTTACTAAAATAAACGAATAGTTTAGAATCTAAAACCTGCATGACAGATTTTATTGATCATTCATACACATAAACTAATCACATATTTACAAATATTCACATTCAGAGGACCTAATCAAAAACCCAGAACGTTCATTAATAGACCCGTATATAGTAATCGCGTTATTAATTTTTCTTCTTTATATATAAATTAAATACCACATTCTACAGCTTATCCACACTAACAATTCGAACATTCACATTACTGTAAATGGAACGGCTTAATGCGAATGCTTAAATTTTAGTTGCAATAAGTGCCACAATCAATGTTGAAGCATTTATATTTTTTTGGATTTTTTTGTAACATAAAACAACATAGACGGTTCTACATTGTTAGATGTCGTGTTGCTTATTTTTCGTTTATAATAAATTAATGAATTAACAGTCTAAATATCAAAATTACTAAATTTTAATATAATAAAAATCGACAATCACATTATGCATTTAAACCGTTAATTCAACAATGACATACAGAAGTAGGAATGTGACTTATTATCTAATAGCTTGCACCATTGATTCTAATTAAATTTAAACTAGTTTTAAATAATACCTTTGCCCTAAAGTATCGTCACTTAAATCTAAAAACATAATTGACAAACTTTTTGTACAAAAAATACTGCTAGTCTTGATATAATTATATACAAACAAACGGCATTATTTACAATAGGGTTTTTTTTTTGTAATAAACGAGCAAAAGTGTTATTCAAAACAGTAAAAATTCATCGAGTTTACTTATATGAAATTAAGAGAGCGTATTTATACCAAATTTTTCTAACAGCCTTTTTTTTGTTAGTTTTGTTTATAAAACATACAAGAAACGAAAAACTTTCAAACGAAATTTTGAGACGTTTTATGCCGTTAACGATCTGCCAATGTAGGATGGTAATAGTTAAATAGACACAGAGAAGCTTATATTGAAAGACGTAACACCACTTTTGACAAATTGTTAACTATTATAACTTATGACGTGCCAACATTTTATACAGATAGAAGTTTCACGAGACTCTGGCTAACTTCTTACATTTGTTATGTTTAAACCTTCCTTTAGCACATATTACGAACACAAAGTCCAAATAAAGGCTTAAAAAAAATAAATTTAATCGAATTAAAATACAATGGTCTAATGGTGTAAGTACATTTCACAAAATTTCATTTACAAAATGTAATAAGTTACTAATAATAGTTCAACAGCCTCATGAATTATTAACACTAGGGTTATAATTACAATAGAAAATAAATTAACAACTCCTTAAAATAGAAGTCTAGTTTATTGGTAAGATTTTGCGAAAATGCCTGCTTTTTCTACAAATTTATTTCAACTAAAACTGAGTAATTTATGATCACTTAATGAACACAATAATACTATATAGTTAGAATATGTTTGCCTTAAAAAATTAAAATGTTATTAACAGTTCTGGAGACGTGGCATACATTGAAATGAATACATTCACATGAAATGTATACAAACAGCACAACGGATGAATAGTAGTTACAGATCATGAAATATAACGATGTTACTCCAGCGCGACCGCCGCCTAAGATTTAGAAACATACTTATAACGCACATCTAAAAATCTGAAAGCCAATAAAATCCAACCTACTACGTAAATAAAGGACCGAATAAAATCGAGCGAGGAAAAATAACACCATTATATCCCACAACAGGCAGTTCCTTCCTCTTCCTCTCTAAAATAATTCTTAAATCATGCTCTAATTTCGTCATACGGTAATCTTGCGGCTTTGCTTTCTTCTTAATACTTAGACAATCTGCGAATGATGTAAACGTAAAATTCTGACAGGCATTTCAAATCTTGTAAACGTGTAACCAGCAGAAAATGAAACACCTTGTTGATAGTAAAAAGCCATCCTGCGCCTTTTTAAAACGCAGGTCCGAAGATGAGCATCACGTCACTTCCATTACTAGATTGTTCTTCCGGACGATTGTTTTCGTTTTGTTGTTGCTTGCTGCCGTGCCCGCTTCCGTACACTGAGAATTCACCAACTTGTTCGAGACTGGTTCCGCGTCGTCCGTTATCGGTATTTCTAAAATGTTGGCACTGAAAAGAAAACCATTATTCTCAAACGACGAACGCCCATTCTTCCAAAACTATTAATCACCTCCGCCACGGCCAACTGTATTAATACATATGGCCATCCCAATTCGTATAAAAAGTTGATTCTTTGACGTTTCCAAAATCGTTAATCAGGCAACGACATCTGTTGAGTACAATTATGAACTTGGTTGGCAAATAATTGTCAAAATGACGTTTTAAAATATCACGTTTTTCTGAAAGTGTAGATAATGGCACAAAAACATTAATGATATTACTCCTATTTAGTTTTGAAATAACATAGATATATTTTTACAAAACGAAAATTATTTAACAAGAAGGAAGGTACATATTCATAATTTTAAAACTTTTCTGCTGGTAGGTTTGTTACAGATCGTTATTTTCTTCAACCAGTCTGTTTGTTCCAAACAAATATTATCAATAACTGGCTTCACTGTTGCTCGAATAATTATATCACAAACTCTTGATTTATGTTCCAAGCAACAAAATAATGGATTTTGGTCCAAAGAAGGATGGAGCAGATTACATATTTGTTGACATGTGTTTTTAGAGTTTAAAAACGGTGGTATTAGAAAGTTTTTTAAAAAGGGTAACATTTAGATTCAGTTATTTGAAGACAAATCGTGAAAAATATTTTAGATTCGTCATCTGCGAAAAATTATCTATAAGCCAACTATTTTCCGTTGGATCAAATACTAGCCCCGCCCGCCCACCCTCTATTTTCTTGGAAGGTATGTGATTTGCCAAAATCAGTATTATCTTAGCAAGTACTATTTAATTATTGTTTAATCATTTATTTTGCCACTTCAATATACAATATAGTACTTGCTAAGATAATACTGATTTTGGCAAATCACATACCTTCCAAGAAACTAGAGGGCGGGTGGGCGGGGCTAGTACTTGCTAAGGTAAGACTAATGGTGGAAAATGACATATCCTACAAGGTAAGAGAGGGCGGGTGGGCGGGGCTAGTATTTGCTAAGAAAAAAACTGATTTTAGTAAATAACATATCCCTAAGAAAATACAGGGTGGGTGGGTGGGGCTAGTACTTGCTAAGATAAGACAATATTTGGCAAACGACATACTCTTTAAGAAAATGGAGGGTGAGTGGGTGGGCGGGGCTAGTATTTCATAAGGTAAATTTGCGATTAGTATTCTATAAAACTAGAAAGTCAATGTTTTTCTCTGAAATAAAGCCATTTGGAACGGTTTCAAATTTTTTGGAAATTTTGGAGATTTTTGGAGTCCTTTCCTCGCATTTCTCAGTTATTTGAAGACAAATCGTCAAAAAATATTTTATTTATAAGTCAACTACATATTTTCCGGTGGGTCAGATCGTCTTTTAACTGTTTCAGACAAAAATTTTCTGGAAATTACGAAAAATTGTTGTCACTTTTTTCGCTAATTTTCGAAAATAAATGAAAAATAGTTGAAAATGTCAAAAGTGCGAAAATCAGTTTTATCTTATCAAATACTGCTAGCACCGGTTTTCGTGGTTTCACTCAAGAGACTGCACATGCTTTAAAATTTATTGCCAGAAGTACATATTTGTGTGTTAAGTTTTTATTAGAATAAGCAGGCTTTTACTATGTTCTTACGCGTTCCTTTAGCTCCGATGCGGTGGAAGCAACGTTCTCACACGTGAGATTAAAAGGAGGCTCCAATGATGCAACGGATACCAGAGCGGCAGAATATGCAATGCGTCAGATGCTCCGCTGCGGAATTGTTAAGTGATGTCACTCAAAAAATGTTGGCGTTTTTAAACTCCAAAAAGACATGTCAACAAATATGTAATCTACTCCATCCTTCTTTGGACCAAAATCCATGATTTTGTTGCTTGGAACATAAATCAAGAGTTTGTGATATAATTATTCGAGCAACAGTGAAACCAGTTTATTTGTTTGGAACAAACAGACTGGTTGAAGAAAATAACGATCTGTAACAAACCTACCAGCAGAAAAGTTTTAAAATTATGAATATGTACCTTCCTTTTTGTTAAATAATTTTCGTTTTGTAAAAATATATCTATCTTACTTCAAAACTAAATAATATGAGTATAATCATTAATGTTCTTGTGCCATTATCTACACTTTCAGAAAAACGTGATATTTTAAAACGTCATTTTGACAATTAGTTGCCAACCAAGTTCATAATTGTACTCAACAGATGTCGTTGCCTGATTAACGATTCTGGAAACGTCAAAGAATCAACTTTTTATACGAATTGGGATGGCCATATGTATTAATACAGTTGGCCGTGCCTCCGCACACTTATGCATTCTACCGATAAATTCAAAACTAATTCGAACAACGCAGAAATTTTTACAAATTCAAAACAACACTCAACTTACGTAACGACCAATAACAACGCAAGAAATAAAATTCATCCTCACGAGCAAAATATCATAAATAATACATCAGTGATAATTTGATAAGCTTCATTTTTTTTTTTAATAAATCTACATTATCTGTAAATTTGTTGCAAGTTTTCCGGGAATTTGAACACGTGTAAACAGCTTTTTTGCACCACTCAACTTAATAACAAAATCAATATTGCTTTGTTGTTTGCGTTACAACACACGATACTCAGCCAAGGAGAAATTTATTTTTTAATTTTAACTCAAAAATCGAACAAATTAATTCTAGCTAAACGTGTGACTCATCGGTCGCAAAAAATTATATTTAAAACGATTTTTCCACTCACGACACAACGCCTCCATTAAATGAAATGACTCACGAAACAAATGCAAGGTTTTTGAAAACCGTGTCAATCGAGATAACCGCAATTTTTCTATACGAATACATTGCATGCGAAAAGAATAAAACTAAAAAGTATTGTTTGCAGCTGTCACATTTCATTTGTTGCAAACAATTCGGAACTGATTCCAAGTTCGTGCAGGTAGTCCATTCCATTCCAATTTTGAAGCCCGAGTTTGCGTCAGAGCATTGCAATATTTGTCAAATTAACTCCAGCCATATTTACTATTGAATATAAAACACTGTTTTAGTTGGATCCGCATAAAATTCAATTGCTGAAAATGTGCGACCGAAATATGAACGTAGCGCTTAAATATCTCCCAACATCGGTGCCTCGCAATTTATGGCTGCAGTTTTGCTTTGCCGCAATAAAGTTTTATGTGTGTGGTAATCAAACGTTCTTGCAATCTCGTATTGACTCAGGCGATTTGTGTCTAGATTTGCTTCAAAGTCATGTCAACAACGACAAAATAAAATGCAAAAACTTCAACTCGATATTCCTCAGGAGACGAGATTTTCGAAACTTTACGAATTTGTCAAAAAATCATCAATATTCAATACATGCAAATTAAAAAAGAAAAACTTCTCTTTCCCTGAGGAATAAATTCCAAAGTTTTCGAGGCGAGTAATTAATCGCGCCATCCCACTTACCTATGACTATTAAGCGTAAGAGTGTGTGCAGAAGTGTGAAGACTCAACGTGCCCGAGGAAGCATTGATGGGTGGTACAGGTTGGTAAACTCCGCCAGAGTAAGCGTAAGATATCTTATTGTTTTTTGTTGTTCTACCTGCAACAGAAGAGTAAAAACGTCGAGTCGCATCCGTGAGGGTACGCCGCCGCCTCGCCGCACAACGCAACGTAACGCAATCGCTGCCAGCTACCAACTACGTACCATCAAGCCCGAACTGCGACAGCAAGCCGTTGGTGTTCCCTAGGCTCCCTTCCGTCGTGCTGCTCCTCGTCCTCCCGTCGGACACGGCGTTGACACTGTTAAACTTAGGACTAGTCAAGGTACTCGAAGGCGCCTTCGTTTTGGACGCGGCCGCGGCGGCGGCGGCGGCGGCCCTGCTCGCGCCGCCCAAATCCGAGACGTGAAACCTCGAACATCCGATAGTCCTTTCATCGTTTTCGTCCGATGACGACGACGTTGACTCCTCAAACTTGATACTATCAGTGAGGTTCGCGTTACTATTTGAAAAAACACTACTACTATTATCGTTAACACTAGGAGTAAGCGTATTGAGACCGACATTAACGTTCAAGTTAATGCCCGTTTGCACGATTTTATCACTGGATTGCCGTGTGTCGGTTACTGGTACGTCTTCTATACTGTCCAAATTGTCAAACGTGAATGGATCGGTTAAGAAAGCGGAAGTGTCGAGGAGTGTGCTTGGCGTTTCCATCGTCTGGACCTCGATCGAGAACGGCGTGTTGGCACCGGGGACGAAATAGCTCTCGCTGGCTGGCAGGAGGCCGCACGGCGGTTCTTGGTCTGGGGGCGGCGTCTTTGGCCGGAAGTGCAACCTGAAAACATACAACAGTTAGCAAATACAATCATACTATCAAAATTTTTATTAAGTAATAAATAATTACTTTGTATGACAAATGGTCTTCAGTTTACCACAATACTCGTCATCTTTACTGTCAATTTGATGATCGAGAAAATACAGGATCTTATTTATTCGGAGTAAGCTGTCACATCTAGAATTGTGCAACTGATAAAAATTTCCCTTTCAACAATACAGAAAGCGATTGCCATCAATTTTGAACGAAAGGACCGACAATCATAAATAAGAATTATCAACGAGTGTTTTAATAAAAAAAAAATACATAACAGGATAACATCTTCGATCGTGGGAAGATAAGAACGTGGGTATTTCTGAAGAAAGATTGGATTGTTATAATATCATTAATAAGCGTGTCGTAACAGTGGAGATAATAGAAACATTGATCGAAGGTTATTTCGACAGAACTTCCCTCGCTCCTGAAATACAATAAAACAGCTTTTTCGAAAAATTATTACAAAATTTGATTATGCGAATTTTATTTTTTTCCATCAACATTTTTGCAAATACACGTATATCACTTTGGACAGGTGCAATGTAATACTAATGATAACAGAATTGTATTCCCAAATATTCAATAAAATAAATTGACTTATTTATTAATTTTTATGAGTCACCCAGTATAAGAAATTTAAAAACTTTTCATGCGATGATAAATCACAAGTATAAACTCATCATGTTGCACATTTTGGATAGGATTTATTCGGCGAAATTTTGACATGACGTCATCAATTTCTCGGGAGGGAATAAAAGAATAAATTTTGCTTAACGATTTACCATGATTACAATAACCTTAAAATATTTACAAGATTTCAGAGCAATCGTTTTGCAGTTTCAAACTTATAACGCCAAATATTGTAATTATTTTTTTTTTTTCAAAAATTCTGGATATCTAGGGTGAAAATTCGACACGGATTTATACACCACAAGTGTAGGAGTATCTTATTTTATACAATTTAAAAAACTTTTTACTATAACTTTTGCAGATGACGTCATCCCATCGGTGGTGGGGATGATTGAGCCAAATTTTAGTTAGCGTTTAACCATTTACATGATTTTCCTAACATACATACAAAATATGACAACAATCGGTCCAGTAGTTTCGGAGATTACGTGTTTAATAAAAATCGATACAGACCCGAAACAGACAGACAGACAGATGGGATCGGGATATTACTTTTTTCATAGTCTAGGGGTTATAAACGCCGCGAAAACATGAAATTGACATGGCTTCGATGGATTCGATTACTATACGTCCCTAGGTTACACTCGGGAAGTAAAAAAAGGAATTACGAAAGACTGACAGTTTTAGTGTCTCTAATAATGTAACTTTAAAAGTTGAAAGATTAGTCGTATCATATCTAGAGTCTAAGAAAACCGTTAAACTTACGACGAAACTATTTTTATGTGCCAAGATTATTATGACGTAAAAATTGATTACGACGATATGGCTACTAACTACACATAATACATAGTATTATTATAAGGGACAATAATGTATGCTACACGATAACAAAGTTGCTAAATTAATTAATCACTTTTGTATACTAGTGATAACAATAATAGACATTGCCTGGAAACCAAAATATTGTTGACATTCAATTTATCAGAATTGCTGTTATGTTGTAACATTCTTCTTTAAAAATGTCTCTCTCAAGATGTTTTTGTACATCGCATATTATTTGCTTACAAAATTATGAGAAACCAAAGTGACGCAAAAATGTCAAAATTACCAATACTGCAGGGAAATTCTCGAACCATTAATTTTCCAACTTAATAAAACGAAAATACTCAAAACATTGCATTAAATTTGATGCAAATCCCAAGATTTTGAAGGTACATTTAGATGTAAACGTAGGAGCGCCGCTTGTTAATTTTAATTACTTCATATACTCGGGTAACACTCCCTTTTAATGACGAAAGAGAATTGCACCCTTTTGAAGTAATTCGCACAGAAAACTAATCTACGCGAATGCAGTGACCCAGTTTGACGAATTAATTATGAAAAAGAACGAATCGACGAACGTTCTAGGGTCATCGGGTTGCAGCAAAACGTCCAAAACACGTTGTCCTGGACGATTTTTCCTTTCAGAATCAGCTCTCTCTTTCGATCAATATTTTAATTTTTGTTCATGGGAACTGTCAATTCTTAAGTAGTGCTCACGGTCAACTTGATCAAAAATCTTGCACGAAGACTTTTTAAGATAGTTCGAACCGCACGAAACGCGAAAATTAGCAAGTTTAAATGCTGTTTATTGACAATTCTGGGAAGCGTTAATTCATAAGGTACAAACACTATTTACAGAAGCTTTTTATAGGTGAGTAAGTGCCTGGTCATAAAAGCAAATATCGCTATAATTAGCGATGTTATTGACGGTTAAATTAACATTATTATATCATTTTGAATTTATTATTAAAGTTTGGGCGCCTCCTACGTCTAAACCAGAGATAAAAGGCTGCCGCCCAGTGGAAACGACAGCTACACGAACATCGTTTATCTTGTATACAAATCAATATTTTATGGATTTTTTGGACAAAGCGTAAAATTTCATAAAACAAAATTACGACCAACGCTAATTTAAAGCAAAAGCCAAACACTGTTGCTGCTGCACTTGTGATTTGCGAAGATCAGAAAGAAAATTATAGAATTCCCCGATTTAAACCCGACCGCCACAGGCGGTAGCCGATTCCCTTAAATAATTAATACCACTTCCTCAATTTATTGTCCATTAAACAAAAGATCTTTTCCATAATACCTAAATTCCACGCAAGCACAAAACTACATTAAAAATCGATCAAAATCCTTCCGTACTCTAACAAAAGAGGACCTTCACGCTCGCGGTTCGCCTAAATTGCAGATTTGATACGAAACTTCTTCGAATAAAAATCCGGTAGAAACCCTGAATAAAACATATCAAAATCTTATAAAAGCGTTCGCACCACATCCATACAAATACAGCCGGAGTCATCGAAGCTCGACGTTTCGGCCAGCTCGAGCGCTCTTCTATTTGAATACGTGACATGTCGGTATGCGGACAAATATTTGTAAAATTTGACTCATACATCAAACAAGACGATATTAGCTTTTCAATCCTGACAGCGACGCTCCGTCGCGACGACTCTTTTCAATTTCTCTAATTCCCTTCAGTTTCTTCGCGTTATTTTTTTTTTTTTTTGACACAATTCGCCCACTTCTGCCCGCCGACCTTTCTTTCGTTTCGCTTCTCGGAACATCGGCGCGAAATCTTATTATAAATGGAGCATTATCCACAACAATGGCCCGCCGTCAATTTACCGTAGAATCAATATCGATTGGATCTTTTTTAATTCCATATCGAGTCGCAAGCCCCAACGACACAATGGCCAATATCGAGTCGGCTCGAAGGAAAATAAAGCGATTTAAAAAGCACGCAGATGCGAAATTTTCATCAAATGAAGCCTGCGTAAATCCGGACGATTTAAATTTCGAGATATGTAAATAATTAAAACGAGTTTTCGGGTCGCTGATCTGTTTATTAATTTCGGATTTTTTTCCACAGCGAAACGTACCGATCGACGAAACATGATCGAAGCGTTATTTATATCTTGAATTATTCACGAGTGCGAAGTTCAACTAGCGAACCGTTTACTTACCAATCCCTTCGTACGGACCGCAGGATCTCGACCATCTCGTCCTCTTCGCTCTTGCTGTGGACGAAGGTCTCCGGACGACCGGCACCGTCCTCGTCCCTCTCCTTGATCTCCGCACATCCGTGACTCGCACTCTCACTCTCACCACCGACGTCACTCACATTTGTCCGCGAAGCACTGTTACTGACGTCACTAAACTCACTTTTAATATCAGTTCGCAAATTATTGTTTACGTTCGTGTTATTAACAAAACTAGCGTCCATTTTAACTACACCGTCCGGCAACAAATTCGTATCGTTTGGTTTTGTTTTGGGTTCGACTATCGAGAAATCCAGCGTTCGCCAGAAGTCGTCATTGTCGGTGCTGATGCGGTCCAGAATGACCCTCCCTCCTCGACCCATCCGCCTCCTGGCGAAGCCGATGCAACGTCTTGGATTCGACAGGGAGGTCAGGGTGAAGCGGAAGCGCTTGTCCGCCAGACCGTTCTCTTCTTTCGAACACCACGGCCAGTTGCCTACTTTCGACAAAGGCTGCAAACAAAAACAAAATTTAGCTCGGATGTTCGCCCAAAGGAACGAATTTTCGAAGCACTCGAAAACACTTCGCGTTGCCGATCCATCTTTAGTGACAGGCAGTGTGGAAACAACCGTAAACAAGCGTAAAATAAAATCGAGCATTACAGATACGTTCTTTCTTTACTCTAGAATGATAAAATAATGGTGTCGTTTTGTTGGCGACTTTTAGTAACGTAAAACAAATTAATTAAAATTTCCACAAAAATGTTCGTCCTTTCGTTTTTATTTTAACCTCTACGATATATCGAGTTCAAATTCATTCATTACACTTTATTACAAAACATTACCAAATCTGGGGCAATAAAATCTGTTTTGCAGCCAATTTTTACATGTCAAGAGAGCTATAAAACAACGCCCAAGAAAGCAGAACAATGTTGTTTTTCTTTTATGAAAATTCTTGAGTGTTCATAATGTAAAAAGGAAGGTCATACGCGATGATTCACAATTTTTCCAATCTCACTGAAACCATCAGTGACTTTTTTTAAAAATTTTTCCATTCGTGGAGAGAAAAGGGAAAAGAAAGCATTGAAGAAAGGAGCGGTTGAAGAGAGGAGAGGGGAGCAGAGATAGTGGGGAAAAAGAAGATTGAAGACTTTAAAAGAACGAGGCAAAAAGAAAAGAAAGGAGAGAAAGAGGGAAGAGAAAAAGAGTGAAGGGGGTGGCGGGGCGGCAAAACAGAAGAGGCAACACGGAGGGAAAGAGAGGAACGGAGACATCAAGAAGACTGAACTTCCCTCGTCCCTGAAGTACAATTAAACATTTCCAACTTTTTCGAAAAATTCCATAATTTGATTTTGCGAGTTTTATGAGAACTCCTATAAGTTGAAAAAAGATATAGTTGAAGGAAGCTAAAAAATCGGCGAAATCTCATAATACTCAGAAACAAATTTTCCTTTACAAAATAGGACACGTATATCAATTTGATTGGGTGTAGTGTAATACTAATAACAACAGTATTGTATTCCACATTTTTTTCCTGCTTTCATCAATAAAATAAATTAACTCATTTATTTTTTTTTTAACCACCCTGTATAAACAATTCTAAAAAATATGAATGTAATAATAAATCACAAGTATAAACTCACCATATTCTGCACATTTTAGATTGGGTTTTTATCAAAATTTTGACATAACGTCATCAGTTTTTCGTAGCGTAAACGGATACATTTTTATTAACGATTTACCATGTTTCCGATAACCTTAAAAAACGTTCGCAAGCTTCCAGAGCACTTCGGTTTTGCATTTTAAAGTTAAATTGGAAAATACTGTTACACAATTCTTATTTTTTGTTTAGAAAAATTTGGAGACCTAGGATAAAAAGTTTACATTTTAACAATTTAAATAACATTTGCTATTGTAAAAAATGACGTCATATCATCGTTCGTGAGGATAATCAGCCAAATTTCGGTTAGCGTTTCACCCGATATTTCTCATATACATACACAATTTGACAACAATCGATCCGGTAGTTCATAAAATTATCTGTGTAATAAAAATCGCTACAGACGTGAACAGACGGAACTACCCATCTCTGCTGGATAGCAAAACGAGGAAAACTTTTTCCGTGGTGGGCACGCTGCGCCCTGATAACGTTATCAGAGTAGCAATCCCGCACGTGTCGGCTACGGGAGACTCACCATGTGATAAGAACACAGTTTGTTCCTGCGAAAAGCGAACTGTCCCTCATCCTCGACCTCCTCGGGCTCGGGCGACAGCTGCGGCATGGGTTCCTCGTCCGACGACAGAGCCCCCAGGCCGTCCAGTCCGCTCGCCCCGATCCCGCCGCTCCGAGTATGCCCCAGCGATTTGTGCTTCCTCTTCTTGTACTGTCTTTTCTCTTTCCTCGGTATAACCTCGTCTTTGAGAATCGCCTTATTCGACCAGCTCTGGTTCGGGTAGTGGTTGTGGAAGATGGGCGTGAAGGCCGGCCTCGTCGTCTTGATGGCTGCCGCCTCCGCGTAGATGGCGCCGCTGAAGTCCCGCGCGTGGTACCTCTTCTCGAACACCTCCACCTGGAACAGCGCGACTTTAACAAATCTGTTTTTGTTTTTTCTTTGCCGAGCACCGACCGTGAGGTGGACCAGCTCTCTCTTCATCTTCTCCCGCTTCTTCACCAGCTCCAGCAGCGTGACGGCCCTGTGCAGATCCCTCCTGAGTTTCAGCATTTTCTCGTAGGACGTTTCGTCGTTCTTGCGGTTCTTTCGAGTTTGCATCTTCTCGGTGCGCCGCCTGAACGCCAGGTACGGGTTGTTGGGGGCGGCGCCCGCCCTCTGCTCCGTCTTGACGGTGAGGATCAGAGGGTGCTGGGTTTTCAGCCGTTTGTTCAGCCAGTAATCGAATACTGCGATTATGAGATCGTCATCCTCCTTCAGCAGGGCTTTGGCCTCGTTCAGGTTCACGACGGTCTGACCGCTGCTCTTCTCCAGCCGGTCCATCATCTCCTCGAACTTGAGAGGAGTCAGGTCCAGCCTCTGCGCCTGCGACTGCAACCAGCGTTCGTCTTCGGAGTCCATGTCGTAGTCGGGGATGTCTTGTTCCATCGTGAAAGCTACAAACAAAAAACATTACGGGATTATGAGATGGTCGCAGAATGCGGGACGCGAAGACGAGATGGTCGTTGATCCGGCCAAAAATGCATTTGCTTCTTACGACATCCGCATTAATGACTTAACATCTAAAAATGTCGAAACCGTTAAATATAGACGGAGTTAAATATGTAAGTAGAGTTATCTATATTCTGAGCTCCGAAATACTACAACTACTACAACGATGAACGAGATTCATGAAATTAAAAAATAAAAGCAATTCTGTTGGTGTGTAGGTTTTAACTTCCAAAACTCGTACACCTCTGGAAAACGCCAAGTCAAGATTTATCGATTTCCCGGTGGCGTACTTTATTCATCAACGCATTGTTTCTTGAAAAAACATTTTTATCTGAAATTTCATTATCATTTCAATTATACACTCACTGTTGAAACTCGTTTCGATTAAGGTTACAGCTTTTTGTATTCCACTAATCCGAATACAAAGCCAGCAGGACACGACGAATGAAATTGTCAAATAGCCTTTTCAAAAAAGTAATAACAGATGCGTGAATTCCAAAAATTAAAATTGGGTCGCGATATGTCGGCTAATTGTGGAAATGACATATTTTATCTTAATCTGTAATTATTTATTTAATTAACTTTTTTTAGACGCATTATATTGCTTTGAGCAGATACTGAACACTATCAACACGTAAATTAACACGAAAGAATGACACTGTGGTCTAATTCAAAGCCTTTATAACGTAATAAAATTAAACGGCTTTTGTCACATTACACTCCTTTGAAAACGTAACGAAAGCTCTACGCCCTATACAAAAACCCGAACGTAACTATATCTAAATCTGCAACAGGAAACCGCATATTGAATTACGCTTTTTTCATATTCGCTTGTTTTAAAGTAAGAGCAGGCTTGGGTTGCATAAAAAATCGTCTGATATGAAAGCGCCCGGGAGCAAGTATAAAAAAAAATAAAAGAACCCATTCGTGGTTCGAAGATCGTAAACCACGAAAAAAGATAACCACAAGCAGTAAAAATCTTTCACTTCTTTCAACGCTACAATCACCACCAGCATTGAATAGGTTTCATTAACCCGAAGGTTAAATTCAATGGCGAGTTGGTTTTACTAACGCAATTTTTAATCTTTGTCGCTGAACCTTAAAACGAACGAATTTAAACGGCGGAACACGAAAATAATGAGACAAGTGAAAGTATAAATTAGCTGAGGCGCTTTACACAATTATTCAAAAAAGTTAAATTAACGGCTTGGCTACGCAATTTTTTTTGTGTGAAGGGCGAAGTTTAAGAGCGACTGAAGCTCGTGACTGTGGTATGCAATCTATGCATCAAACTTATGGACACATGGTCTGCTTTAAGCCAAAAACATTTGATCCACTTATCGTGAATCATGCAGTATCATCTACCGTCAAGACGAAAAAAAAAAAAAAAAACAACAATCAATTAATCACCAGTAAAGCTTGTTTGTGATCAATGAGATAACTAGTTCTGACTCACTGAAATTAATAACTCGAAGCTCTTAAAAATGATAACGCAACAACTCAAAACTTTGAGTACCGACTACGTTTATTTATATTTCGTGTTTTCATGTAGTCGTCGTTCACGTCGTTCAAAACAATCAGAGATAAGCCATTCCCTGTCCTACTCCCACGAACTAGGACAAGTAAAACCCGGGGCACGTCAAGGGCCTTACGTTGCATGTGGATGAGCTGCCGGGGCTGCTTGTAGTTGGCGGGGTAAACCTTGTCGTAGAACTCCTTGTCTGGCATGTCCGCAACTTCCGGTGTGGGGATGATGAGTCCCGCACAAATCGCCCTTTGCAGATGGTGCTCCTGGAAGGGACCCAAAGACAATTAGGCTCACCGTACATATCATATGGTTGTAAATTGAAAAATCACCACCTGTTGCATTGTCGTCGCATTACAGTTCGATTTCCACGGTACGCCGTACGAAAGACGAGAACGTCAAGTCGGGATTTCGGTTTTTGTGGTTGGTATTTCGACCAAGTACGAAGAGGTAACACAGATTTTGAATTATATTTGGGATAAATCAGGGACAGCTGGTCGTGTCGCATGTCTAACGTCATACCGTGGAATTTCTGTTTTAGAAAGTGGCGGTTTTCAATTTACGAGTACAAAGGTGATAACATTCGCGAATAAAAATACGAAAACGTTTAGAAAAGTCCTTTTGATGTGCACCCGGAATGTGAGAAGGAGCCAAAAATAGGGGTGGAAATTACACCACGCTTTAATTATCGAACCTGATGACGTCGTTGAGCTTTTGAAGAGATTAAATCAAGAAATCTTCACTGGTGTTACGATAAGCTTAAAGTCTACTCCAAATTTAAAGATAATGAACATGAACAAATTCCCGAATTTTATAAATTCTGATCCACAATACATGTCATTACTTCCTACTTTTTTTTTTTAATTTTTTATGATTTCAATTTAATGTGCGAAGCGTTCTAAGTTGTTCTCGTTGGCATGTTTTTATCGTCCACCATTCACAATAGGAACTTAAAAATAAAGTTGAAAATAAAACTTTCTACAATTCTACTTCTAATTCAAAACTTGAAAATTGGACCATTTATCACTTTACAATTAATCTAAACAAACAGATTAATTCATTAACGTTTGATTACTCTGATCCTTTGTGACAAAATTAAAAGAAAATGAATTCTTGATATTGGGAAGTATTTCCTCTGCGTCCTGATAAGCAAAAAACGATATATTTCGTAACACCAGTTCACTTTCTTTAATTGTGTAATTATGAGATTTTTATCTTGTTCGACCCAAGGGATTTGGTGACCACAAAGTTTCAACTGGAACTGGAAGTATGTAATGTGAGTTGCATAAATTAAATTAAATTCTTTTAAAGCAGAGATTCAAAAATAATAACTTGATCTGTGAAATATATATGTATTCTATACAATGTAAGCAAGCAGAAAAAAAAAGTCAGAGCTCGTGATTACTAAACACAAGTAACTAGTAGCAATTGAGGCACATTTGGCAACTTTTTTTTAATCCTCGAAATACTCGAGGGTTCTCGCTGTCGGCAAATCCAAGATTGAGGAATCCTTGAAAAGGGGTTTTCCGCGGTTGAGAAGGGTGAGTGCACTAATGAGGTACAGATGCGTAGTCTAACCATATTTTTATATAGGTTTTTGTAATTGCATTATTAGACAGTTAATCTCCGAAATTAATGGCCTGATTGCAAATTTTCTTGGATAAATCTTATCTAAAATATTGGTCTAACTTGTGAATTATCCATCCACTCAAGCAATTTATTTCACTGATTACATTCGAAATGTATGCAAACTTATATAGGTACATATGTGATTGCTTCTTCACCTGGAGTTTAACAATCCAGTAGGGGTTGTCATACACCTAAATAAAATTCGTAAAATCAAATTTTTTAGTTTATTTAACAAAGAAGATTTGGTTGACTGTGCTTCACAGGCGAGGGAAGTTCTATCTAAACCATTCTAGACCAATTTAAATTTTACTAAAAAATGCAGATTTGCTTCCTCGTTGAAACTAAAACACATGGCGAAATTAGTTTTCTACGTTTCGGGCATATTTGCGTATACTAGTATCACCCCAAGTTGTAAAATTGTATGGACAGAGGACTTTCAAGAAAAAGTGTGCCAATAGAATTTATTCCACGTTTAAGAATGTTTTTCTGTGCAGATTTTAATAAAAATCGGCGTTTGGAATGCGATACGAGAGTCGTTCCCAGAAGAGTATATTGGTTATCAGTGTTTTATAATTAAAGTTGTATTAATACAACAAAATTAAAAAACGCAGATTAACCGCGAAAACGTAAACCTCCAGCAAATTTAAATAAAGCATGAAAACGTTAATCGCGACGATAATGGTTTGTTTGTCCTAGAATAGCTGTCACCAAAAGTGAGGTTATGGTTTAACGGAACACGGTATTTTTCTGTAAAGAACGAAACCCAGCACCCACACGTAGCCCCAGCGTCGCAAATGTCGGGTCCTCGCCTCTTGTCGCCCCCACGAGCCCGCCAAAGCCTCGCATTCCGCCCCCTTCACCGGTACCGCGAGCGCCGATAGTCCCCAATCGGGCGAAAATAGGGCGGCGAGCGCGAAACAGGGCGCCGCGGTGACGTTCCGGGCCGGCCGGTCCCACCGAGCCCCAAAGGGCCCCCGAGCCCGCCGGCTCCCAAATCGGCGATGACAGCTCGAGCCAGGCCCGCCAGAGCCCGCAAACGGCGGAAATGGGCGGAAAACGTGGGGGCGGAAGGGCGAGAAGGCTTCGAAAAGGGCGAAAAGCGGTCGAAAAATGCGTTTCGGCGGGCGCGCATCGAATCGCGATGGCGAGCCAAGATGGCGGCGCCTCGAAGGAAGCCCAACTTACGCATTCCTCCTCCTTCTCCATGCCCGAGGGCATCTGGGGGACCGCTCGGTTGATCGCCGAGTAGTCCGGGAGGTCCGGGAGCTCCTCCGCCATGTAGATGGGCATGGGCTTGCTGGCGTCGAGGGCCCGCGCCCTGAACGAGAGCTTGGACATATTTGTTGACAGCACAAAACACACGACAGCGCCAGCATAAAATGCGGCCGAAAGGGGCCTTCCCGAGCCTCGGGCCGCCCGAGACGGACACTGAACGCCGCTCCGCGCCCCTTAGTACGTTCCCATCGTTCCTGTTTACACGCACTCAGTCACAAATACAGTAAAACAACTTTGAAACTTTCCATGTTGAGCGTGTATTGCGGAAAGCCATCATGGCGGCTCTGTCATGGAACCATAGAAATTACTACCGACATGCAGTGCGCGGGAAGCGTTTACGCACGCCTCCGGAGGGTGCTCCATTCATGCCGAACCCGACCCCCGCGCTCCACACCCCCTAACAGCCCCCGATTTCGGCCCCGGTGAGCCCCAAATCGACCAAAACCGACACGGAAAGCCCGATCGGCCGCCGCCGATCGCCAAACTCGCCAAAAACGACCCGGACTCGACTCCGCGAAGTTGCTGATTTGACTAGTCGCCGGCCGCGGTACTTTTTGCTGCGTTGTGTCAACGATGACGGCCGAACGGACTTCCAGGCCGAATTTACCGCTAGTTGGGACTTTTCGGCGATGAGGGGCCCAAGGCGGACTTTTGCCGCCACGATTTTTAATAAAAACCCTTTGGCTTCAAGTGACAACAGGTACTTTTGACGGGATATTGGGGAGAAGTTTTATGCGACTTGGAAGACAACAATGGCGGTGGGGGGAGCGAGTGAAGGCGGCCGAGTCTGACAAGGAGGGGCCAATTAAAAGGAAATGACGTAACGAAGAGACACGTGGAAGAAAAACGGACGCGGACACCTGGCGGACGCGTCGGAAACTGCTCTCCAGACAGTGGGTGTCTATAATGGATTTTACACTATTTATGGATGCGGCGATGAGGTGGCGCCAGGTGCCAGGCAGCTCGTTTTTATTTTTATTAAATTTTCTTTTCAATGGAGTACCAGTTACCTTCATGTTACAAGTTTTTACAACTTTTTTTTCTAATACGGCCAGAACAAATGTAAGGCAAGCCCTCCTACATTCAAATCTATTCCGCTTAACATTACAAACATTTTTTTTCCGGACACATTGATTAATTTGATGGCAAGATCTGAAGTTATGCAACCCAATATACACCGCTTAAAAATTTAATGTTTGATTTTTCACTTTACTTCCTTTACATTTTTTTCATTTTAAGGAGACTTTAGGTGGCGTAATGCATGAAAAACCGAAAATTGAAATCGAAAGGAAACATGCAATGTCAACATGTTGCTAGGTAAATCTTGAATATTTTTTGTAGTCATTTTAGCCACTTTTTGTGACCATTTTTTCGCCTTTTATGGGCTTCTTTTCTCGTTGCCAAAAAGTTGATGAAGTCATCACAAATTGTACTATGAAAAACTTTATATCAAATGATTTAACCAATAGGGTTATCATAAAAAAATCCGCAAAATCAAATTTTGTTATTCAGCACAAAAGCGGGATTTTTTAATGTACTTCAAGAGCGAAATTCTGTCTAACAATAATCATCAATATTTTGGGATAACGTCATCAAACCTTGGAAAGGATCACAGTAGTTTTCTGACAATCCCTCTAAAAAAGTGCTATTGTGGCAAAACTACTTCACGTAGATTTTTTATTTTTGATTGTGTAACAGGTAGGCTATTTCACATACCAAGAACTGCATAGTTATTGCGTAATTAGCATCTTTAAAACCACAGATAGCCCGAGGACTGCCAACACTGGAAAGCAAAATATTGCTAGGAAGACATCGGAGATTTTTCCAAGAATCAAAATGAGAACACATTCGATGCCGTGACTCACGCTTTAATTTTGCAACGACTTTCATATTTAAATTCAAAGACTGATGAGAATAATTTTGCTGTTTTTACTTTCCGAGCGCAATTTTCTTCACGTGTTTACTGTCACTGAAGCGCACAAAAAACCTCAAAAGTGAACAGTATGTATGTCATTAGCTAGCGATTTTTCCTTGCTAACCTTTTACGAACTTCCTTTTGCAGAGTACGTTCCTGGCGTCTTATTATAGTACCTTTTTGTATGGAAACAAAGGCAGTCAGAGACAACTAAGACATGACGCTATGGCAGCAGCGACCGAATGTGGCCCGTAAGTAAAGAGTACGAAGAGGCGACGACCTTTTACTGAAAACACAAGACGACAGCTGAGGTCAAGTCCAATTTTCGTAAACTCTAGAAGATTTTGACAATACATTTTTGTGTTGGTTGTACAGAAATGACAGAAAACTCAGTTCTTTGTTTGTTATGGCAACAGCGCTCCACTTCGCGCGAATGTTTGTGGGGGCGCCCCGGGCGTGAATTCGGCGGCGCCGCCGCTGCGCTTTCGGTGGCGCCTAACAAGGCCTTGCGACCAGCCGCGACCTTCGCAGCACCGGCAGGAATTCGAGGTATGCGCAGCAGCGACGCCTACTGCCATCGCCGGAGACAGGAAGATACGGTCCTGTCCTGCGGCCGCTTTTGGGGAAAATAACACGCACGATTCGGACAATGCGGAAGACCCGCCAGAGTCGAATCCGGCTCTGGCGCCAAACTGTTCATCCTCGGACCGCCGGCTTCGAGCGCTGCCGCCTGCCAGATTTCGACTTCGCCTTACAACCTGAGAGTAAACTTGGTTTTAGACGTGAGGAAAAACACCAGGGTTGGATTTGAAATGGAAATTGGATTTTTGGGGCGTGGATGGACGACCCTGGTCACAAAATCGTGTTTCCTAACAAATAAATGTATCTTTAGAAGGTAGAGTTTTGTGTTTTTTTACAGTTCTTTGTTACAAACAGGTTTGCCAGTGTTGGAATATCGATTCGAACATTTTCAAAAAAAGTATAAAGTTGGGATTTTATGCAGAATTTTTGCATTTTTTGCATATTTTGTCTGGGTTTTGCCGTGTTTGAATATTTGGTGATTGGTGCTGTGCGCACACTTTTTAATTTTACAAGATCAACATTTTTTATAATTAGCACATTTTTAGTTTTAAAATTGCAAGTACTTACTGATTGTTGCCCACCATTGGATACAAACCTATTTTTCCCAGAAAAATTTTCTTCAGGTATGGGTTACCATATTTTTGGTACTTTCACCACATATATGCACTTCACGTTACATATTTTAACTATTACAATAAAACATCAAAGCAGACCGCTTATAAAATTTTATTTTCACTAGATGAGCTATGAGTATTACTTTACTGTTCGGCGCATATTTGGAGAAAGCGAAAAGGTGTTAAAAATATTCCAAAAACATCCAAATTCGAATAACTTAAACACAGCTACTTAAATTAGGTTATAAGAAGAGGTCTTTTTCGTGTAATTTGAAGACCACAAAAAGTTGCTGTCAAAAGCGTAAAGTGCTTCGTTCTAAAACACCAAGGGCCCCTGTGATTTTTTTACTTATTCCAGAAATAAAACACACAGAGATTTTTTTTTTCAGCTTTATTCAAAAATAAAACACCAGCGACCCCCGACATTCTTTAAATTTTTTTTTTTTTGAAAAAGCAAGCATCAGAGGCCCCCACCACTTATCACAAAATCATTCTGCAGCACGTAATCTACCTTCATCATATGTCCCCGTACTATTTAATGTGTTTTATTAAAAAATTCATAAAAATTAATTTACTATGAAAGAAGCAAAAACCTCCGTATTCTTCCGAACAAAAAACTCCGCCAAAATCGCCTAATTACCGTAGAGGACGTGAGAAAACAAAAACTCCATACATTTACCGTGACGTAATTAGCCTCCACCGCAATTATTCATATTTATTCTTATGCACACACAATCGACAATTAATTTACCCCTTCCAAGCCACCTCTCTCGTTCTAAAAATACCGTCAACGGGAAGGCCTTCCACCATCCTCGTTCTCGTTTTCTGCAAAACCGCCGCCACTTCTTCAAATCACCTGGCTCGAGGAATCCGGTTATTAATAGTGGCGCTGTCACAGTAATGACGAAACGCCATCCAGGCGAATTCTGTGATGTTGATGCCTCCACAACAACAACGACGATGACGCATATAATTACAGAAATAACAACCTGTATTAGAAGATCTTTATTTTTAAACCGCGTCAAAAGGCGACCGTTTCGTGTGTTACCATCCGGATCCGAAATTTCGAGTATCCCGACCTATACCACTCCTGATCTGTAGCACGGTGCAGCGCGGCTACCGTAAGTTGCGTGCCGCAACTTGCGATACTCGAACTGTGTGGCGGTTTTTTTGCTCGGTTTAAATCTCCGCCAATTACCGAGATTTGCATAAATGCTGCTTTGGGATGGTAGGGGGGGTCGAAACGTCGCCGGATGGCAATTAATTAAAAATGTAGTAAACATCCAAATACTATCCTTCTCGGAATTATCTACTTACCTCGAGTTTCTGCTGCAAGAAACCAGTTTTTATGTTATTATAAAGTCATGTTGTTATGTCGTCATTATTGCACATTCGCTATTATTATATTATTGCTTAGCGACCGCTGATGGGATGCTTGGATGGTGCTGGAGGTTCGCTAACAGTATCTAAATGTACTTGCACTTGGAGGATGTTTTTGGTTTGAAGTTGTCGCTCATGGGGAATTTGGATTTTAATGACTTTGACGTAGTTGACTAGTTACGGTTTAAATGGAAATAAAACAGTTTATGTGTTCAGAGGTGTGCTTATTTATTATTAATCATTATCTTATTGTTGTTATGCTAATCACTTCTGAGAAATCGTATAATCTCTTCCTGAATATTGTAAAATCAAGTCTGCATGATTTTTTTATCTTCACGTTCACCGGAGTGGCGCTTGAAATATCTCCACTAACAAACATAAACAGTTATTACCGTTTGGAGAATGTCAATCCAATAAAATCTTAAAACAACGATTTGCCATTTTCGTGGGGCTTAGTTTATAGCGTCAGTGTAAATTATTACTAGGGTTAAATAAATTTCTGAAAACTACCATCAGTTGTCTACTTAAAACTGAAAATATTTTATCAGTTTCCTAAATGTAAAAAATTCCACTAAATTTTTACAGTGTGAGTGCCAGCAACTGTACTTGATGGTCGTATTTGGAAAAATAACACGGTTTGTCACACTTTATGATCATACAACAATGCAATTATTAGCAGATCAAGGTTATCTCATTGAAAAATGTCCGACAATTCCTTATAAGAAACCTAAGACGCCTCAAGAGTTTGCTTTTAATAATCTTCTGAAATGGGAGAAGATACTTTAGACAGTTAAAACAACGCCCCATGTTACAGAATACCATTACATCATCATTAAAATCAGTTCCAACTGTAACCATGGCGAGTTTTACCTAGATCGTGTATATAAATATTTAAAAGATGATGCGGTGCTGACTATGAAGATTACCCAGAACTGGATGAGAAGTTGATTTTCATGAAAATAAAAATTTTGGAAATGTGGATGAAATAACAGCAGAAGGACAAAATATCTGAAGACAAAGCTTAAAACAATACGCAGACCGAATATAAAACAAAATTTCAATTAATTTTAGTTTGATTTAATAAAAAATAATAAACAGGTAAAGACAAAAATCAGCTTGGATAAGAATGAATTTAATTATTTTTTAAAATATCTGTCAATCTTCTTTTTTCAGTTTTAAAAGTTGAATGTCTTAATTGAAAAGTGGATAATTATTTTATGTGGTGGTGGTGTCGATGGAAACTTTTTTGGTTTTGCCCCTTCACAATTTTTTAAACGCTGGAAGAAGCTGAAAAAATCTCGAAGGCCCTTGATGTTTTATTTCTGGAAGGAACTGAAAGAATATCGAGGAATCAGTGCGGTTCTATTTTCGGAAGAATTTGAAAAAATCTCTGGGATCCTTGGTGTTTTATATTTGAAAAAATTTGAAAAAGTTTCCCGGGTCCTTGGTATTTTATTTTTGAAAGAAGTTGATAGAATCTTAAGGGTCCCTTGAAAGAAGCTTGATGCTCCTAGTGCTTTTATTGCTGGAAAAAGTTTAAAGATTACTGATGACCTGTGGTGTTTTATTTTTGGACGAAGTTGAATGAATCTTGGGGACCTCCAATGTTTTATTTTTGGAAGAAATTGAAATAATCTCGGAATCCCTGATGTTTTATTTTTGGAAGTCAGTGAAAGAAGCTCGAAAACCACTGTGATGGTTTTTTGGGAGAATTTAAAAAAAAATCAGGAGTCCCTAGTGTTTTATTTTTAAAAGGAGTGATAGAATCTTATGGGTCCCTAGTATGTTTATTGCTTCTACTGCCTCTGGTGTTTATTTTTGGAAGAAACTGAATGACTTTAAGGGACCCTGATGTGTTTTTTTTTACTGGAAGAAGTCGAAAAAATCTTGGAGGTCTATGGTGTTTTATTTTTGGAAAAAGGTGAAAGAATCTTGAAGGTCTTAGTATTTTTATCGCTGGAAGAAGTTGAAAGAATCTCGATATCCCTGATGTTTTATATTTGAAGAAGTTGAAAGAACCTCAGGGCTGCTGGTGTTAATATACTGAAGAAGGTTAAAGAATGTCAGAGCCCTTGGTGTTTTAAACTTGTAAAAGTTGAAAGAATCCCGGAACCTCTGGTGTTTTATAATTTGAAGCATCTCGGGGTTCCTAGCGTTTTATTTTTGAAAGAAGTTGAAAATATTTCTAAGACCCTGATATCTTATTTCTGGTTGAATTTGAAAGAATCCTAAGAACCTCTAATGTTGTATTTTTGAAAGAAGTAGAAAGAATCTTAAAGGTCCCTGGTGTTTTAATTTTGGAAGATTCTTGATGTGTTACTTTGGAAGAAGCAGAAAAAGTCCTGAGGCTTCCCGATGTTTTGTTTGTGGAAGAATTTGAAAGAATTTTGAGTGGAAACCTTGGTTTTTTTGTTTCTGCAGAAATATATATGTATTGAGCGTAATTTGATCGTGAATTGAACGATAAGCGAAGACTGTTGAAAGAGTCAACAAAAATAAGGGAGTGGCGCTATCGCTATTAAAAAAAATAACAATAAATAAAATCGACATGATTTAGGTGACGATTATAGAGCCAGCGACCTTTGTTGCCATAGCGAATGCAGTGAATATAAATAGACAGTGTAATAAAAATAATACATATTTTTGTAATAAACTATTAAAATATTTTCGTCTTTGCTAAAAAATGCTCGTCACAGACAGAACAGTGAATATATTTTTTTCGGAATATATTAATCAGTGCCAAAAATTTTCTGTTGTTTTCGTGAAATTTCTTTTTGTAGCCATTAATTAAAAAACGTTTCCACGTCACGACAAAACACGTTTACTGAAAAATACCTCTTATTCATGTATAATCACCTGTTTTCGTCAGATGCCAATATGTATATTAAACAACATTTTTATCGACTTTTAATACACAAAAATTTTAAAACGCTTTTAAAACTAACAGGTTACGAACGAAAAAACACGTACGTAGTTCAAAGCAGAAAAAACGGAAATCGTTCCATCAACCCGCGTCGTGTGATACAAAAATGCTAAAAAACAACAAAACAATGAATTCGTCAAACGACATTAAACCGTGAAACGACCTAGAAGTATTTTAACACTTCATTCTAGTTCATTAAAATTCTTCCGCCTAAAACCGCAAAAATGCCCCAGCTATGTGCGAAGCACGTTAAATCTGATGCGTTAAAACCCGACCTCGAGGACGCTGGTAGAGTCCCGGAGCGTCCAGATTCCTCGTCCCGTACAGAAGCTCGAAATACCGCCAAACATCGGCTTGCCGTTCACATTCCTCTAAAATGAAAACAAGCAAGAAAGAGCCGATTTTAGCGTTTAACGATCGCCTGCAATTAGTGGTTGGCAAGGTCAGTGTTAAAAGCGCGCCCGTTACCTACCCAACTTTCAGTGGTAGCACTGTAATGGAGCACCGGTAGAGAATATCTGTATCCCCACGACTTACTATATAACATTAATAAATAAAGAGTAGTACTCCCTCATTTATAATCAGTTTTAACCTCGGCTGTGCGTGATCGTGAACTTGTGTCGGTGGCGGCGGAGTGCTGTGATCGCCGCATTCAAACATATGTTGCGGGAGCAGAGGAAGAGGAAGCGCACGAAGGGACCGGGACGGCGCCGGCCCCGGGGGCGGTCCTTGAAAATCCTGGAAATCCCGAAAAAAGCGCGCTCGGCGGAAGCGGCGACTCGTGGATTTTGGCCATTTTGCTGCGGCTCGGGAAATTTCGGCAATTCGGTGCATGTAGGTTTGTTAATGAGTAATGTTTCAAGGACTTCTTCATTTACGAACGAACGCTCGTGGAATATTTCAGGAATTTTGGGGCCGGAGGAATCCGCGGAATTTTTCTTTTCTTTTTTGGGAGATGGATGTGTGTTGTTGTTTGTTGCAGTTTGTTGGTTTAAAGTGGAAATTTATGTTGTGCAATTGGCGCTGAGAAAAAACTCAAGTGTTTCTGGAACTGCTGGAATTTGGTAAAATTACAATTTACGACTTCTTGCGGAGGAAAAATCATGACGGTGATAATTACCATACCGATTTTCGAGGTGACGAAATTATGTTTGGAATTCTTTAACGACGACGATAAATTCCTGCTAGGTGGTGTCTATTGTTATCATTTTATTATCACGGTTATTATAGACAGTGATGTCAGTTTTAATAAGTTTTATGTTTAAACATGCTTCATCGCGTAATTTATAAGCACATTACGTCTTACAGTGCATTACATTGTACCGATTTGTTGTTGTTAAAATCACAAAATTAAAGTGCGAAATGGTATCCTGAAATTCGAATATCCTCACCAATAGAAGCGTTTTCCGAAAGGTTATTCAATGTGATTTTGGAAAAATTGATGCAATAAAAACTCAAAGTAAAATTCTGTAACAATTCTTTGCCGATTCTCAAAAAACTGTAGGAGTTATTGAAATAATGATGTAAATTTTTGATATTTTTTTTACTCGCGGAAAAAGCAAATATCAGCTTCTCTAAAATCGGGAAAACGTCAACAAATCAAACACAGATTTCGACGATCTGAGGCATAAAAAAGTAACAGGATTGGGTAGCTACAATACGGTTATCAGGAAACGAAAACCGAAACCAATATGGCGGCTAATTCTCAAAATATGCGAATCACACCAAAATTTTTTGAACGTTTCAAAATCTGGCATATTTTATTTTGGCGATTTTGGTAAAATGGTAGGGTTAATAGACGAAATAGCACCTTAAAAAAATCCAAGAAGTCAAAAAGTGGAATTTTTCGTATTTCTTTAACCACGTTCACAAGATTTAGCTAGCTTTTAATAAAAAAATGTAGAATTTTGACAGTTCTGTATCAAAATTCGAGAAGAAAATTGTAAAATCCACAAATGTGAAAAATATTAATTACTTATATCAAAATAAACCAAATAATGTGCATATTAATAACGAAATACGTGATTGTGCCGTTTGTTGCTCGTGCTTAAGTATGCAACCAACTATACACATTTTTATAAGTTCTAGTGATTTCAGGAAGAAATGAATTTATTAAAAATATATCGATTGACCTCGTTATTTAAATTTTCAGAATCATGCAAAATCGACTAACTGCGCTATCAAAATTTTGCTTCTAAGTGTATCACTAGCAATAATTTACTTAATAAAATCCTCTGAAAAACAAAAAGTATGGATCTCATTTCCCGTTTAATTTTTAAATCTAGTGATTTCTGTAATGAGTACCATTGTTGAGGACATAATTTGACGAGAGACTTTCATGGGCTACATTAAACTATAAAGGTTGAAACTGTATGATTTTTTAATAGCAACTCTGCAGACAGAATTTTTTCTCACAACATCACGATATTTATCTCAATTTTGTGTCAAATTTTGAAAGAGGCAACTGAAGATTTTTACAATTTTTGACCAGTTTTGTCGAATTTTAAATTATTTTTTAAGTAAGAGTCCATGATACGAAAAAATCAAAATTCTTTTGTTGTTAAAATTTTGGTCAAATTTTCACAAATTTTTCCTTAGTTCGCTGACGAATTAACTTTTCTGTCAAATTTTAGACACACGGTGTCATTTCCAGCACAGACCCCGTTAATCACTCGTCTTATCACCACGTCAAGTACCCCGATATCAGTCTACAAAACTTGTTACTTAGCCGTGTCACAATGTCATCAACACTTTAGATCTACAACCAGATTACACTTCAAACGACTTTAATAATTGTCGTCGAACATATGGCCATTGAGCCTCGACAAATAAGGTGTAGAGGTAGCCTCTCCTAGGCTTTGTCTGTAAATTCGAAGAGACATAGCCTGATTGAGGCTAACTCTAGCCTCAGCATCCGCATCAAAGACAAACCCCCAGTCATCACCGTTAAGAAACCTTGAAGTATGTTGTAACCACCATAAATCTTTAATTATTATTATTAATTTTTTAGAGACGAGACGTGAGATTTCCACTTTCCTCCGCTTTATCGCATCGCTGGTAATATGGTGTCATTGTAAGTCGTAACCGTAAAAGTTTAATTGTGAGATTTTTGCATAATTTTTAACAAATTTGTAAACACAGCTCCTATCTTCGAATCACAGGCGTGATTTAGCGTGAAGCTACAAGTAAATTGTTTACTAATTAATTTGTGTAGCTTTCTAGACGTTTCAAACCTGAGAATTTTTCTAAAATTGGTCCTTCCCCGGAGAAATTTGCTTAATAAAACGCGATTATCGCAACTCCAAGACCTGAAAGCGCATTTTGATTGTCTCCGATTGAATAAGACCCCTTAGATCTTTGATGGTTCTGCACGTGTCGTAATAACGCCAATTAGAAATTATCCAACTTTACGATGTTTGCCTTTCGAGAAAACAACAAAAAGCATCCAGTGAAAGTGCAAGAAATCCATAAGCCACGGATGGAGGGATGGGCTGGGAAGGGAAGATGCGCCATGATGGGGGATACGTATATAGCCATTATCCATAATTTCCGACCAGATGGGCGCCAAAATCATGCGAGTTCAGTGAAAGCGTGCCCGCGACCCAAAAAACCAACACGCGCCGGATTAGCGTAAATTCGACGGTGAGTGAATTATTCATACGGTGAATTCGAACGAGAAATTTGTAGAAATTGTTTGCGGAATTTGAAATTCTAGTGTGGATGATAGTGTGAGTCCTTGAGTGTGCAATTGCTTGAATCCATAATTGTGGCTTTCTAAAGGATATGCACTTGAGTCGTGATCGTAAAAAAAATCTTAATTGTTGATTTTCCGCTGCATCATAATGATTTTTCCTTGTTTATACTTCTAGGTTGGATGAAGGATAATGTTAAGAATCTTAAGTATTTCAGGTGAGTCCGAGGAGTTGGTGATTTGATTACAAAATTATGAGTTCTTGCAGTGCTTTGTTTTGTTGCTAGTGAATGCCTCTACCACAAAATTCGCAAACGATGGGTGGATATAGAAAACGCTACTTTTACGTTTGATTGTGCGGATAGGGCGATTGGGTTTTACGCAGACGTGGAATATGACTGCCAGATTTTCCACATGTGCGATCCCGAGGGACGGAGGATCCCGCATCTGTGTGCGAACGATACGAGTTTTAACCAGGAGTACAGGATCTGCGACTGGGCGAACAATTTCGACTGCTTAGAGGCGCCAAAATGGTGAGTTTGAAGGTACAAATTCTACGCAATAAAATTCAGATAATTATTTCTCGTTTGTCACGTCAGTTGTTTCTTTGCTTTCTATTTTCGTGTCAGATGTGGAGTACATTTTTGTGTGCAATGCACAGGAAATAATTTTATAAATTAATAAAAAAATCATTTAGTAAATCAGGAAAAGATCATTTGTACCTGATTTAAAAAATAAAAATGACGTTTAATGAATAACGGCACACTCTGTATGGTAAAACCCAATACTGGATTATGTACGTAGATGACTTTAATGAAAATGTATGATTATTACATCCTGTGTAGTCTCATCGATCAGAGTAAAAATCTGAACTCGCCAGTAATTTTTCGCTATAGGCAACCAATAATACACCGCATTCCAGGTACTTCCTCAACGAGCTAACCTACGCCACAGATCCCCCCAAGGACGCCGATGACGACTACACCTCCAATTAAAACCGCCAACAAACACTTAATTTAAACCTAAATTATTATATTTTTAAAATAATTGAAATAAATTTTCGACAAAACAAAGTTTTTTTTTATTAAATAACCAATTCCTCGAAAACCGCTTCCAAGCTCTCGGACCAAATCGAGCCCCACATTTCCACTAATTGCCACCCAAAGCGCCGACTTCCTGCAGATGGCCGGCAAGTTCCTCCTGCCTTTACCAGATGCCACCACTTCGAACCAAGACATGCAGCAATTGCTTTGCCGCGTAGAAGGAGAAAATAGCTTTTATTGTCCGTTCATGCTTGATAGCTCCGACTCTTCGTCGGAAATCGCTCATCCTCTCCAAATAGTCGCAATTCTTGCAAGCCCAGCACCGGTACGTTTCGGCGTTTCGCACGTGATGTTAAGACGAAGAACCGTCCAGTGTGTGGGTGGCCGCATCCGGGAAAATGTTTGAATTTGAAGGATTCGAGAAAAGGTAACCGTCGGTGAGTGTTTTTTTTTGTAATTATTTTGTAACAGAACGTAACATGTAACTGTGAATGCTCACTTTTGTTTGTTTTTCATTGTTTACTTAAGCGTAATTGGCAAGTCGGTTGTTAATAACGGAGACTTCGATGATGAAGTAGGAACGTAAAGCGGAAAAACTCGATTTAATCACATGGGGTTTTTGCGTTTCTTTATGCCCGCGTGTACGATTATTTTTTTTCGGTGGTTAGACGTCAAGACGCGGTCCAATAACCCGCGATGTCCCCCTTTAGATTTAAATAAATTATCTGGGTCTGTACCATTGTTGGATTACCGATTGAGGAGAAACTCCCAAAACAAATTTACATTGCAAAGCATGGGTGCACGCTGCATACATCACGTGGACGCGTCCACTTTTAGTAATCGAAGACTGAAGTTCGTTGACGCGAATCTCTGAGCTTTTGGGTTATTAGCGAATTATGGGTTTCGATTTAATTGTAAGATGTCTGCGAAATGAAAGCCTTTTGTTACGGGTTTTAATTCAACTTCCGTTAGTCCAGCCAGCGTAAAAAATGAATTTCATCCAGATGTATAAACATTAAACACGCACCATCAATGCTAATTTGGTAAATTATAGTGTCTTTTTTTCTGTAAGTGTGCGAAATTAGTCACAAACCGTTAGCTTCAATTTGGCAAGAGTGGTCTGATCGTGTAGGTTAGATTTCGGGTTTTATAGGTCTGACGCGTTTGGGTAAATATGTATATATTTTTAATATTTAAATAACCGAATCTCGAGATTATAATCGCAGGGTTATAAAATTTAGTGTGTGAACAAGACATTGTTTAAAAACGGAGAAAGTGATGGGTCTGTGTTTTCTTGTTATCTTCTTGTTTAAAAAGAATAACGTATGTTGTCGATAGTATCTTATCGGTATACCAGGTGTCCTAGATTTTGCCTCTGAAACAGCAGCTCGTTTATTAGTCGGAAATCAGTAGGTAGTGGAAGCTCAGTTTAATGGCACGATGAGTACTATATAATTTTAAGTCCTGCATCTTTTTTTGGACACACAGTAGAATAAATACTGTTACAACACTTGAAACAATTCCACAAATACATGTGAAAGAAATTTGTGACAGTTTATTTAAAAATTTTTCAAACACTTTTTTTTTGGATTATTAGCATTCATTTTCTAAAACATACACAAAAATATTTTGTATTTGTTGTTTAAGCTGGTTTTAAACACTTTTTCAAATTTGGATAAAATTTTGTGCGTTTTACGTGAGCTAACGTCTTATTATCACACTCGTCTTATTACGTAATTAATATTTTAGTAAAAATAAAAACGTAAAAAGTTACATCTAGACAGACACTGTTTTATGTTCGAGCCAGGTTTGACAACAAAATCATACGTTTGGTGCAAATTCATGCTTTATATCTAATAGGTTAATTTTAGTTACGATGTAAATATAGGAGACAGGTGTTTTCACATCCACGACTCACTTGATTATAAAGCAATTTGGTCACATATAAAAATGGCCGGTATTCGTGGATGTATTTTCTACTATTATTGAAATGTATGGCGAATGACTACTTTAATGTTTTCTGGTTATTTCATGACCCATTGAGCATGAAAAAATTGTCTGATACGATAAAACTGACTTTGGCAAATGAGATACCCTCTAAGAAAAGTGATGGTGGGTGGGTGGGGCTAGTACTTACTAAGATAAGAGTGATTTTGGGAAATGAGATATCCTCTAAGAAATGAGAGAGTCGGTGGGCGGGGCTAGTACCTGCTAAGGTAAAACTAATTTTGGCTAATTTTCTAGACACCCGGTGTAATGAGCACGTTATAAGAGAAAATTAGAATTTGCTACACCAATGACCCAATGAGAAATTAAAGAGGGAAGAAGAAATGAAAATTTTAATGGGGTATAGAAAAGACAGAAACCCAAAAAACTAGGAAACATAGAGAAATAGTGACAGACTGTTCAGCAAAAGGAGTTGAAGAAAAAATAAAAACTATTTCGAAACAAAGGAACAAATAAAAAACTCATGTTTTCTTTATTACTATCACCCAAATTTTAATATAAATCTACTACTCCATAATATCTTTATAATCTTTCTATTGTCGTAAAATCAGAAGTTTTTTTTAACGTTTTTAATTCGCGATTTTAACGAAAACCATGTTTAAGGTTATTAGTAAATTACTTTAATTAGTATCAGTAGTCATTGGTATCATTACCAAGTATGCTTTACCGTATCCTCGAGTTTCTAGTCCACCTGCAAATACCCCATCATGTGGAATGTACGCGATTAAAAATTAGAACACTTGAAAGTAAGACCGTGCGTAAACTGCCTTTTCTTCGAACAGAATGACGTTAGAGTTCCGCTTAAAAACAATCAAAATTCAGCCCACGGCGTTTTATCACGTGCCACCACACTCGGAAATTCTGGAATATTAATTTTAAACGTACCAACCGAAAATTAAAGACGAAAAATTAGAAACGTCTGACAAACAAGACAAAGTTAGTTACAGTTCAACAGCCAGAAGAGGTCTTAAGATCAAACAAGTACTATTCAACATGACACACATACATCACACCATGACTTGTTTATTCTTACATATTAAGTATCTCCGTTTGCAAATATTTTTCGCAGACATGATACATCCTCGCCGAAAATAAATTTCTCCCATAGAACAATACCCACAACCTAAATATTTTTGATCGACGTAATTCATCATCATCATCCAACGGTACTTGCTTCACCTTGACCCCCGACTCACGCACAGTTTTCCTCAATTTCCTCGCCCATCCCGGGTAATGAGGAGAAAGTTCTTGTACGACTTCTCTTGTTACTTACTATACCAAGTGTCTCCAATCTAACTCAAATTTTCACTTTCATAATAAACCAAACCGTTTTTTTTTTCAGGACGAAGATGAAGTCATACATTCTCCTGGTCACCCTACTCATTATAATTTTTTGCCACTGGAGCGCCGCCTCCACCACCGGAATCAATCCAAGACAGACGTCCGCAATAACCGAGCTCGTGGGGGGAAGACTAAGAAACCTCTGGACATGGATTTGGAGCAAAAAGGGAACCGAAAACAATTTCGTAGGTAATATTTTTTCGACCACACGATCTCGATGATCCTAATAACACTCCTTCTGTTTTCTAGATCGATGCTTCGGAGTGGCTCGCAGGCTCAAGTTCGCGATGCCGGTGATTCTTTTCAAGCTGGGTGTGATCGTTACCATTCTGGTATTCCTGACGATATTCTCTCTAAAAAGTTTGGGGCTTTTGGTGATGCTGGTGATGTTCAATTCCACTGGGTTGGCTGCGAAGTTGGCGCTCACGAAGGGTGGTGGGCATAAGCAGTGGGAGCGGCCACAGAATGTGCATTTTCATGTACACTCGAAGGATTTCGTGAAGGATGGACATTTTCAGTCGGATTATGAGCATGGGTGGGACGACAGGAACGGGGTGGAGGATGGGGAATATGACAGTCTGGACGATCGGCTGAAGAGGTTGAATATTTATGAGGGCTACTACAAGAAGTACTGATGTGAATATTGTTGTCTATTTTTGTGTAGTAATTTATTGATTTAGATGTTAAGGATTTTTGTAGATATTATACTTTAGTAGCAAAGAAACCCTCTTTTATTTAAATTTTTTTTATAATTTCGGTATAACTGGACTGAGAGTAAGTTTGTGAAATTAATTAGCTTGCTCTCTTATTGACACAAAAGTTGAATTTGGTAGAAAACGTAAAAGTGTTTTTGTAAATATTTTGTTGATAATAATTCATTAACAATAAGATTGTTATGAACAATGCGTTAAGGTTATTAATTTATACACAAATATTTTTTACAGAACAATATTAAAGCAACTTTAAAATTTAAACATGATTTATTTTGATACCCTGACGATACTAAAGTTTAAATTTAATGTTAACTTATAAAATTAAACGAAATATAGGTTTTAAAACAAACTGAAATTGACAAAGACTCCCAGTTAATTAAAAATAATTTTAAGTAGAAAATGAACGTATGTCTGACTGCTGAAAAAAAAATCAGAAATCGATTCTCTTGTCATTTTTTTTGTGAAGAATTTCATGGTGACAATTCTGCTATACGGGTAAAATTGAGGCGGTTATTTTTGCGAAGCTTCGATGAAATTTTCATATAACGGCTTAAAAAATTATCTACATCAGCTTATCAAAGTGAATTAGTTATATTTGCGCAGCTTCCGCATTCTAGTTGTGGAAATACCAACTATAAAATATGAAGTGTACATTTTAGGTGTATATTTGGTTGCATACCCACAGTTTTATAAAAACGTTTCATGTTCCTGCAGAATGTTGCAGACCTTGGCCATGACATTAGATTAGGTAAATATATAATTTAAAATTTAAAAGTCGTCTTCCTGTAACTTCTTGTGCTTGTATTTGGCTTTTTTACAATCGTCAGTGCAGACATTTCTGCTGATGCTTTTGGTTTTCATTATTTAATTTAGTTGTTCTAAAAATGAAATATTAATTATTTAATAAGTAATATAAATTCCAATTTGTTGTTTTTTAATGAGGAATTCGAGCTTTCGTTTAAATCATTGATCTTTCAAACGAAAATTTTTGGAACTCTGGTATGAAGTTTCTTCTGGTATCGGTTTGAAGAATCAGTTAAACTCATTCAGTTTGTACAAGTATCCTCTGTAAATAATAGAACAAGTCAAACATTATTTGCTTGCTTTAGTGTATGCCGAACAAGAACATGAAACTTCTTACTTTGTTCTTTGCATCTGATATTCTTTTATAATGTGTATACACATACCATAAAATTAGAAAACATCCTACTTCTTCTTAAATGCATCAAAGTTCATTAGCAACAGAGTAGTTCATAAGGTGACTGTGGGAGACCACGAAACAAAAACTATTGTCTTTTTTATGAACCAAATATTGAGAGTTTCTAGTGTCAATTTGAAATCATAGTTATATTTTAATTGACTTTGATCATTAACCGTTATTTTTGCAAACTTAAATTCCAGCCCCATAAAACTGCAAATACGGCCATCTGTCTCTGTTTGAGTAACATTCGGACAACTGTTAACTATACATAAGCTTTAGCGAAACTTGGTTTTTCGCAACTAATCCTAACGTCTTCTAGACACCACTTTCCACAACTCCCTAGCCGCTCGCTCGAACACTCGAGTGCAATTTGCACAATTAAGCGTTTTGAAGCGAAAACGTCTTTCTAAGTGCAGGAAATCGTCACATTTGAAAAGACTGACACACTTGAGAAAAAAGAATTTGTTTTAAATATGACTTGCATTCCTGTCACGATCTCGTAAATTCACATGAGTGTCTTCAGACCTCGACGTGGCCGTTCTTTATGTGTATTTTTATGTTTAATGACGGAAACTTCACGTCGTGTTATCATAAATACGACTCGGCGATTGATAATAAAAATGGAAATCGTGGTCTGTTTCTTTTTTAATTGCGCGTAGTTCGAGTCTGCGGAAAAAATGAATGGGCTTTGAAGATGTTTTTCTCGTTCGGGTTGCTGTATTTGGTCAGTGTTGTCTGGAAATTGGGTCGAGCTGTGGCGTACCTAAATACCGAGACTTCGGAATGAGTTATCATAAATTATTCGAGGATTTAGAATGCAGGATGGACGGTAAATCGGGTTACGGAGGCTTGTTTATTGGGCATTGAATTTTTGTTCGTGACAGCGAAATTTATAGTTGAGATATGTTATAATATTAAATTAAAAACTGTTATGACATTAACGAGAATATGGAGCTAATATTTTATAGGACGTCTATAAATTTGCAAACATTTTTTTATTAAAATATTTTTTTTTTAATTCAGAGTGAAAAAGTCTGTACTGTAAAAATTCCGGAGATTAAAAAAAACAAGATAAGGTGACATCACAACGCCTGGCCTAGAAAGAAGAAATCGTGTGCATTTGAAATTGAGACGTTCCAAAAGCTAACAATCGATAATCTGGTAGATACGAAGTGCACATATTTATCGTTGGCCTAGCACTTTTTATTTCTTATCAAGAAACCGTGACAATATTTTTGCTGCAACTTATCGAAATTAAATTAATGATAAGCATTTGCCAGAAGTTTCTATGCAAATTTGGATTAGCTACTTAAATTAAAAAAAAATAATAAAAATACGATTTTATTATGACTAGCGTAGTGATAGTCCACGACACTGATAAACAAAACACAAAAAATGTATCATCCTTGTCTGGCGGAAGAAGAGCGTCACTAAAGGGAATTCGCTTAAAAAGTTGCTATAAAATTACAAGCTAATTTATGATTGCCTAAGGAACATCGTTTTTTTTTATTACATCTGACACACATTTTCCAACCAAATTATACAACTATTACGATATTTTCGTTGCAGTAACCTACTTGCAATGTTCCATATTGTTATGACTCAGTTCTATTTTTTCGTTCGCCTTTTAATCATTTGTCTCCTCAGTCATTATTTTCGTCATTCAACCGTGAAGCAACATTTAAAAGAAAAACACTAATTTATGTGAAACTGTCGAAAATTTAGTTACTGAGCGACGTTCAGTGACATTTTGGTCTACTTATTTTATTTATCCCAAGACGTTCTCTCAATGGCATTGATATGATGGAAGTTTTTGGTTTTCTGTTGTTCTTTCGCTTTTTCTATTTTAGAATTTGAGTCCTAAATCTTTTTGACTATTATTGAGGGTCAGGTCATCCGAATGTAGCAGTATGTTTACCTCGATTAGTTGCAGCTTTCTGCATTCCGAGAATGTGGGTTTGGTTTCACTTTGAATTCGTGTCCTAGGTCGTTTATCAGCGTAGTAAATATTAGCGGATCAAGAATCCCCCTTGTCCTGCACCAAATTTTACTACGAAACTTTGCGTTGAAAATCTTACTACATTTTCGGTTTCTGTACGTAAATGGAGTATTTTCCTCGCACTTCATGTTATTATGCTCATCAAATGAAAAAAAATATAAATAAAAACGAGAATAAAATGCGTGACGTATGTTAAAACATTCTGGGTATCCTTGGATTAAAACTGAACACAATGAAGAATTTTGTCAACACAACATTACATACAGTCTGGATTTATTATCATACATATTTAAATTTATCCAACTTTTCCATCAAGTGTAACTGGCTGCTCTTGAAGCTAGGTCAGGACGAATAATTTTATGGAGGTGACGTGAACAAAATGAATATCATTAGGAATTTGCACAAACAAGAAAGAAAAGAGACAGAATCCTCTTCTCATAATGAATGACAAGATTATTTCACGTTTTTGGCCCTGCTTCCACCCACAACACGATGAAAACTAATTTAATTGGAGCCAACAACGACAAAATACACCTAGAACTTGTAAAGTCGTTACGTTTCTAAATAATTGATTCAACGTGATTTGGAACACCTTTCAACCTCATTACCACACAACTACCATCTCGTATTAGCACAAACTTTTTACTCATCTCATCAATAAAACAAAACCACATAAGCTTGCAAAAATGCAATAAAACATTCTTCGAATTAATTGCCGCTTTCGGGTCGCCTCACAATTTTGGCAACTGCTATTAACCCCAAATTTTCTTTTCTAAATGGTGCCCGCTGCCCACGATTCCTTTGTCCACTCCTCCGCCACGGCTTTCTCATTTCCTGTTGACACAATGAAAAAGCGATTGTTTTTCTTAACAGTACATTTAATTAATTGGGTCCTTCTATGCAGGACGAGTACGAAAAATGGTCCACCAACGGACCTCGACGTGCCTCAGGTTTTCAGCACGCCACATTATTTATTTCTTAAGTGTGTGTGTTTAACTGTAATTCTGGGACGCGTAATTTGCTTAAATTTCCACAATTATTCCGAAAATGTGTGTAATTAATTGCTTCCGCTAACACGGCGAGCGAACGCAGGTGTTTTTGGTACAGTTCTGGTTCGATTCATAAAGTTGTTGGTTGATTTTTCGGTAAGGCTCTAGATTTCACTAGCACTATCATTAAGTTTGAGCGCTGAATCACTTTTCCCTCTTATTATAAAAACAACGCCTACCGATTCCCATGTGGTGAGTCTTCTTGGAGCACGTAAGGTTAGTGGGTCAGTCGACCTGTTGTGGGTCAATTCTTCATCCGCCAGAATTCGGTGCCGGTACTGACCACTCAGTACGTGTTTGTGGTATTGTTTTTATTGTAATTAACGCCTACGATTGTTGCGTTGGTGTCAAGACCAGTTGTTTGTTGTTTCAGATTAAAAAAAAAGTAGATTTTCGTTGTCGTTTTATTTTTGAAAATAGTTGATTATCGAGTGTTGTTAATTTAACTAATTTATGCGTCGTGATGAGCTTATTCCGAATTAAGATGAGTTTGTTGTTAGATCATCACAAATGAAAGTTGAACTGACATAATTACGGTTACCAAAAATTTCCAAAAAGAATTAGAAGCTAATGCGGATTCCAGTAGGTTCCGGTTTTGATCTTGTTTGTCCAAAAACAATTTTTGTTCCATAATAAGTTTGATAAGGTTCGTTGTGTTATTAAAGTGTTACGACAAATATCTATTGTTTAACTGTAAAAAACAAAAATTTTCCATCTATTTATTAATGCATAGTTATTTAACACAGTTTTTGTGAAAGTTACAAGTAAAATCTAGATTGATTCATTTACAGTTATTTTTCTTGTTTTGGTTACAGCTTTTATATTTGAATTTACGATTTGAACGTTGGAAACTGAAGATTTTGTTAAGGACTTGTAGGAAAAAAATAAAGACATTTTATTGACACACGAATATCCGCTAGAAAAAGTAACTTCTTTTTAGTATTTATTTCTACAACACGTTTTCTGGTAATGCTCGTAGTCATTTTTAACTACAGTTATGATTTCATCCACAGAGAAATGCCCACATTGAAACCACTTAATTAATAAATTTTGAAACTGTATAACTGATTAAAGTTCAGATAAGTTTATTATAAACAAAAATATCCGTTTTCTTGTTATCTATTTCTTTAATTCTATATTTTTACGTTTTTTCATGTTATTTTTGTCAATTTTTGCACTCTTTCACTTCTACATTTTAACACGATTTTTATGTTCTAGGTCATACTTTAAGTTTAATATTAAAGAACATTAATAGAAATAAGAGGACCAAAGGTCATAAATTCAAATAGCAAGAAGCTGAAATGATTTAGAATTGGAAATTGTTGCTAGATGAAATCTAATACAGTTACAAGAAAAATGCCAATACTTGATTTATTATTATTTAATAGCATTTTTAGTACCAATTTTCGCATTGGCGTGGATTAAGTTGTCGAACATTCCGAGTTTTCTCATAAATATTAATCATTCATTCTCGTTTACCACAGAGAAAATGTTGAGTTATAAAACAGCACTCGAACGACAAAAATAATAAACTTTATGTGATCTTGCTGCCTGAAACGTTTTGTCATAACCGTTCAATAAATTAGCATACTAAAATGAACGAGCCTTTGTTCAAACATCCACTTTTACTGTCTTCAAGAAAAGCCAACAATTTCATTCTGAATTTCCAGAGGAAAATGAATTATTGCATCACTAACTCGGTCTTGTCACTTTCTCATGTTATAACGTGTTACATTTTTTGTAATTTCAAAATAAATCTCCCATTCACCGAAAAAACGAAAAAAATAATCTTTTACTTAGCGTAATTGAGAGCTTCAGCGGAACCAACAGCTTTGTCGTTTAAAACCGCACTTTTTTGCCAGAGTGAACACAGTCACACCAATCTCTAAATTAAGGTTCCAATTTTAACACTTCTCGTCTTATTTGACTTTCCTCGGTATTGACGATTTCTGTTTGTTGTTATAATTTGGATATTTTCTCTCGGAAAACAGAGTTGGGTCAGTAGTACACCTGTATTTATTTTTAATTATAACGCCGTTTCATTTTCGCAATCTCAAAAAAAAAAAAAAAACTTCTCAGGGCTTCAGGGCCAAAGCCAAAAACCTCGGTTTCCTATTAAGACACATAATTCTCTGTAATTAAATATGCGTCCTAAAAAATTAAACGTAAGAGTTTTAAGACAACATTTTTGGCCCTTTTGTGGTCCTTCAGGGCCCAGATTTTTCGTGTCCCTGTTCCCGGCCTCGTCACCGCAAATCCCACAAACAGGTATTATAAATTTCAGCGAGTACCAGACACGTTGTTCCACATTTAAGTAAGTGAGCCATGAGCCTAGCTCCAGCGATCTCTCTTATAAAGCCTTCACGCCGCATCATGTCCTCCAGATTTGTTTGGAAGTTCAAGGTGATCAGTTCTCCATGAAGCCGTGTTCGAGATTTCCGTGATTAGAGTGCCAAAATGGATTACGCCCTGTGTATTTTCGTTGCGCTTTTCTCGACCGCGTGGTGTGCCGCCGTCAACAACCACAGCGACCACGAAACAGCACAAGTGCGAAAAAGGGAAACCGCCTTCAGGGAACTGATGGCATGCGGATTGACACGTGACGCTTCCTGCTTCCTGGACGCGGCCGACGTGCTCGTGGAGGAAAGGATGGACGACGTTTTAGGTGAGCAAAAAGGCGCATTCTTCGCGTGAAAATGGAAGTTGCGTGAGTTTTGGCGCGGCGCTGGGTCCTGTTAGTACGCAAATTACCGTTAATTATGCATTTATTCGGGTGGAATTTTTCGAGCGACCGACTTTAGCTGCAGATCGAGATCAGATTCAGATAAAATCGTCCCGAAACGGACATTTTTGACTCGAAGTGGAAATGCGGTGCAGACAGGCGAGAGCGAGAATTTCCACAGTTTTCGCCTTTCTTTTGTTCGATGTGGAACATGAGACCTTGTTTATGCTTAATTGAGGCTATGCATGTGTTTGATGACTCCGGAATCCGGACGACACCACGTGTAACCATAAGCACGTTTTACGAAACGCCGCAACCATTAATATACGCGTGTATTGCTGGTTAGCGACACTAGATTTTAAATGCACTCACGAATTCTCCAACAATGCAGTTTCTTCCGGCCGCAAAATGCACAGGTGTGTATCGAGGAATTTTAGCCGTTGAAACAAACAACCAGTGGCGTACCGTGGGGTCGGGGGTACCACCAAAACAGGTCATTTCAAGCGCCACTAGTTGCCCTTTTTTCTACAAATTGTTGATCTCGAGTTCGACCGACCCCCACGTGACCCGCCGAGCCGCCGCCCCTGCCACCACCGCATATCTTCATGCCGCCGCGGCAATTATTCACACCGCGCCGAAAAACCCGTTACTTGCGGTCAAAATTCATTTTTCAAGCAAAGTCCTGCACTGACTCAGAATTTTAAGTTCTTGGAAATTTTCGTGAGAAACTGATTTTTGCAGCCCAAGCGGATCTCGAGGTCTCGAAGACCAGCGGTCGCGCCGACGGGGAAGAATCCCCCAGCCAGCTGACCAAAGCCATCCAGAGGATCATCTCCGAGTTGAGCGAAATATTTAAGGACAGTTTCTCCGGGTTGTTCAAGAGTGCTCGAGAAGAAGAGGAAGAAAGCGAAGAAGTCGAAGATGATACCAAGCAGCGCAAAATGGCCAAGAGTTCCGAAGGTAAGTACGTCGCTCGTGATTCTTTTGAGTAAAAGTGGCGTTGCAGAACCTAGGAAGAAAAAGAAGATCAAGAAGTTGATAGCGTTGATCAAGCTGATCGTGATCGGGCTGATAATCAAGGCGAAGATCACTCTTTTGCTTAAAATGTTGTCCGCGGCGCTGCAGGTCAAGTTCTTCCTGGTGGCCCTTGCTGGGTTGATTTTGAACGCCGCCAGGTTCTACATAGATTTGAAGAAGGGGCACCAGCCCCAGAAGGTGATTTATTACGAGCACGCCCAGCACCAGCACCACTATGAAGGGGACGAGGACTGGGGCAGCAGCGGCCCTGGGGGTGGTTACTGGGGGCGGTCGTACGACGAGGAGGAGTCTGCTCAAGATTTGGCGTACTCTAAGCAAAAACCGCACAAGAAAAACGAGAAGCCGGCGTTTTCGTGGTTGGGTTAATTTGAGGCATTAAGAGTAGGGTTGTTCTCAGGTATTGTACGCGCGTACGAGAACTTGTAAATTTGAAAAAATCGAGTAACTAGTCATAGGTGGGAGGCTTAATTTATTCTATTTATTTTAGTTTAGTGTAGACGTTTAACAATAAATTTTTACTTTCTGGTAGTGTAAGTGATGATGTAACCTCAAAACGGTAACTGGATTATTTACATGTTCCTAAAGTTCAGGCACGTGTAAGAGTGCAAGGATCTGGCCGTGGTGGAACTCTTTAGCTTGTGCGTGATTTTCATGATAAGGCGCATCTGCGTCAATTCTTTGTGTCTGCGGAAAACAACCTTCTCACGGAATTATCGACTTGATCGATTTCTAGGTCAGTCGATGTGCGAAAAACGGCACTAATGCAGTGACCGGTGTTGATTTATACTTTTATTCTTACAACGCCTGCTTCCGAGAAGACATACGATGCATACTGATGTCGTACGTCTGCTAGAGTCGCCCAAACAAATCAAACCCTCTCGGGAACCTTAGTACCGTTCCAAAGCCAAGCAACTTTTTCAAAAAACGCCACCGACACCGCCTTTCGCGTCTCTGTGACCTGGTTTTGGGCACGGTGTCGGGCGCTCTGGTCCGCTGCTTCCAAATTTTTTAATGAATGCAGAAGGTACTACGAAGACTTATTTGTACCGATATTCGCCACGCTAGACTATTTGTGGCATTGTTGAAGATCCACCGGCTTCCGCTACGAGGTGTCTTTCTTTACGAATTTGTCCATCTTTGTCGTAGTTTGTATATAAACTATTCGACGTGCCGGCGGTCACATAGTTTGTGTCGATTTTGCTACCATGAAGTTTCTGAGTGTGGTGCCCATTGTCTTCTGTGTGGTGCAGTGCGCCCCCAAATTAAGGGTAAGGCTGCAGGTGATGTTTTAATTATTAGTTTTTAATTTTGGTGTTTGTCAGAAAATACTTAATTGTGCAATAGAGTTGATATTTGACGTAAGGTAGATAATGTTCGTTTTTTTCAAATATTGAATCAATATTTGAACAGAGGAAGACAATTTAATTTAGATAGCTGGTCTAACAATAAGATTTGTAAGCAATCGTTGCAGGTTATTTGAGAAAAGATTTAGGTGTTTTATTTTTACATACAGTTAATTGTCTTTGTAAAAGAAAATATTTTTGGATAATCACAGAACTGTTGACGTGTGGGGAACTTTAAAGTAAGTGAACTGTATTATTGTAAAAAAGAATGAGAAAATATCTGATAAAATTTAATTAATTTAATTTATTAATAGGGAGCTATCGGCCAATGTAAATACATTATAACTAAAATTCTTGGTAATTTATAAATAAAACTTACGTAACTTTTCATGGTTTTCCTGTTTGGTAGTTTATTTTAGCTGATAAGAGCTCACTAACACCAAACCTTTTTGAATTATGGCCACGAGCACTCGAACAAATTTTGTTCTCTATTTTTTATTAATTACAAGTGTATTTACTCCTATATAGACTTTATTTAAAATTGATAACAATTTTAAAAATACTGTAGTACCTTGGAATTATTGACAAATGATGCAACGATTAAGAGAAAATCGAAATATCGAAAATTCATAAAAGATAAAATGACTGCTTATGCAACAAATTATACACTTTCATTAATAATTCTAATCATCTCAGACAGGAAAGTTCTTAAAGTAAAACCTTTGTTTCTAGTTAGCTTAAACACTATATTGCCACAAATGCGAACTGTGCACCACTGACCACCTTGTCACACCATATTTTTCGCAGATCGTCCCCAGCCAGACGCCTCCCCAGCTCCTTACCCTCCCCAGCAACGCCACCACCATCCGCCTCGACATCAGCGACTCCTTCAGCTGCGAAGGCCGCAGCTACGGCTACTACGCGGACGTCGACAACGACTGTCAACTCTTCCACGTATGTCTTCCCATAACCTACTCCGACGGCCGCAACCAGACCTTCCGGTGGAGCTTCATCTGCCCCGAAGACACAGTATTTAACCAAGTAGGTAGCACATCCCGCGCAACCCATTTACTCGATTTGACGCGAAAGGTCATCTCCGATCACCTGGAACGTTGCAATTTTACGCCGGAGTGTAATGACTCCGTGTTCTTGTTTCAGGAAATATTCACTTGCACGAGGTCGGATGAGGCAATCGATTGTGCCGACTCCCCGAGGTATTACGGCTTGAACACCAACTTCGGGAGCGAGGAGGTGGACGCGGACATCGACGACTCGACGTCGGTGCCGGCGGAGGTGCCGCAGGTGCTGACGAGGAGGATTCCGTACAAGAACTGACGTGGTTAGGGTTTAGAGATTTGTTGTTAGAGTGTTCTGGGGGCAAATCTGGAGGGTGATGGTTTTTCTAGGGGATTTTTGATTTTGGTGCCGCCCTGATCTCGATGGACTTCTTGCGGCTTGCCGGGAGGTTGGTTTGTGTTTTCTTTCTTATGGACAATAAATGATTTTATGTAATTTTGGAGTTTTATTCGTTTGAAACAGCAGGGACTCCTGAGATTCCTTTACTACTTGCAAAAAAAAATCATGATTCCTTGAAGGGAACCATTGTGGTTAATGCAGTAGTTTTGTCGCACAAAACAAAAGTTGCTTCTTTGGGACCACCAGGAGTCGCTCCGAGATTGTTCATCACCGAACTGTTTTATTACAACTCCGAGGCTGTTGACCTGACTGTTCTGATTTCAGGAATCATTGAACTCCCACAGGTTCAAAAAAACTGATTGATTTACAAAGCACATTAAAACAAGGAAATTAGGAAAATTTTGCTACCCCAAATCCCGACCATTCCCTAAAACTTTTCCACGCTGGCTGCTACTTAATCGCAACTTATAAACACGGCAGTCCAAAGCAAACATGATGAATCACACGTTGAAGCACGGAGGACGGAGATACAAGTTCTCATTGAGTTTTCCTTGATATATTGCTCGTTTTCTATCCGGATATGATAGTACGTTGCATGATCTGCATGATCATGCGTGTTTAGTTTGTATTCGGCTTTTCGCGGTGAAGGTGTTGCCCAACTTTTGCACTGAATCCCAGTCTTTTGCCATGGATACTTCGCCGAAAAACGAGAAAAAGGCCAATCCCGTGCAGAACGCCAACGTCGTGTCGTACCTCACATTCTTGTAAGTACATGCTTCTGGAAAAGGGATCGCGGAATCACAGCTGGCACTTGTTTACTTAGCTCGGGCATTTTTCTTCGGGTTAAAAAGGGTCGGAGGTTTGCACTCGAGAATTTTAATTGTCATTATCACTGCTGTTAATTTGCATCGCTCAGTAATTGCGGTAATAATAACGACAGTAACGCCATGTGTCGGTGTATTTTCTTTGTTTAATGTTGGGCTAATTCAACACGTGCTGGACTGAAATAGATTCTAACAACATAACCTCGGGCTTGACCTTGCATTTATTAGTACTCGATAAACTTCGAGCAGGTTTCAGTCCCCGACTGATTAAAACCTTACACCGTATCAAGTAGCTAACCAACCCTGCATTAGCTAATCCTGAGATTTAATTGCTTCATAATTATTTGGTGTTTAGTCACTATTGCGAATATATTCATTATCGGGGCGATATTACTAATCTCATGCCACTGATATCCGTACAATGTTAAAAAAAAATCCAGATAATTATTCTATTTTTAGCTACATGTTTCCCATTTTTAAACGAGGCTTCAGAAACGGGCTCACCGAAGATGACCTCTTTCAACCGTTAGACGAACACAAGTCGAGCATTTTGGGCGAAAAACTAGAGACGATATGGCGAGAAGAACACCGGAAATACAAAAAGTTTGGCCTATATACAGCCCTATGCAAACTCTTTGGTGTCCATTTCCTTCTGCTGGGGATAGTCCGGCTCGTTGACGAGATCGTCTTAGTGTGAGTAAAAACACCGAATTTTTTTAGCTCGTCTATCAGTTTTGCCTTGATGGTACTATCAAAACATATATCACTACTTTAAAAGATATAGTAGATATAGTATCGTAACCATTCATCGTAATTTTTTATTTAGATAAGCATGCAGATCTTTGCTGTTATCTAATGTTAATGCTAATTTTTTTTAATGTGACAACGGTTCAGTATGACTGAAACAACCAAAGGATTTTTTTCCATTTGAAGTCTTATCTTGGTGGTACCGAAGAAATATTTTCTTTATTTTTTGAAAAGATTGTATCTTGGTTGTGACCTCCTATGAAACACGCCTTTTAATTCTGAAGATAAAATTTCAAGTACTTGGTATTTTTAAGCTCTTTGTTTGATTATATTGCCCAGGTGTGAGTAAAAACGTTGGCCAAATTTTGTCCTTCCATTTTTGAGCTTTGCCTAGGTGGTACCACCCAATATATTCATCGGCCCCGTTAAACAAACCTCCACCTACCTCTTACCCTCATCAGTCTCCTTCTTCCAGCGTGGCAATGCCCCTGGCCATCGGCAAACTCGTCACCTACTTTGAGACCGGCCAGACCCTGATCTCCGAAACCGAGGCCTACATCTACGCCACCGTCATCGTCCTCTGCCGCCTCGCCGACCCCCTCATGGCCCACGGTACCATGATGGGTCTCGTCCACCTCTCCATGAAAATGCGAGTGGCGTGCAGCGCCCTCATCTACCGCAAAATCTTGCGCCTCAACAAAACCGCCCTCGCTGACACCACCATCGGCCAACTCGTCAACCTCCTCTCCAACGACGTCAGCAAGTTCGACCAAGGTTTCGTCTTGGCCAACTTCGCCTGGATCGCCCCCATCCAAGCCGGTGTCGGCACCTACTTGCTCTACCACGAGATCGGCGCGTCAGCGTTCTTCGGAATGGCTTTGCTCCTCTCTTTCATCCCTCTACAAGCCTGGTTCGGCAAGAAGTGCTCGAGTTTGAGGATGAAGATCGCCCTCGAGACCGACAAGAGGGTGAGGCTCATGAACGAGGTCATCTCCGGGATCCACGTCATCAAGATGTATTGTTGGGAGAAACCGTTCGGGCAACTGATCTCACGTGTGAGGAGGTTTATGGAGAATGGGGATGCTTATGACTGTCTAACTGGGGTTGTTTCAGGCGGGAGATGAAGGGCATCCGGGCTAGGGGGTACCTGTTGGGGTTGATGTACTGCTTCGAGATGTTCATCACGAGGGTGTCGATTTTCGTGAGCGTGCTGGGGTACGTGTTGTTGGGGAACTACATCACGGCGAAGAGAATGTTCGCGGTGACGGCTATCTACGCCGTGCTGCGGCCGGTCATCACGACGATTTTTTCTTTGGGGATCAATTCCATAGCCGAGGTGTACGTGTCGGTGAAGAGGATCCAGACATTTTTGTCTTTGGCGGAGCAAGAAGGCGATGATAGAGTCCGGTTGAACGGGTCGTTCGAGAAACCGGATAAAGCGAGGGTTGTGCTTGAAAACGTTAGTGCGAAGTGGTTGAAGGACGCCACGGAAAGCACCCTCTCGGGGATTAACCTAGACATAAAGTCCAACCAACTCGTGGCTGTGATTGGTGCCGTCGGCAGTGGCAAATCTAGTTTGTTTAACGTCATCCTCAAAGAACTACCAATCGTGAGTGGTACCTTGACCATACATGGCGAAATCTCCTACTCTTCTCAAGAACCCTGGTTGTTCAGCGCCAGCGTCCGACAGAACATCCTCTTCGGCGACCAGTACGACCACGATAGGTACAAACAAGTGGTAAAAACCTGCGCCTTGGAGTCCGACTTCGAGCTACTCCCCCACGGAGACAAAACCCTCGTCGGAGAACGAGGCAAATCTTTAAGTGGAGGTCAAAAGGCCCGAATCAATCTCGCCAGATGCATCTACAAGAAAGCCGACATTTACCTCCTCGACGACCCTTTATCAGCCGTGGACTCTAACGTCGGAAGACATTTGTACGACAAGTGCGTCAAAGAGTTTCTTCGTGACAAGATTTGCATTCTCATCACCCACCAGCTGCAGTACTTGAGCAGTGCGGACAAAATTATCGTTCTCGAAGATGGCTGTGTCGAAATGGAAGGTACTTACACCGAACTCCAAACGAGTGGTTTGGATTTCACGAAACTGATGGCGCAGTTTCACACGGAGGAAGAAACGGGGGACGAAGATAAGATCCGATCGGTGGAAAAGTCAAGCGATGTGGATGAACAAGACTTGGAGGACGGACCTCTGCTGGAAAAAGAAGGCATGGAGAGCGGCGGGGTTAAGTTTGGGCTTTATTTGTCGTACTTCAAGGCCGGGGGCGGCTTGTGCAACGCTGTGTTTATGTTAGCGGTCTTTATTGGGGCTCAGGTAGTGGCAAGCGCTTCGGATTATTTCGTCACTTATTGGTAAGTGTCGTTTTTCTTGTGTGTGGTGTTTAAGGAAGATTATTTTAGGGTGAACACTGAACAAGACTATAGGGAAAGGGTACTTGATAATCTCACCGGAACGAATGAGACCTTTCCCAGAGACACCTTATTGTATACGTACTCAGGGATTATTTTGGCGGTTCTGGTTTTTGGGATCGTCCACGGAATCTACTTTATGTTCTTTTTTGCCCTAGCCTCGTCCACCTTGCACAATTTAAGTTTTTCCAAAATTATTAAAGCGACTATGAGATTCTTCAACAGTAACCCGTCGGGACGAATTTTGAACAGGTTTTCTCGAGATTTGGGCAATTTGGACGAATACATTCCAGCTATCATTTATGATGTGATTGCGGTATGTACCTATGTGGTAAGACTTGTGAAATATTTGTACCATTTCAGGTAGCTTTAGATTTATTTGGTGCCATAATTTTATCCGTGATAGTTGATTACTGGCTGTGTTTACCCTCCATGTTATTACTTCTCATATTCTATAGCTTTAGAAACGTATACATAGAGACCAGCCGGAGTGTCAAGAGAATCGAAGGGATAAGTAAGTCCAAGCAGCAAGTCTTCCATAACTAAGTCCTCGTTTCCAGCAAGAAGTCCGATATACAGCCACATGAGTGCTTCCATCTATGGTCTAAGCACAATCCGGGCATTCTCAGCCCAGCGCGTCCTCACTAAGGAGTTCGACGACTACCAAGACAAACACAGCTCCGCCTACTACATCTTCCTTGCCTCCAACAGATGCTTCGGCTTCTGGATAGACGCCACCAGTGCCGTCTTCATAGCTTGCGCCATCTTCATCCTCCTCTTCTTCAAACAAAGTAAATCCTCAACCCCAATTATCATCATCTAATTCAACACTTCCAGATCTCCACGGTGGAGACATCGGTCTAGTCATCACCCAGTTCATCGGTCTCGCTGGAGGTCTCCAGTGGGGGATGCGCCAGTGGAGCGAACTCGAAAACGAAATGGTCTCTCTAGAGCGCCTCCTCGAGTACAGTAAAGTCGACACGGACCCCGAGCGCCCCGACCCCGCCGCCGTCCCAAAACTCTGGCCAGAGGACGGCCACATAGAATTCCGCAACGTATCTTTAAAGTACAACCCGCACGACCCCCCCGTATTGAAAAACCTGAACTTCACTATCCAACCTAGGGAGAAAATCGGAATCGTGGGTCGTACTGGAGCGGGAAAATCGTCGACGATTACGGCTCTCTTCCAGTTGTACCCTATAGAAGGCACGATTCTTATAGACGGGGTAGACACTACTAAGCTCCCTCTGGAAGACGTCCGCTCCAAAATATCCATCATCCCGCAGGAACCCGTTCTGTTCTCTGGGAACATGCGCAAGAATCTCGATCCGTTTGAGGAGTACGACGACGAGACTCTCTGGAACGCCCTGGATCAAGTGGAGTTGAGGGAAGTGGTGGCGGAACTACCGGATGGATTGCAATCTTACGTTTCCGAAGGTGGGGCTAATTTTAGTGTAGGGCAGCGGCAGCTGGTGTGTCTGGCGAGGGCTCTAATTCGGAACAACAAGATTTTGGTGATGGATGAAGCTACTGCGAATGTTGATCCATACACGGATGCTCTTATCCAGAATACGATTAGGGAGAAGTTTGCGGATTGTACGGTGCTGACGATAGCGCATAGGTTGCACACTGTGATGGATTCTGATAGGATTTTGGTGATGAATGCTGGGAGTGTGGAGGAGTTTGAGCATCCGTATGTGCTGCTGGGGGATAAAAAGGGGATTTTGTACAGTCTGGTGCAAACTACAGGGAAGACTACGGCTGCGAATTTGGAAAGTATTGCTAGAGAGGTAGGTGTTTGGGCTTCAAGAGGGTTGTTTTTGATGGAGGGTTTGTTGCAGAGTTTCATGAGGCGCGGGCAGAGCGAGATTTGAAGAGTCGAGGGAAAACCACGTGTGATAGCTAGGTGTACTTGTCTTCAGTTTTTTGTTATTATTTTATAATGATTATTTATTGCTATAAATAAAGTAGTTTTATTTTTGTAAGTGGATTTTTTTCTTCGAAAAGTGTATAGTTACTTCGGTATTCTAATAGGAAAACAGGTGTACGTTTGGTACTAACATAATTTTGTTAGACTTAATCGCGACTTGTAAAATTTGCCTTGCAAAAAAACCATATAAACGTTGACGACTGACGTTGCCCTTGTCCTCATTGTTAACAGTAACTTTTATTATTGTCGTTTTTGGGAGTTACTTTTAATTTTAATTTCAATAAAAGCGACGAAGTTAGTAATTTGCGACAACCGTTTTCTTTATGTGTTGAAGGGTCTTCAGTCTGTTTTAATGTTTACCATGTTTAATGGCTATCATGCTATTTTTTTGTTTGTTGCTTACGTTGGTTGCTTATTTTGTTTCCATTATACACTTAATTTGAAATTTAAATATTGCAACACGACTAAAATGCATTGCAAAAATGCCAAATCTGTCTAGAACTCCACTTGTCGTTATGAAGACAGCACTCGTGTTTCTGCTGGCAGTGTCACTGTCACAGTGTAAACTGCCCTTAACCTTCCTCAAATTTCAAGCAACACAGTTTCTCAAAATTAGTAACACCAGCGCAAACTGCGCGACAGATTTGTCGCTCCTAATTTCAGATCTGTTTGATATGAAAATGTGGGCACTCAAAAGTAAAAGTCGCTAAAACAAAAACAAGACTTTTAACTAATTGTTTGCAGTGTTTGACGCTACTACTAAACTCGACGCCGGTATCTTAAGCGGAAATGTGCATTTTTTCGGCGATTACGATCTATGTGTGTCTATTAAAGAAGAGACGAAAACAAGAACTGTCGAAGGAAAATACTGTTCAGCCATTATAACTCTCAACACGTCTTTTGCCGAAGTTCATCGGCAAATGCCCAAGTTGAAAAATGTACTGCATTTTAGTAGTAACTGACTTTGATAAATTTGAAAACTTTTAGTGGGAGAAAACGATTTTTACAATGCTTCTACCGGGAGAATCGAATGATGTCCAAGGCATAGGTGGTTTTATAGGAATTTGTGTACCAAAGTCTTGTACGTTAGGAGATTTAGAAACTCTGACAGGCCACGTGGAAAGCAAATTTAAAATACCAATACATCTATCTTTTCGGGAAGAACTATGCTTGTATAAAAACAAATCGGCTAAGATCAACAAACTAGATTTATTAGCATAGTAAGTGGTAATTTCAAGTGATCATTAGTAGGTATATAATACGGTTTGATTGTCCTTATGTGTGACGCCCGTTGACCAAACATAGATATAAAAATTAACACATTGTTTTTTCTATTGAAGCTGTATCTTTATATTCATCGGTGTCGTACTTGTTGCAAGCACCTTCTACGACGTTTATCTACAGGGTTCGGGTAAACCTGAGACTTATGTTGTAACTTTGATCTTAAGCGCAGTTTTAGGGATTTTTATGATTTTCTCAGTGCACACCAACCTGAAGAAAGCTTTGCATCAAGCGGAGAACAAAAACTTGAGTTGTCTCAATGGAATAAAAGTAATAAGTTGCTTATGGGTTATATACGGCCACACAGCCTTAATAGGCTCCATAATCGCAAAGAATTTGGTTCATCGGTTGACAGAGGTAAAGTTAGTATAATTTTTGTTAAAATAATGTAGATTACCCTTACTCTTAAATATTTCTCCACTCTTTGATTAGTGTAAAATAGTTTGTAATTTCAGTGGAAGTATTGGCGTAGTAGTATCTTTGCGTGCTCCGGGCATTATGGCGTTGATACATTTTTCATGCTTAGCGGGCTACTGGTAAGTTATGGGTATTTAAAAAATTCACAGAAGTTGTCCACGAGTTTAATCGCGTTCTACTTTAAAAGATTAAGCAGGTACGTCTAAAGCTACGTTTACTTGTGGCTTTAGTTACACACTTTGTAACTTACAGACTTTTCCCAACTGTGGTAATCGTAGTTATTATCCAGACAAGTCTGTTAAAGCTTTTCATAGACGGACCCTACGGGCATCTGTTTTTGGATCTCTTCATCGAGAAATGCTACGACAACTGGCCTAGTATCGTATTTTTCACTTTTAATTTTATGAGAGACTTCAAGGTAATTAAACTTTTGTTTCTTTCATCGATGAATTTTTTTTTCTAGTGTGCCATCAACCACCTGTGGTACTTGTCAAGTGATACCCAAATGTATCTTCTCTCTCCTGCATTTTTGTTCTTTATCAGAAAACACCCCAGAAAGGTTATTGCAGGCATGGGTGTTACGTTCTTGTTCGCCGTTGGCTACAGTGTAGCTGTTACGTTTATGAAGAAGCTTGGGTTCACATACTACGAGTAAGAATTTGTTTCAAGTTTCGTTAGTCGTTATGAAATTTTGTAGTTGGAGTAATGAGTTTGCCTATTACCTTTCATTTTCGACAATCAATCACTTACCGTCTTGGCTAATAGGAGTCTTCTGTGGTTATCTGCTCCAATTTCAAAACGTCCAAATTCCGAAAAAATTGAACATTTTTCTTTTGTTCGTGTCCTTTTTGTCTATGATATTACTAATAATGAATCAGTTATCGCTTCTGGAGGGAGAGTACAACGTTTACCGTTTCGCTGTCTGGAACGGTTTAGCTCGGCCAGCGTGGTCTTCAGCCTTAGCGTATATAATATTTAGCTGTGCGACTGGATACGGAGGTATATTTTTTCTTTTTAGTTAAAAATATACATCAGAAATTTTTAGGAATAATCAATTCCTTTCTTTCTCATTATGTGTTCAATGTTTTAAGCAAACTTACATTTGGTATGTATCTGGTACATGTTGGAATGATTTTGGTAATCATCGGCAACAGTAGGCAGGGCTTGTTGTTCAACAATCGCCAACTTGTAAGATTCCTAAAAATGGTGATATTTTGTATTGCATTTTTTTGCAGCTACTTTATTTTGGCGAAATGTGCGCTTGCAGTTTACCCTTCGCCCTCCTTGTGCATCTCACATTTGAGGCACCTTTGTCATCCCTGAAGGATTATACGTCGAAAGGACAAAAGGTGTTGGCCGATAAGACTAACTAAAACGATATTCCTTATTCATTAACTTTGTAACTTTTAAAATAAACGATTTCTATTTACGATTTATTCATTTCTTTACTTCATGAGTCCTTCAAAGCAGTTTTACCCAAGATTTGTGTCCTAGCCATAGAAACGACAGCGCGTTTTAAGCGACTGAAGTATTACGAGAAAGTACATGATCCAGAAAAATAATAAAATAATGAAGTTAGTAATTTATGCTGTTTCCGTTATATGGTGAAGGTTTTTCAGTCTGATTATTACTAGATATTTCGGACATTAAATATGTTATTATTTGTCATTTAAGTACCTTTTTTGTTTATTTTGTTTTCATTCGTGTTCATCAGCTACCTTAATTAGAAATTTAAATGTCTTGTACTAGACACAACTACAAGGATATTATAATGCAGCTGCAGTTTTAAAATTAAGACAAAATTGCTCTAATATAACTGAATTTATGTGTCTTCCCGTTTGCGATTCACTAATAGTACGAAATGAAAAAGTAACCGCTTAAACATTTCTAGTATTAATCTAGAATTAGATTTTATGTCGCCAATATGTCTATGAGAAAGACGTTTCGTTGGCTCGTAGATAAAGATAAGGTAGACATTATGTTATTGCTACATCTATCCTGAATGTGCTTACAAAGATCAAGCAAAAAATGAAATGGGAAAATCGTTCAATATTTAATATTCCGGTTATCGCAACGGGCAATGAGTTTTGAATTTTCATTAGTCAAAGGCACAGTTCGGAGTCATTTTTAATTTTTGTTTTTCAGTAGTCAGGAATGTGCGCCACTGATTTCAATGGGAACTGAAAGTACTTCAGTTTGTTTGAATGTGAGATATTTTGGTTATTATTGTGACTTTTTTTCCGTGACGGACGTAGTTGTTAGTCTTATTTTAATTGATGTTAATGGATATTTATATTTACTGATAAGCTGTTATTTTGAAATTTAAATAGATACCTTTTATTTGGCGCTCTAGAAAGTAACCGAATATAAATTCAGTAAAATATGTCTAGTTTCACTAGTCATCATGAAAACTGTAGTGAAGATTAGGTTTGCGAATTTGGAAAGTATTGCTAGAGACGTAGGTGTTTGGGTTTAGAGAGGATTGTTATTGATGGAGTGATGTTGCAGAGTTTCATGAGGCGCGGGCAGAGCGAGATTTGACGAGTCGAGGGAAAACTACGTGTGTTAGCTATAGGTGTATTTGTTTTCAGTTTTTGTTAGTATTTTATAATGATTATTTAGTGATATAAATAAAGTAGTTTTAAATTTGTAAGTGGACTTATTTTCGGAAGGATGTATACCTACCTACTTGGGTATTATAAAAAAAAACATGAAAATTAATTTCATTACGACTATTATCAGTTGTCAGCCGTCAAGCGGAAAGTACTAAAAATTATAATGGGGTCGGTAATTTTGGTACTAATATACAAAATAGTTTTAAAGTCTTTCATTTTAGTTTTGTTGATGTATATATTCATTTTATACTTAATCGCAAGTTATAAAATTTGCTTTGAAAAAAAGATACATACATACATATATAAACATCTATGCTGAATATGTTGGGCAAACATCAAGCCAAAAATGAAATGGGCAATTCGTTCAGTATTTAATATTCGGGTTTTTGCATTCATTGATCGTGACTTGTAGAAGATTCATGATCGGCGAAATACAACTCGATAGTTTTGTTAGTTTGTTTCCATGATTTTACGGAAGGTTTCAGCAGCGGGCAATGAGTTTTGAATTTTCAATAGTCAATATGCGCCACTGATTTCAATGAGAATTGAAAGTACTTCAGTTTGTTCGAATGTGAGATATTTTGGTTGTTATTGGGCATTTTTTCCGTGACTAACGTTATTGCTAATTTTGTTTTCATTGGTGTATTAGTACATATTTACATTTAGGTACTGATATTCTGTTAATTTGAAATTTAAATAGGTACCTTTTATTTGACGCTCTAGAAATTAACGGAGTATAAATTCAGTAAAATTTGTCTAATTTCATTAGTCATCATGAAGACAGCACTCGTGTTTCTGCTGACAGTTTCACTGTCACAGTGTAAGCTGCCCTTAACCTTTTTCAAATTGCAAGCAACACAGTTTGTCAAAAACAGTAACACCAGCGCAAACTGCGCGACAGATTTGTCCCTCCTGATTTCAGATCTGTTTGATATGAAAATGTGGGCACTCAAAAGTAAAACTCGCTAAACCAAAAACAAGACTTTTAACTAATTGTTTGCAGTGTTTGACGCCACTACTAAACTGGACGCCGGTATCTTAAGAGGAAATATGCATTTTGTAGGCGATTACGATTTATGTGTGTCGATTAAAGAAGAAACGAAAACAAGAACTGTCGAAGGAAAATACTGTTCAGCTATTATAACTCTCAACACGTCTTTTACCGAACTTCATCAGCAAATGCCCAAGTTGAAAAATGTACTGCATTTTCGTAGTAAGTGAGTTCGATAAATATGAAAACTTTTAGTGGGAGAAAACGATGTCTACAATGCTTCTACCGGGAGAATCGAATGATGTCCAAAGCCTAGGTGGTTTTATAGGAATTTGTGTACCAAAGTCTTGTACGTTAGGAGATTTGGAAACTTTGACAGGCCACGTCGAAAGCAAATTTAAAATACCAATACATCTATCTTTTCGGGAAGAACTATGCATCTATAAAAACAAACCCATTAAGATCAACAAACTGGACTTATTGGCATAGTAAGTGGTAATTTGAAGTGATCATTAGTAGGTGTATAATACGGCAAATTCAAATTTTCATTGTCCTTACGTGTGACACCCACTGACCAAACATATATATTTATAAATTAAGACATTGTTTTTTTTATTCAAGCTGTATCTTTATATTCATCGGTGTCGTACTTGTTGCAAGTACCTTCTACGACGTTTATCTACAGGGTTCGGGTAAACCTCATACTTCTCGTATATGTTGTTATTTTGATTTTAAGCATAATTTTAGGGATTTTTAAGTTTTTCTCGGTGTACACCAACCTGAAGAAAGTTTTGCATCAAGCGGAGAACAAAAAGTTGAATTGTCTCAATGGAATAAAAGTAATAAGTTGCTTATGGATTATATACGGGCACACAGCCGTAATAGCCGGCATTTCCACAAAGAATTTGGTTTATCATTTGACAGAGGTAAAGTTAGTGTAACTGTTGTTAAATTAATGTAGATTACCCTTATTCTTAAATATTTCTGAAGTTTAAAAAATGTTTATAAATTTACACTTGTTTTCCACTCTTTGATTAGTTTAAAATAGTTCGTAATTTCAGTGGAGGTATTGGCCCAGTGGTATCTTTGCGTGCTCTGCGCATTACTCCGTTGATACTTTTTTCATGGTTAGCGGGCTATTGGTAAGTTACGGGTATTTGAAGAATTCACAAAACTTGTCCATGAGTTTAATCGCGTTCTACTTTAAAAGATTAAGCAGGTAGGTTTTAAGCTACGTTTAGATTTTTGCCTTTAGTTACACACAATGTCACTCACAGACTCCTCCCAACTGTGGGAATCGTAGTTATAATCCAGACAGCTCTGTTAAAGCTTTTCATAGACGGACCCTTCGGACATCTGTTTTTGGATCTCTTCGTCGAGCAATGCTACGACAACTGGCCTAGTATGATATTTTGCACTTTTAATTTCATGAGAAACTTCAAGGTAATTCAACTTTTCTTTTTTCCATCGAACATTTTTTTTTTCTAGTGTGGCGTGAATCACCTGTGGTATATGTCGAGTGATATACAAATGTACCTTCTCGCTCCTATATTTTTGTTCTTTATCAGAAAACACCCCAGAAAGGTTATCGCAGGCATGGGTGTTACGTTCCTGTTCGCTGTTGGCTACAGTGTGGCTGTTACGTTTATGAAGAATCTTGGGTTCACATACTATGAGTAAGAATTTGTTTTAAATTTCGTTAGTCGTAATGGAGTTTTGTAGCTGGAGTAATGAGTTTGTCTATTACCTTTCATTTTCGACAATTCATCACTTACCGTCTTGGCTAATAGGAATCTTCTGTGGTTATCTACTCCAATTTCAAAACGTCAAATTTCTCAAAAAATTGAACATTTTTCTTTTGTTGGTGTCCTTTCTGTCTATGATACTACTAATCATGAATCAGTTATCGCTTATGGAGGGAGAGTACAACGTCTACCGTTTCGCTGTCTGGAACGGTTTAGCCCGGCCAGCGTGGTCTTCGGCTTTAGCCTATATAATATTTAGCTGTGCGACTGGACACGGAGGTATATTTCTTTTTTTTTTTTTTGTTAAAAAACACATCAGACATTTTCAGGAATAATCAACTCCTTTCTTTCTCATTATGTGTTCAATGTTTTGAGCAAACTTACATTTAGTATGTACATTGTACATGTTGGAATGTTTTTGCTAATCCTGGGCAACAGTAGGCAAGCGCTGTTTTTCAGCAATCGCCAAATTGTAAGATTACTAAAAATGGTGATATTTTGTATTGTATTTTTTTGCAGCTACTTTATTTTGGCGAAATGTGCGCTTACAGCTTACCCTTCGCCCTACTTGCGTATCTTGCATTTGAGGCACCGTTTTCATCCGTGAAAGAATATTATAAGTCGAAACATCAAAAAAAGGTGATGGCAGATAAGAGTAACTAAAAATGGCTCAGGGTATACCTCACGGCACCACAGTACGACATTAATAAACTTTGTAATTTGTAAAATAAATGATTTCTATTTACAATGTATTCATTTCTTTCTTTCGTGATCCTTAAAAGCAGATTCAGTCAAGATTTGTGTCCCAGCCAGAGAAACAACAGCTCGTTTTAAGCGACTGTCATATTACGAGAAAGTACATTATCTACAAAAACTCTTTTCTAGACTATTTCGCAAAAAATATATTTTTTCTATTGCACATTTGTTTATGTTCAAAATTAGAAAAATTTGATTTTAACTGAATTTGTGTATGTTCCGGTTGTGATCTGCAATAGTGGAAATGAAAAATTTACCACTTAAATAGTCACATCGTCATATCTCATAGATAACGCAGATATGTTACTGCTACATCTGTTCTAACTGTGCTGTAACCGAAACTTATAGTACAAAGACTGAACACTGTGATGAATACTGGGAGTGTGGAGGAGTTTGAGCATCCGTACCTGCTGCTGGAGGATAAAAAGGGTATTTTAGACAATCTGGTGTAAACTTTAGTGAGGATTACGTCTGCGTTTTGGAAAGTATTGCTAGAAACGTAGATGTTTGGGTTTAGATTGTTATTGTTAGATGTTATCGATGGAGTGACGTTGCAGAGTTTCATGAGGCGCGGGCAGAGCGAGATTTGACGAGTCGAGGGAAAACTACGTGTGTTAGCTATAGGTGTACTGGTTTTCAGTTTTTGTTAGGAGTATTATTTAATAATGATTATTTAGTGCTATAAATCAAGTAGTTTTAAATTTGTAAGTGGACTTATTTTTGGAAGGATGTATACTTGGGTATTATAAGAGGAAAACACGAGAATGAATTTCATTACGACTATCAGTTGTCAGCCGTCAAACGGAAAGTACTAAAATTTGAAATGGGCAAATCGTCCAATATTTAATATTCCGGTTGTTGCATTAATTAATCGTGACTTGTAGAAGATTTATGATCGGCGAAATACAACTCGATAGTTTTGTTAGTTTGTTTCGACGATTTTACGGAAGGTTTCAGCAGCGGGCAATGAGTTTACAATTTTCAATAGTCAAAGACACACAGTTCGGAGTCATTTTTAATTTTTTTTTCTACCAGTAATATGCGCCACTGATTTCAGTGAGAATTGAAAGTACTTCAGTTTGTTTGAATGTGAGATATTTTGATTATTATTGTGTATTTTTTCCGTGACTAACGTTATTGCTAATTTTATTTTCATTGGTGTTAGTACATATTAATATTTACTGATATGCTGTTAATTTGAAATTTAAATAGGTACCTTTTATTTGGCACTCTAGAAACTAACGGAGTATAAATTCAGTAAAATATGCCTAGTTTCATTAGTCATCATGAAGACGGTACTCGTGTTTCTGCTGACAGTTTCTCTGTCCCAGTGTAAACTGCCCTTAACCTTTCTCAAATTGCAAGCAACACAGTTTGTCAAAACTAGCAACACCAGCGCAAACTGCGCGACAGATTTCTCGCTCCTGATTTCAGATCTGTTTGAGATGAAAATGTGGGCGCTCAAAAGTAAAACTCGCGAAAACAAAAACAAGACTTTTAACTAATTGTTTGTAGTGTTTGACGCCACTACTAAACTGGACGCTGGTATCTTAAGCGGAAATGTACATTTTTTCGGCGATTATGATCTATGTGTGTCGATTAAAGAAAAGACGAAAACAAGAACTGTTGAAGGTAAATACTGTTCAGCCATTATAACTCTCAACACGTCTTTTACCGAAGTTCATGAGCAAATGCCCAAGTTGAAAAATGTACTGCATTTTCCTAGTAAATACTTAATTTCGATAAATTTGAAAACTTTTAGTGGGAGAAATCGATTTCTACAATGCTTCTACCGGGACAGTCGAATGATGTCCAAGGCCTAGGTGGTTTGATAGGAATTTGTGTACCAAAGTCTTGTACGTTAGGAGATTTAGAAACTCTGACAGGCCACGTCGAAAGCAAATTTAAAATACCAATACATCTATCTTTTCGGGAAGAACTATGCGTCTATAAAAACAAATCGATTAAGATCAACAAACTAGACTTATTGGGATTGTAAGTGGTAATTTGAAGTGATCATTAGTAGGTATATAATACGGCAAATTCAAATTTTGACTGTCCTTACGTGTGACACGCACTGACCAAACATAGGTATATATTTATAAATTAAGACATTTTTTTTTTCTATTCAAGCTGTATCTTCATATTCATCGGTGTCGTACTTGTTGCAAGTACCTTCTACGACGTTTACCTACAGGGTTCTGGTAAACATCATACTTTCATGTTTTAATTTCTTAATCTTAAGCACAATTTTAGGGATTTTTAAAATTTTCTCGGTGTACACCAACCTGAAGAAAGCTTTGCATCAAGCGGAGAACAAAAAGTTGAATTGTCTCAATGGAATAAAAGTAATAAGTTGCTTATGGGTTATATACGGGCACACAGCCATAATAGTTGGCATCACCACAAAGAATCTGGTTTATCAGTTGACCGAGGTAACGTTAGTTAAAATAATGTAGATTACTCTTATTCCTAAATATTTCTACAGTTTCAAAAATGTTTATAAATTTACACTTGTTTTCCACTCTTTGATTAGTTTAAAATAGTTCGTAATTTCAGTGGAGGTATTGGCCCAGTGGTATCTTTGCGTGCTCTGGGCATTACGCCGTTGATACATTTTTCATGCTTAGCGGGCTATTGGTAAGCTATGGGTATTTGAAGAATTCACAAAACTTGTCCACGAGTTTAATCGCGTTCTACTTTAAAAGATTAAGCAGGTACGTCTTAACCTACGTTTGCACTTTTGCCTTTAGTTACACACAATGTCACTCACAGACTCCTGCCAACTATGGGAATCGTAGTTCTAATCCAGATAGCTCTGTTAAAGCTTTTCATAAACGGACCCTTCGGGCATCTGTTGGTGGATCTCTTCATTGAGAAATGCTACGACAACTGGCCTAGTATGGTTTTTTGCACGTTTAATTTTATGAGAGACTTCAAGGTAATTAAACTTTTGGTTTTTCCATCGACCAATTTTTTTTTTAGTGTGGCATCAACCACCTGTGGTATATGTCGAGTGATACACAAATGTACCTTCTCGCTCCTATATTTTTGTTCTTTATTAGAAAACACCCCAGAAAGGTTATTGCAGGTATGGTTGTTACGTTCCTGTTCGCCGTTGGCTACAGTGTGGCTATTACATTTATGAAGAATCTTGGATTCACATACTACGAGTAAGAATTTTTTTGAAATTTCGTTAATTGTTATGGAATTTTTTAGCTGGAGTAATGAGTTTGCCTATTACCTTTCATTTTCGACAATACATCGGTTACCGTCTTGGCTAATAGGAGTTTTCTGTGGTTATCTACTCCAATTTCAAAACGTCAAAATTCTCAAAAAATTGAACATTTTTCTTTTGTTGGTGTCCTTTCTGTCTATGATACTACTAATCATGAATCAGTTATCGCTTATGGAGGGAGAGTACAACGTCTACCGTTTCGCTGTCTGGAACGGTTTAGCCCGGCCAGCGTGGTCTTCGGCTTTAGCGTATATAATATTTAGTTGTGCGACTGGACACGGAGGTATGTTTTTCTTTTAGTAAAAAAAAAAAATACATCAGAAATTTTCAGGAATAATTGACTCCTTTCTTTCTCATTATGTGTTTAGTGTTTTAAGCAAACTTACATTTGGTATGTACCTGGTACATATTGGAATGTTATTGGTAATGCTCGGGAACAGTAGGCAATCGCTGTTGTTCAACAATCGCCAAATTGTAAGATTACTAGAAATGATGATATTTTGTATTGGATTTTTTTTGCAGCTACTTTATTTTGGCGAATTATGCGTCCGCAGTTTACCCTTAGCTCTCCTTGTGTATCTTACATTTGAGGCACCGTTGTCATCCGTGAAAGATTATATGTCGAAACACCAAAAAGTGATGGCAGATAAGACTAACTAAAAATTGCTTACGTTATACCTTACGGCACCACTTTCTATACAGGGCAATGGGAAAACACTGACAGTAATAAACTTTATAACTTTTAAAATAAATGATTGCTGTTTATAATTTATTAATTTCTTTATTTTATTTATTTTTATTTTATTGATTAACGTTACCCAACAGGCCGGAGGCCCAATTACAGGGTAACGGGGGACATACACAACACCCAGAGCAGGGCGGGAATTGAACCCACGACCCAAGGTGTGGCAGGCAAGCGCGATGCTACCTAACCCACCCGGGTCCTCCTTTACTTCATGATTCCTTTAAAGCAGTTTTATTAGTCAAGTTTGTATCTCAGCCACAGTTAAGTATATTGTTCCAAAAATTTAGTTTTTGAAGTATTTAGAAATTTTTTATTTCCCTTTTGATTATGCCTAGCCCTAAATTGATTTTACGAAAAATTTTCTCTAATTTAACTGATTTACATCTATGGTATACAAAAATCAAGCCAGTATGATCTAGTTTGGGCACCCTTGGAAAATTGTCCAACATTTAATGTTCCAACACGAACCAAATTTAAATTTCTTATCGTAGAACGTTTTTGATTTAAACAACGCTAAACCCATAAATTCCCCTTTCCGACATTTACATGTCGTTTATTTTCCCAAGATGCCGTCTATAATTTCCATATGTAAATAAGTACCTACGCAAGAGTTCTTAAAATGAAAAAAAAAGATAAGCAATAACAAAATTTAGTGGAAAAACTAATGTAAAATTATGGAAAAGGAGTTAGGCTTTGTGTCCAAAAGTACAAAAAAAAAAACAGAATTTTATAAAAAAATGAGTGGATAACGTTTGAACAACGTAACTAGAAACACAAATTGACTTGTTTCAGCGTTTTTGACAAATACCATTGTAGCGTACTATAGTATTTATTGCCACCGGGCGTTACGCAAACATCAATTCCTTTCTACCTGTGTGGTATCACCCGGAGTTCTCGGCGGCTCGGCTCTCGTCGGGTGTTCGGTACCACCCCCAAATTTATTCATCACGGCCCTCCTGGACGAATGGGTGGCGGACGCAGAGTCACCAACAACCCGTCAGCGGGCACGCGTCGCAAAAATACATAAATATTTTCATAATCAAGTATATATAATGAAATGTACATAATATCAATAAATTGTTGTTAAAAGTGCACGTCGTTCCACAATTAATATTCACTACAGTTTCCACACTACCCTTTTGCTCTTATTTGTCTACTTAAACTACCACCACATCGTGCAACTCCATCCTCGCTTTCTAGCCTGTGGAATATTTTGAAAATAACGACCAGAAAGAGTTCGTCGTGGCAGTCAGACCACCCTCCATCGGTCCGGTCTTTTTGGTTGTAAAGGGTCCAGCTCCATTCGATCTGGCTCATTTGGTATCTCCAAAACAATCACGCGCCTCGAGGTTGTTTTGGAGATCGTTGAAGAAGATTGGAGCAACAAGGTGACCCCTTTATCTATCATATCCTCAATTGTTGTTAGCTTATGCAAGCTTGCGTCGTACACAGCCATTACATTTGCGACCATTTACTTAAATTATTCCATAAACAGTTAGTATATACTTATCGACGTGTGCATTTCTGATAAGTATTTTTTTGAAGTTTAAATTTCCTTTACTACTAGTTCGTTCCATTCCACTCCATTCGGGCCAGAACTCCACTTGTCGTCATGAAGACAACACTTCTACTTTTTCTGGCAGTATCGCTGTCACATTGTCAAGTACCTTTAACACTGATAAGATCTCGAGTAACAAAATTTGTCAACGCCAGTAACATAAGCAAAGACTGTGCTGCAGATTTGTCTCTCCTAATTTCAGACCTATTTGATCAGAAAATGTGGGCAATGAAAAGTAAAACTCGCTAAAACAAAAATAAGATAAATCTTGATGTATTGTTTTCAGTGTTGGACTCCACCAGTAAACTAAACGCCGGTATATTAAACGCAAATGTGCATTTCATCGGTGATTACGACATGTGCTTATCAATTAAAGAAGAGACACAGACAAGAACTGTCGAAGGGCAATACTGCACAGCTGTTGTAATGTTGGACGAGAAGTTTCTTAGCACAATTAAGCATTTGCTAAAATTGGAAAAAGTACTGCATTTTCGCAGTAATCGACTTTAATAAATTCCAAAATTTTCAGATAGACAAAATGATCACTGGAATAGTAGCCGTGGAAGAGGTGATAAACCCGCGAAAAGTGGCTGGTGTTATAGGAATTTGTGCACCAAAAACTTGTAGGGCGGGCGACCTAGAAACTCTGGCACAAGACGCAGAAAGAAAATTTAATCTATCAGCACATCTATATTTTCGCGAGGAGCTGTGCATCCACAAAAATCAGCCGACTAAAATCAACAAACTAGATTTAATCATATAGTGAGTGCTAATTTGTATTTTCAATTCCAAATTTCGTTTCATTAGGTGATATAAAAATAGAATTTTTCTTTTCAAGCTGTGGTATAATAATCATGGGTTTTGTACTGGTTGGAAGCACCATCTACGATGTTTATTTTCAGGGTTCCGGTAAACTTCATACTCTCATGTCGTTATGTAATTTTTACCATAAGCATAATTTTAGGCGTTTTTAGAATTTTTTCCATGTACACCAACTTGAAGAAACTTTTGCATCAAAGCAATCACAGAAAGTTGAGCTGTGTGAGTGGAATAAAAGTGTTGAGTTGTTTCTGGGTTTTATTGGGGCATACGACCCTGCTAGCCATCGCAATAGCAAAGAATGTGGTTTACAATGTGGCAGAGGTAAAGTTAGTGTAAATGTTTCTGCACTTATCAATGACTCCACTTTCTTGAAAGTTTACAATAGTTTGCAATTTCAGTGGAGGTATGAGCCCGTTAATACCTTTGCTTGGGCTGGCCACTACTCCGTTGATTCATTTTTTATGGTTAGCGGACTACTACTAAGTTACACATTCCTGAAGAATTCACGAAAGGTGTCAATGAGCTTAATCGAATTCTATTTTAAAAGACTGAGCAGGTTCGTACTTATGCTATGTTTGCGTTGTGCCTTAAATTGTGTATACTCGCAGACTCATGCCAACCATGGTGGTTATAATTCTCATCATAGCAAGTGTGTTAAAGCTTTGCATAGACGGACCCTACGGACCTGTGTTGTTGCAGGTCTTCATCGAAAACTGCTACGGCGATTGGCCTAGTATACTATTTTTCACTTTTAATTTTATGAGAGACCCCAAGGTACCTAATTAAACTTTTCTGTTTTCCACTGAACAACACATTTTTTTTTATAGTGTGGCATCAACCACCTGTGGTATTTGTCGAGTGACACCCAATTATACTTTCTCGCTCCTGTATTCTTATTCTTCATCATAAAACACCCCAGAAAGGTTATCGCAGGTATGAGTGCGATGTTCCTCTTCTCCGTTGGCTACAGTGTCGCTGTTACGTTCATGAAGAATCTTGGGTTCACATTCTACGAGTAAGATTTTTTTTTAAATTGCGTTTAGTTATTAGTAAATTTTGTAGTTGGAGTGAAGATTATGGCAATTATTTTATATTTTCGACAACTCATCGTCTACCGTCTTGGTTAATAGGGGTCTTCTGTGGTTATCTACTCCAGTTTGAAAACGTCAAAATTCCGAAAAAATTGAACATTTGTCTTTTGTTTTTATCGTTTTTGTCTATGATACTGCTAGTGGTGAGTCAGTTATCGCTTCTAGACGGAGAATATAACGTTTATCGTGTCGCTGTCTGGACCGGTTTAGCCCGGCCAGTGTGGTCTTTAGCCGTGGCTTACGTAGTATTTAGCTGTGCGACTGGACACGGAGGTATACTTAATTTTTTTTTGATATTGAAAATCCATTAGAAATTTTCAGGAATAATCAACACTTTTCTTTCCCATTATGTGTTCCGAGTTTTAAGCGAACTTACACTTAGCATTTACTTGCTACATATTCCAGTCATTACGGTCCTTATCGGCAACAATAGACAGACTTTGTTTTTCAACAATCGCCAAGTTGTAAGATTTTTCAAAATCATGTTAATTTGTACTGATATTTTTTTGTAGCTACTTTGTTTTGTTGAAGTGTGCATGTATTGTTTACCCCTATCTCTACTTGCGTATCTTGCATTTGAGGCATCGTTTTCGTCCTTGAAAGATTATAGGTCGAATCAACAAAAAGACAGAAAAGACTAACTAAAAATGCTGGTTTCCAGCACAACTTTTTAAATGGGGCATCGAGACACCATTGACATTAATACATTTTATAACTTTGAAAATAAATAATTTAAAGTTTCATATTTATTTATTTACGTCATGAGACCTTCAAAGCAGTTTTAGGCAAAGTTTGTGACCTAGACCAAAAATCTAGTTTGTTGCAATAAAATTTTACATCTTGATTATGCCTAGCACTAAATTAAAATTAGGAAAATTTGTCTCTAATTTAACTGAATTTGGTATCTTCCCGTTTGCTATTCGCCAATAACAATTAATAGCAACATCTATGGTGTCCAAAAATCAAGGCCATTATGACCTAGTTTGTGCACCCATGACAAACTGTCCAACATTTAACCTTCCAACACGAACTAAATTTAAATTTCTTATCATAAAACGATTTTGATTTAAAAAACGCTGACACCCATAATTCCACTTTCCGACATTTACATGTCGTTAATTTTTGCAACGCACCATATGTAAATTTCGTTTGTAAATACCTGTCTATACAAATAACAAAATTTAATAAAAACATTTATGACGTGCCTAGAGTTTGTAATTTATTCTTTATTTTATGAGTTCTTTTAAATGATAAACATCGATTGGAATCAAAGCATGTGATCAGTCAGAGAAACTCATGTGTATAAAAATGGCGTCTCGTGGCTTTATAGATAACTCAAATATGTAGTGCAAGAATTATACGATTCTGTTCTACAATAACCATAACATTAAACGTTGACGCAAGTCGCATTTAAATTTCTTTATCGCAAAACCATTATCATTTAGTTAAAGCTAAAACTTATATTTTCGTTTCTCGACATTTAAATACTGTTTTTTCCGCAACATGTATGTAAATAATTTATTCGTAAATACAGCAAAAATTTATGGAAAATTATGAATAAGGAAAAACAACTGGTTGCGTTTTGTTCGTTTGTTCGGACCATGGCCGACTAGTATAAAGATTATGGCCTGTGCAAGAGGCACCATACGTGTTGCCATCTATTAATAATTACACTTAATAATTTAGCAAAATTTTAATTTGACTTGACATTATGGGACTTCAAAACGTGTAATGGTGGTTTGTTTCGGTATGAATGCCTTTGTGCCTTTCAAAAAGTGTAAATAATTCTTTTGTCGTTTTTGAATTATTAATAGATGGCAGCACGTATGGTACCTTTGGCATTCCTTTGGACAGGCCATAATCTTTATACTAGTCGGCCATGGTTCGGACGAGCCTTGGGAGGTTTCAGCAGCGCGCACTGATTTTCGACGTCACCGTTGAATTTTCATTTTTGAACAAATTCGTGTTTTCTTTCGCAAGATTCTTCTGTTTACATGAACGGGGGATGCTTCGGTTATTATACTATTTCTATTATGGTTTTGTTTGCGACACAGTTCTTTTCCTGTTTATTACCTTATTTTTTATTCATTTACTGATATGAACTTACTTTTAATTTAAATATCTGTTACCACAAATGCATACAGTTGCTAAGTGTGTTTAGAACTCTACTTGTCATTATGAAGACAGCACTTGTGCTTTTTTTGGTAATATCGCTGGCACAGTGTAAAGTCCCCTTAAGTCTGGTGAAATTTCAAGCAATCAAATTTGTCACCGCTAGTAATATAAGCGAAGAGTGTGCTGCGGATTTGTCGCTGCTAATTTCAGACCTGTTTGGTTTGAAAATGTGGGCTTTGAAAAGTAAACTTTGTGAAAATCCAAATAAATCTTTTGATAACTTGTTTGCAGTGTTTGACGCCACCGGCAAAATAAACGCCGGAATGTCAAACGGAAACCTGCATTTCTTCGGCGATTTCGACCTATGCTTGTCAATTAAAGAAAACACAAAAACACGAACAATCGAAGGAAAATACTGTACAGCTCTTATGAGAGTCAACGACGAAATTCTTGACCAAGCTAAGCGACTACTAAACTTACAATATGTGCTAAATTTCCCCAGTAATTGACTTCAATAAATTCAAAAATTTTTAGCTAAAACTAGTGTACAGTGCAATAAATATCCAAATAGCGTTCAATGATATGCAAAATCTAACTGGTCTTGTGGGAATTTGTGTACCAAAATCTTGTAGCCTGGACGATCTCGAAATTCTAGCACGACACGTAGAACGTAAATTAAAATTGCCAATAAATCTATCTTTCCTGGAAGAGATGTGTACCTACAAAAACCAGCCGACTAACATCAACACGTTGGATTTAATCACATAGTAAGTAGGCGTACAATATGCATGACGTCAAGGTGGCAAACCGCCAAATTCAAATCGAAATTGGCGGCTTTTGAGTTGAGTAAGTCGAAATAACAGATTTTCATTTTTAAGCTGCGGTCTTATTTTGATGGGTCTTTTACTCGTTGGAAGTACCATCTATGACGTTTATTTACATGGTTGCGGTAAACGTCACTTCCGTGTTTGTAATTTTATCTTAAACAAAATTTTAGGCGTTTTTAGGATCTTTTCAATGTACACAAACCTAAAGAAACTTTTGGATAAAGCCGAAACCAAAAAATTGAGTTGTGTGAGTGGAATAAAAGTCATAAGTTCTTTGTGGATTATATTGGTGCATACAGTCCTAATTGCGTCCTTAATAGCAAAGAATCTGGTTTACGCCTTTGCAGAGGTAAAGTCAGTCAAAATACTGTGTCTAATAACACGTCAGCATCTGCGGTCAATACTCTACCCCTGTTATTAAGAATTTCTAGAATTTTTAATTGTTAACTCTATTTTTTTTTAAATATAAAATAGTTCGCACTTTCAGTGGAGGTATACACCCATTGGCATGGTCATGTGGTCTGGCCCTTACGGCGTTGATACATTTTTCGCGCTTAGTGGGCTATTGGTTACCTACACGTACCTGAAGAATTGTCAAAACTCTTCCATAGGTTTACTCGAATTCTATTCTAAAAGACTTCTCAGGTAGGTAGTTAAGTTGCGTTTACACTTTTACTTTCAGTTATTATGTACACTGTAACTCGCAGGCTCATGCCGACGATGACAGGTCTCATTACTATCCAATCAAGTTTGTTAAAACTATTCCTAGACGGACCCAATGGGCAAATTTTATTGAAAATCTCTGTCGACAACTGCCGCGATAACTGGCCTAGTATGTTATTTTTCACTTTCAATTTTATGAAAGATGCCAAGGTACTGCAACTTCTGTTTTTTCCAGCCAATAATAATGTTTTGTAGTGTGCCAGCAATCACATTTGGTATTTGTCGAGTGACACCCAAATGTACTTTCTAGCTCCCATATTTTTGTTCTTTATCACAAAACACCCCAGAAAGGTAATCGCAGGCATGACTGTCACGTTCCTGTTCGCCGTTGGCTACAGTGTCGCTGTTACATTTATAAAGAAACTTGGGTTCACAATATTCGAGTAAGTGTTTTTTTTTTCTAAATTTTGTTAGGTTTATTAAATTTTGTAGCTGGAATTGCGATTTTGAACACTATCTTTCACTTTCGACAATTCATCGCTTGCCGTCTTGGCTAACAGGAGTCTTCTGTGGTTATCTACTCCAGTTTAAAAATGTCAAAATTCCCAGAAATTTGAACAATTGCCTATTGTTTGTGTCTTTATTGTCTATGATACTGCTAATATTAAACCAGGTGTCGCTTCTGGATGAAGAATACAACGTCTACCGTGCTGCCCTCTGGAACGGTTTAGCTCGGCCAATGTGGTCTTTAGCTTTGTGTTATATAATATTTAGCTGCGCGTCTGGACACGGAGGTACAATTATTTTTTTGTGTTATCGAAAATCATGGAAATTTCCAGGGATAATCAACTCATTTCTTTCCCATTATGTGTTCAGAGTTTTAAGCGAACTTACATTCAGCATTTATTTGTTACATGCTGTATTCGTTGCGGGAATTCTCGGCAACACTAGGCAGAGTGTATTCTTCAACAATCGCCAGATTGTAAGATTTCTCAGAATAATTACTTCGTATTCAATTTTTTTTGCAGCTACTAAATTTGGTTGAAGTCTACATGTACTGTTTGCCGGCGTCTTTGCTTGCATATCTTGCGTTTGAGGCACCGTTTTTATCCCTGAAAGACTATACGTCGAGACGACGAAAGGTTATGGCAGAGAAGAGTAGCTAAAAATGGCTTTCGATGGAGCTTCAAGAGTTTCTAAACTTTGTAATTTTAAGAATAAAGAATTCAGACTGATGTTTAAGAGCTATTCATTTTGTTGTTTATTAAAAAATAATACCGTTGCAGTCAAAAAAAAAAATAGTTAACTACATTTTGGTTTTTCTTGAAAACGTTGATTTTTGAAATAAAATTGTACACATTTGTATTATGACTGCCCTTGAGTTTGAAGTGGTGTCTCGTGGTCTTACATCTAAGGTAAACCTATAGTGCACATGCAAAAATGACCTAGTTTAAGTATTTATGAGTAGTCACTATCACACCTAGTCAACATTTAAACTTCATTTATCTAACCTATTTTCATTAAAATTATGTACATATTCATTTAATGGACATACGTGTCGTGTAAAAATTTTCAACTGCATTTGTGCGATGCAATTTAACAAAATTAAAAATGAAACATTTATGAAAAAGCATGAGTGGCGACATAGTTTTATCCCAACTGGTTTCAGCAACGCTCAATGACTTTTGGCTGTCAATTTTTTAGCATGCTTTTAAATTTAAAATCGATAAACCCAAATCGTCTCCCTTTTTACATAATTTTGACGTAACGCTAGATACTTAAGTTTGGTCATTGTAATCTATATAGTAGTTTTATTTCACATTACTTGGCTTTTAACCACGTACATATCTGTATTCTACTGATATGAAGCAATTTTGAATTTTAAAACGCCTTTTGTTGCTAACACACTTTACCTGATCCAGAAATCCCCGTTTCATCATGAAGACAACACTCATACTCTTCCTGACACTGTCGGTAACGCAGGGTGAGGTGCTCTTAAAACTCGTGAAATTGCAAGCCACAAAACTTATCACCACCAGTGAAATTGGCGAAAACTGCGCTGAAGATTTGTCGCTCTTAATTTCAGATGCGTTCGATCTGAAATTGTGGGCACTCAAAAGTAAGTATTCCAAAAAATAAAAAAAGTCTACATAAATTTGTCGTAGTGTTGGATGCTACCAGTAAAATCAATTCTGGACTTTGGAACGGAAATGCGCATTTTTTTGGCGATTACGACCAGTGCTTGTCGATCGAACACAACACACACAATAACACCATCCGAGGACAATACTGTACAGCTGTTTTGAGTGTCGACCCCAATGTTCTTAATGGCGATATGCAGTTCTTAAAGCTGCAACATGTGCTACACTCCCTGAGTAATTTTCTTCAATTAATCCAGACGTTTTTAGCATGTGAAAATTGTCAATGGACTAAAGTTTGAGGGAATTTTTGAACACTTGAAAAATGCAAGCGGAGGCTTCGGAATTTGCATGCCCAAATCGTGTTCGCCAAGAGACTTGGCAACACTGCTACTAAACGTAAAAAAGAAGTTCAAGCTACCAATAACTCTGTCTTTTGAGGAAGATCTGTGTGTCTATAAAGGCGAACCAAGCAAAATCAGCAAATTAGATGTATCTGTTTGGTGAGTGCTAGTGACGTAATTATCAGTAGTAAATACATAGTATAATAAGGGTCAATCAAAATTGTATCTAATTTTACGAATTTAAGCTACGGCCTCGTTCTCGTGGTTCTCTTAATGTGTGGCAGCACGATCTACGACGTTTATCTACAAGGTTCTGGTAAGTACCACTCTTCCACCTAGGGAATTAGATCTGAAGCAAAACTTAGGGATTTTCAGGTTTCTTTCAGTGAATAGAAATATGAAGAAACTTTTACATCAACGCGAAGACAGAACGTTGAACTGCGTGAGTGGAATAAAAGTGATAAGCTGCTTTTGGGTCATGTTAGGACACGCAGCGATAGGAGGGACGTTACTTGCGAAAAATATTTTTTATACTGTAACTGAGGTAACCGTACATTTGAATATTCCAGCACCATTTAAAAATATTTCTTAGTTTTCTAAGATGTTTTATTTTCTGTTTTTTTTAGTGGAGATGGAAGCCAATGAACACATTCGTGTGGACCGGGCACAACGCCATGGATACATTTTTTACAGTGAGCGGATTGTTGGTAAGCTACACCTATCTCAAGAGTTCCCAGAAATCTTCAACCGGATTATTCACATTCTACACCAACAGATACGTCAGGTGGTATTTCCACCCCGCTTACCCATTTTTAATAACTGTATTCCTTAGACTCACACCAGTAATGCTGCTCACAATTCTCATCCAGTCAAGCTTGTTAAAAATTTACGTGGAGGGACCCTACGCCAAAATTATGTTGGACATTTTTATCGAAAAGTGTTACGATAACTGGCCTAGCATGGTATTTTACACAATCAATTTATTTCTGCACACTAAGGTAATTTTTTTTGTCACCACGAGCAATATTTTTTCGAATTTTTTTGCAGACTGTCGTCACCCACATTTGGTACCTGTCGTGCGACTTTCAGATGTACCTTCTCGCTCCTATTTTTTTGTTCTTTATCAGAAAACACCCCAGAAAAGTTACTGCAGCCATGGCGCTGACGTTTTTGCTGTCCGTTCTGTACAGTTTCGCCATCACGGGAATTAAAAAAGTCGGCTTCACAGTATACGAGTAGGTCTCACTTTTGGAAAATTTTGCTTACTCGTTACGGAATTTTCTAGGTGGAATCAAGACTTTGCCTATTATCTTGCCTTTTCCACTTTTCATCATCTGCCATCGTGGTTAATAGGAATCTTCTGCGGTTATTTGCTCCAACACGAAAACATCAAAATTCCCAAAAATTTGAACGTTTGTCTCTTGTTTGTGTCATTTTTGTCTTTGATAATGCTGATGGTGAATCAGTTGACGCATTTGGAGGGAGAATACAGTGTCTACCGTGCTGCTCTCTGGAACGGATTAGCCAGACCAGCGTGGTCTTTGTCGCTGTGTTATATTATATTCAGTTGTGCGACTGGACACGGAGGTAATTTAATTGTTTTTTTTTATATATAAAAATATAGACATTTTTAGGGATCATTAACTCCTTTTTATCCAACTATGTATTCATAGTTTTAAGCGAACTTTCATACAGCATTTATTTGGTTCATGGTGGAATTATGTTGTTCATTTTTGGCAGTAGCAGACAGACCCTATTTTTTAATAATCACCAGATCGTAAGTTTTTTCAAAATTAGAAGTACTTATTTTAAACTGTGATTACTTTTACAGCTACTTTATTTTATGGAGATATGTATGTGGACGTTACCACTCTCTCTATTTACGTATCTTGCATTTGAAGCACCAATTTTATCTGTGAAGAACTACATGCTTAAACCAAAAAAAGTGACAGCAAAGAAGAGTAACTAAAGTGGCTTCCAACACACTTTCTAGTTGAAGAAACACGACAATAAATTTTGTAATTACAGCAATAAATTAATTAAAGCTTGGAGTGTAATTCTTTTTGTACCAAGACGTAATATGCGACAAGTGGTTTATAATGCGTATGATCATACGTCTAATTACTCATGCAACGATCACTGCTGACGTGAACACAAGTATCTATCTACAATTCAAAGATAACATTCGTATCTAACCTCTCCAAAACAAGTACATTTCAATACGATATTCTGGAAATGCAATTTCGCTACAGACATACATTTGTGCAAAATAATGTGATTGCGTTGGCTACTTTACAGTTTGTACCATGATTTGATTGTAGTCCTATTATTACCTAAAAATGGATACAAAAGAGAAAATTGAAAACAAACCCAATCCCGTCGAAAAAGCGAACGTTTTTTCGTCACTCATTTTCCTGTAAGTAGTTCTACAACTTAAATTAGAGCAACTTCCTAAAAAAAAAAACACACAGATACTTGTTCCCGATTTTTAAAAAAAGTTTCAAACGAGAGCTAAATGAGGACGATTTGTTTGAACCACTGGACGAACACAAGGCGTCTCTACTGGGCACAAAACTTGAACAAGCGTGGAAAGAAGAAAACGTTAAACACAAACAATACGGTTTGCATATAGCTCTTTTGAAAGTTTTTGGGAGCCGGTTTATGTTGTTTGGGTTTTTGAGATTATTTGACGAAGTCATGATGGAGTAAGTAAAAAATTTGAGTTATTTATGTGTTAGGAGTATAAATTCAGAATTGTGCCTCCTTTCTGTATTGGTCGACTTCTATCGTACTACGAGGGGACCAACAGTGACGTTTCTGAAACTGAAGCTTATTTACAAGCCCTTGCAATAGCCTTGTGTCTTATCCTCAACGCCCTTTTGACCCATCCTCCATACATGGGTTTAATGCACCTCACCATGAAGATGAGGATTGCTTGCAGCTCTCTGATTTATAGAAAAATGTTGAAGTTAAGTAAAACGGCCTTAGCTGAGACCACCACTGGTCAAATAATAAACCTTCTGTCTAATGACGTTAGTAAATTTGACCAGGGGTTCATGCTGGCTCATTACGTTTGGATAGCACCTATTCATGCAGTCATAGGAACCTACTTCCTGTACCGACAGATAGGAATATCTGCCTTTTTCGGAGTTGTTCTATTGGTGGCCTTCATTCCCGTACAAAGTAAATGTGGTTTGAATTTTTGTCGACAGTCTAACCATGAGTTTCAGTAATGTTAGGCAAAAGGACTTCCGTTTTGCGTCTTAGAACAGCCTTAAGGACCGACGAGAGGGTTCGTTTGATAAACGAGATCATCTCCGGAATACAAGTTATCAAAATGTATTGTTGGGAAAAACCGTTCGGGAAACTGGTCTCAATGGCAAGGAGGTTCGTATTACTTTGAAGCGTCTCAGTATGGTTGTTAAATTTTCCTTAGAAAAGAAATGTCAGCAATTCGGGACCGGGCCTTGATACAAGGGATGTTCTACTCTTTTGAAACCACAATAGCAAGAACATCGGTCTTTTTAAGTATCTTGGGGTACGTTCTAATGGGATCACGAATCACTGCGGAAAAAGTTTTCACCATAAAAGCAATCTACGACGTTCTTAGATCAGTGCTAATCCTCCACTTCTGGATTAGCGCATCCTCGATAGCCGAAACCAACGTTTCCGTTTCAAGAATCCAAAAATTTCTATCATCTCCTGACCGAGTTGACACAACAACCAGAGCCACATCTTCGCCTCGAATCCTTTTAGAAAACGTGACAGCTAAATGGCAAGAAAACCCCGGGTTAGAACGTGTTAGTTTCAACGTAGCGTCAAGTCAAACCATGGCCGTAATCGGACCCGTCGGAAGCGGCAAAAGCAGCTTGTTAAATCTTCTCCTTAACGAACTTCCTGTAGAAAGTGGACGAATCGACGTCCAAGGAAACCTTTCGTACTCCTCGCAGGAACCGTGGCTTTTTTCTGGAAGCGTTCGCCAAAACATTATTTTTAACAACGAGTACGACGAGGAGCGGTACCGAAGAGTGGTAGAAGTGTGCGCGCTGAAATCAGACTTCCAGTTATTCCCTTTCGGAGACCAAACGCTAGTTGGGGAAAAGGGAAGAGCGCTGAGTGGAGGTCAAAAAGCCCGAATTAATCTCGCGAGATGTGTTTACAACGAAGCCGATATCTACCTTCTGGATGATCCTTTGTCTGCTGTGGATGCAAACGTGGGGAAGCACTTGTACGAAAAGTGCATCAGGGAGTTTCTCAAAGGGAAAATCTGCGTTCTTGTCACGCATCAGCTTCAGTATTTGAGCGACGTGGATAGAATTGTTGTTATGAAAAATGGCGAGATTGAGAGCGAAGGGACGTTTAATGAACTGCAGACCAAAGGCTTGGATTTTGGTAAATTGCTTGAGCAGTTTAAGAATGAGGACCAAGGTGAAGAGAGTAAAAAGTGGGAAGAGGGAGTGGATGACGAAGAACTAAAGGATGACGATAATGAGAAACCACTCGTTGAAACAGAAAAAGTAAAGAGAGGCAGCATTAAATGGTCTCTTTATTTGAAGTATTTAAAAGCTGGCGGTGGTACTACAATGGTACTGGTCATGTCGACTTTGTTTCTAAGTGCCCATTCTGTTGCGAATGCCGGAGATTATTATATTTCATACTGGTAAGTACACGGTTAGATCGTTATTTTTCTAGGCGATGTATTTTTAGGGTTAATTCCGAAAGACGCTTCAATGAAAAAGTTCTAAATAATATGACTGCACCAAACGAAACCTTGGATAGAAATCCCATGATTTATACATACTCGGGGCTCATTCTAGGCACGATAGTTTTATCTTTTACCGAATCCCTTTATTTCATGTTTCATTTAACTGTTGCTTCTATTAACTTACACGAGATGAGCTTTTCAACGCTCTTAAATGCGGCAATGAGGTTCTTCAACAACAATCCTTCCGGACGAATTCTCAACAGATTTTCAAAAGACATGGGTTACATCGATGAATATATTCCTTCGGTGTTATTCGACGTGATACAAGTGAGTACTTGTTACATTACAAACTAGTCTCCATTAAACTTCTTTTAGGTAGCTTTAATGTTATTTGGTTCGCTTATCCTCTCCTTCATCGTAGATGTTTGGCTGCTGATACCTTCTGCATTCTTAATATCAGTTTTCTTCGTTCTACGAATCATCTACATTCGTACAAGTAGACGCGTTAAACGAATCGAAGGAGTCAGTAAGTGATAACATTTAACACAAACGTGTTTTTATAACACACTTCTGTAGCAAGAAGTCCAATTCTTGGACACGCTGCCACTTCAATACAGGGTCTAAGTACAATCAGAAGTTTCTCAGCCCAAGAAGTTCTCATAAGGGAGTTCGACGACTACCAAGACCGCCACAGTTCGGCATGGTATCTTTTCATTGCCGCCAATCGATGTTTCGGCTTCTGGGTGGACTTCATCTGTATTACATTTTTTGCCGTTGGCGTGTTCGTCCTCATGTATTTTAACAAAAGTAAGTTTTTTTCTCATCGTAAGTATAATTTGTGTACTTAAAAACTTCTAGATATAAGTGGTGGCGACATCGGTTTGGTAATCACACAATACACAACCTTCATCAGTTCCCTCCAATGGGAACTCCGCCAACTCAGCGAACTAGAAAACACCATGGTTTCCGTCGAACGCTTGCTGGAATACAAAAACCTAGAAAGCGAACCCGTTCGAAAAAAAACCGAAACGGTATCACAAACCTGGCCAAAGCAAGGCAAAATCGAATTTCGTCACGTATCCATGAAATACAACCCCTCCGACTCCCACATTTTGAAAAATTTGAGTTTCACTATACACCCACAGGAGAAGATCGGTATTGTGGGTCGAACCGGTGCCGGAAAGTCTTCAATAATTACAGCTTTGTTCCAACTGTACCCCATCGAAGGGACTATACTCATGGACGAAGTCGACTCCACCGGACTACCTTTAGAAGACGTGCGCTCTAAAATTTCGATTATCCCTCAAGAACCGGTTTTGTTTTCTGGAAGTCTGCGCAAAAATTTAGATCCTTTTGACGAGTATTCGGACGAAGCGATCTGGGACGCTTTGAAACAAGTAGAACTCAAGAATATAGTTTCAGGTGGTCTAGATACCAATGTGGCTGAAGGGGGTGGTAATTTTAGCGTGGGTCAAAGACAACTGGTGTGTTTGGCGAGAGCACTCGTGAGGAGGAACAAGATTCTGGTGATGGACGAAGCCACAGCCAACGTGGACCCACAAACCGACGCGGTTATTCAAAATACCATAAGAGAGAAGTTTGCTGAGTGCACCGTGTTAACAATAGCCCATAGGTTGCAGACGGTTATGGATTCCGACAGGATAATCGTGATGAGTGCCGGGAGCCTGGAAGAGTTCGACCACCCGTATAACCTCATAAAGAAAGAAGGCGGAGTTTTGCACAATTTGGTTCAAAATATGGGCAAAGCGGCAGCTGCGACTTTAGAAAGTATTGCGAAAAAAGTAGGTCACGTTGTTCTTCTATGACACGATTAACTTCTCAAATGTTACAGAGCTACGAAAAAAGAAAATTGTTGATTGAGGAGCCAAAGGAATAGAGTAGAATAAGTAATTACAGTAAAATGAAAACATGTTTCTGATGAAAATAAATTGAACAGTTTTGATGTAACTGACGTCGCGTTTCCATAACTCCAATTCAAGCTAAAAAAAAAACTCGTTTCATAATCAAAATCCATACCAGTTCCGACCTGTATCCGTCGTCACCGCTACTTTGCACGAAGTTGCGCAACAACAAAACAATTATTACCGTAATTAATCTTAGGGATCTTAATTTCCGAAATGTTCGCAACTGATTGCATCATTACTCGCAACAAAACACAGAAATATTTTTCAAACACAACGTCGCGATAAAATTATCAGTAATATTCCGCGGCGCGTATCTCGAGTGCGAACCAAACAGAGATAACCATACTATTTCAGATTGATTTTCTTGTCCCACCAATGATGTTTTCCTGCCAGAATAGAGTCGACGCCAGGGCGTCCATGACGCATGGTAGTTCCTACATGAATGGTCGGCATCCGAGAAACTCGGCAGTTCGCGGTCGGATTTCGTGCGGCTGGCAGCACGAAGACTCTTACAAATACACGTTTTAGTGTAGATTTATTGTGATATTTTACCATGGATGCGTCGACGAAGACAGATAAAAAAGCCAATCCGGCGGAGAGAGCCAACGTGTTCTCTTTGCTCACGTTCGTGTAAGTATTGTGTGGGGCTTTCCCCCAGGGGCGACTTAACATCGCGAAGAGCCGGTTAACCCTGACTCGGTTGAGGTCTTCGTCCTACATATGCAAATAAAACGATTTCGTCAAACACATAAACTAATCCTCTAAAGAATAGTTTTTTCGGATTAATTGTTGACTCGGTGTGTTTGTCTAAATATTAACGCTGGAATCGTCCAACGTACACCCGATATTGATCAAAAAGTCGGTTGTAAATGTCAACATTTGTTCTTTGCGTACACCGTCCAGAAGCTCGCGATAACAATCGATGCTTTTAATTACACAGCTCGTAATCAATTAATTACTTCTGTCAGCGTTTTTTTAACCTCACGCGTCCTCGACGTGGTAAATCTACACAATTATTTAACCATTTACCGAGCCTCTACCAATTAAGTTTTCTTTTCCAGATATATGTTTCCCATTTTTAAACGTAGCTTCAAAAACGGCTTGAAAGAGGACGACTTGTTCAGGCCGCTGGGCGAACACAAGTCCGGTTTGTTGGGCGAAAAACTCGAAAAAATATGGAGAGAAGAACACAGAAAGCACAAGAAGTCGGCGTTACACAGGGCTTTGTTCAAGCTCTTCGGACCTCAGTTCGTGTGGTTGGGGATAGTGAAACTCGTGGACGAAGTACTTCTAGTGTAAGTTTTTCGAAAATTGCGGTTACCCGCACTTTGGTAATTTGCGTATCCAGTCGGAATTTTACCTTATCGAGCACAAGGTAACTATAATCGATTCGAATGAACTAATTAGGTTTCGCTTAATTGTGGGTTTGTCATGTCGCCGGTTATTTTAAACACCTTTCTCTAAATTTAACACGCCTGACACGGGTTTAAGTATGACCGGTAAGTGCGACGAGTGGCAGGAGTTTTCTTTGTAAATTTATTTTATAAACACGTTGATGTGGCTAAAGTTATTTTGTGTCTGAAAGGAGGGAGAGAGGCGGAGCGATCATTGATTTTTGCCTAAAATATCTTATGTTCGTCCTACCACAAATTTCCTTTGAAAAAGCAATTACTGGAGGTCGAGCTTCTGCCCGACCTACGACAAAGGAACCATGTTAAAGTTGGGACACCCTATATGTAGACAAATTAGTACGTTATGGACGATTCAATAATAAGTGTACTGAACTTAGCTCTACCGCAAATAAAGGAGTTAACCTAAATAAATGAATATGTTGACAAACTTATTATCAAGGTTGTCACAACGTTTAACGATGTATTTAAATGCAATTTTCTGTCACTTCGTCTTAACTTACAAAGTTGTTGTTAAATACTGTAAGTAAAAACCGACTTTCACTTTGATGTGTACTTTCGTTGCAGTGTTTTACTCTGCTGGTATAATTTTCTTTCTCCCTCAAAATAATTTTTATCATTACGTAATTCGAGAGATAAAAGTGACCGCTATCAGCAGTAAATTTCCCCTTCAGTATTACATACTTTTACTACAGCTCTGGTAAATAAATAAATTAATTTAAGTATAAATTAATCCTGAGATTTCGGGAACAATGAATAGCATTGAGTCCTTTCAAACTGGAAACATATTTTTCCAAAAATCTACAAAGAATTACCACATTCAACAACAATTCGAGCACTCTGTATATTAATTTTTAAACCCGACAGTGGATGAGTTCGTACCGTCCCCCACACAAAAATTCCCCTCAAGATTTGTATTATTTTTAGAACTAATAGTTTGCGGTTATTTATGGAAATTTCAGCAATAAGCATGATGAAAAAACGTCTTATTCTTAGTAACAGTTTTTTTCCAAAATTAAATCTGACGTATGAGAGATAAAATTAGGTTTGAATAAAAATTTTCATTCCTGATGCTAGATTTAAGGCTATGTAGTTAAAATTTTGTAATTTTTCACTCAATAAACGTAATTTTGATAACTGTTTCCTTGATCGATACAGATGTCAGTTCAGTGACGACACTGATAAACTCTTGATCTATCAGATTGCGGCAGTGTGTAAATAGTATTTAAAGATCCTTGAAATCCTCTGCAAATATGAATAACTTAGAAACTTAGACGAATTGAAAGACATTGAAATCATTCGTAAACAAAGTGAACTGTTGCGGACTAAAGTCTAACCCCGGTAGTACGCCAGATTTAATTGGGGTTAGAAGTGCAACATGCTGACGTCTCTCAATTGTGAAACTTTAAATCCTATTGGCAGAAGGATCATCAAATTCGTGGTAGTAAAGCGCTCTTCACAAAAATCGTGTTGTTTTTCAACAGTCAATTGCCTACAAGCGAGTGATTAGATAACAAACGATCGAAGAACATTGATAATATCGATTACTATGTTTATAATTTTGTGCAATTTTTTTAATCTGACGTATCTGAGCATAATTACCCTTTGTACTATAACCAGTCGAATAAATTAAATGCACGAACGTATTCTGACCATAAGTAGGAAATTACTCTTATCACATTTACGGAAAAAACAATTATTAACGCATAAAAGTTTCCTGACATTTTTACAGTTAACTCTTAGAATATCATCAACACTAGTGCAATGAGTGTTTAGTATTCAACCTGAAACTCACCAACTGTTCGACAGACTTTGTTTTGTATCGCTTTCAAACTAACTTTGAAAATCATAACACACCCGTCTACTTGGAAACATCTCCGTCCTTCACCAAGCAACACGCATTACCATTCAGCGAATTCATTATCATTAATTGCAAATCAACTCCGTATCAAATTCCTCAAACCGCGCAATGACTCTTTATCTCCTTTCAGAGTGCTCGTCCCTCTTTCGATCGGCCGCCTCGTCTCCTACTTCGAAAACAATGAAAAGTACAGCATATCCGAAACCGAGGCCTATATGCAAGCGTTGGCGGTAGTTCTGTGCCTTCTAGTGGACGCCTTCCTCAGCCACCCTTCCATGATGGGCTTCATGCACATCACCATGAAAATGCGCGTGTCGTGCAGTTCCCTAGTCTACAGGAAAACCCTCCGGCTGAGCCGCACCGCCCTCGCTAGCACCACCATCGGTCAATTAGTAAATTTACTATCGAATGACGTGAGCAAGTTCGATCAGGGCTTCCTGCTGGCGCATTACGTGTGGATCGGGCCCATCCAGGCGGCGGTGGGGACCTACTTGATTTACAGGGAAATAGGCGTGGCGGCCTTCTTCGGCGTGGCGTTCCTGCTGTCTTTTATTCCCATGCAGAGTGAGTAGTTTCGTGGAATCAATAAGAATCGGGGTCAAGGTGTGACGGTTGCGTAATTTCAGTCTATCTGGGTAAAAGGACGTCGGTTTTGAGGTTGAGGACGGCATTGAGGACCGACGAGAGGGTGAGGCTCATGAACGAGATCATCTCCGGGATACAAGTAATCAAAATGTACTGCTGGGAGAAGCCGTTCGCACAACTTATCGCCTTCGCTAGGAAGTACGTACTCGACATAGCCACCTTTGCCCTCTTGACATTTACTTAATGTTACAGGAAAGAGATGAACGCTATTCGCGCCCACGCGTTCTTACTAGGTCTGGTCTACTCCTTCGAGATGTTCGTCACGCGAACCTCGGTCTTCATAAGTATCTTAGGGTACATCCTCCTTGGATCCTACGTCACTGCCGAAAAAGTATTCACAGTGAAGGCCATCTACGACGTGCTCAGGCCCGTCATCACCATCCTCTTCTCGGTGAGCATCTCGTCGATCGCCGAAGTCAACATCTCACTGTTGAGGATCCAGAAATTCCTGTCGTACGCCGAGCAAGAGCTCGAAGTGAAGAGTGTAAAGAACGGCGTGAGTAAGAACGCCAGTAACGGATCTCTAGTGCCTTACCACAGTCCCGTGGAAGTCAGAGCGAGACTTCTCCTGGAAAACGTGAACGCCAAGTGGCTGGAAGAGAACAGCGAAAGCACCCTCAAAGGGATCAACCTAAGTATATCTTCGAACCAAGTCGTGGCTGTGATTGGACCCGTCGGAAGCGGCAAGAGCAGCTTGCTGAACGTCTTCCTCAGGGAGCTGCCCGTGGAGAGCGGCAAAATGGACATACAGGGTAAAGTTTCGTACTCGTCGCAGGAACCGTGGTTGTTCTCGGGCAGCGTGCGCCAGAACATCCTCTTCGGCAACGAGTACGACGAAGAGCGCTACAAGCAGGTGGTGGAAGTGTGCGCTTTGATATCCGACTTCGAACTGTTCCCCTACGGCGACAAAACTCTCGTCGGGGAAAAGGGGAAGGCATTGAGCGGGGGTCAGAAGGCCCGGATTAACCTCGCCAGGTGCATATACAAGAAAGCTGACATTTACTTGCTGGACGACCCTCTGTCTGCGGTGGACGCCAACGTAGGCAAGCACTTGTACGACAGGTGCGTCAAGGGTTTCCTCAAGGACAAGATCTGCATTCTGATCACGCACCAGCTGCAGTACTTGAGCAGTGCGGACAAGATCGTCATCATGAAGGACGGAAGGGTCGAGATGGAAGGGAAGTACGCGGAGTTGCAAACCAGCGGGCTGGATTTCGCCAAACTACTCGAACAGTTCCACACGGAAGAAGTAGACGAAAAGGACAAGAAGAAGGCCAAGTCTAGACAAAACTCAGAGTGCACTGAAGAAGAGGACGACGAAGACGAAGGTCCTTTAATCGAAAAAGAGCAAATGAAGAGCGGGAGCATCAAGCCGGCTCTGTATTTCGAGTACCTGAAAGCTGGAGGAGGCAAGGTCATGATGGTCCTCCTCGCAGCGGCCTTCATTGCTGGTCAATTCGTTGCAAACGCTGGAGATTACTACGTTACCTACTGGTAAGCGAAGACGAGGAGTAAGAAGGTGCGTAACCTTGGGGTTTCAGGGTCAATTTAGAACAAGACTTTACCGACAAGTTTTTCAAGAACTTGACGAAAGAAAACGAGACTTTGGACAGAGCTCCCGTTATCTACGCCTACTCGGGGATCACTCTCGGGACAATCATTTTTTCCGTCGTTCACTCTCTATATTTCATGTTGTATTTCACCCTTGCGTCAATTAACTTGCACAGCACTAGTTTCTCGAGTATAATTCAAGCGACGATGAGGTTCTACAACAACAACCCTTCGGGGAGAATCCTGAACAGATTCTCCAAAGATTTGGGATACATCGACGAGTACATCCCCCCGGTTTTGTTCGACGTAATTGAAGTAAGTGTTGCACAGAGGTAGAACACCCGAAATAAAAAAAAACACTTGTAGGTAGCCTTGATGTTGATCGGAGCCTTCACCTTGTCCTTCATCGTGGACCTGTGGCTCCTAGTACCCTCCGTGATCCTAATCACGATCTTCTACTTCCTACGAATCATCTACATCCAAACTAGCAGAAGTGTCAAGCGAATCGAAGGAATAAGTAAGTAGAAACCTTGCCTGAGCTTATTTAGCACCTCCATTTCAGCTCGGAGCCCGATTTTCGGCCACATGACGGCTTCCATGCACGGTCTGAGCACGATCAGGGCCTTCTCCGCGCAGAAACTCCTAGTCCGAGAATTCGACGACTACCAAGACAACCATAGCGCCGCTTGGTTCCTCTTCATCGCCTCCAATCGCTGCTTCGGTTTCTGGCTCGACATGATCTGCATCGTCTTCTTCGCCATCGCCGTCTTCGTACTCATGTACTTCAATAAGAGCGTCTACGGCGGCGACATCGGCTTGGTGGTCACCCAGTATATCATGCTCATCGGCTCGCTCCAGTGGGGGATGCGCCAGTGGAGCGAACTCGAGAACCACATGGTCTCCGTGGAACGACTCCTCGAATACCACAGTGTCGAAAGCGAACCCGAGAGGAAAGAGCTGGTCAGTTTGCCCAAAAGTTGGCCAGAGAGCGGCCGCGTCGAATTCCGGGACGTATGTCTGAGGTATAACCCAACAGACCCTAACGTTTTGAAGAACGTCAACTTCGTGGTACAGCCGAAGGAGAAAGTAGGGATTGTTGGAAGAACTGGGGCTGGAAAGTCGTCGACGATTACGGCGCTGTTTCAGCTGTACCCGATCGAAGGAAGCATTGTAATTGATGATGTCGACACGACGAAACTACCTTTGGAGCAAGTGAGGTCGAAAATTTCCATCATCCCGCAGGAGCCGGTTCTGTTTTCTGGAACGATGCGCAAAAATTTGGACCCGTTTGAAGAGTATAGTGACGAGGTGCTATGGAACGCGCTGGACCAGGTGGAGTTGAAGGACGTGGTGTCGGAGCTTCCGTCAGGGCTGCACTCGAACGTGTCCGAAGGAGGGTCTAACTTTAGTGTGGGGCAAAGGCAGCTGGTTTGTCTTGCCAGGGCACTTATAAGAAATAACAAGATTCTGGTGATGGATGAAGCTACTGCGAATGTTGATCCACACACGGACGCTCTTATCCAGAACACTATAAGGGAGAAGTTTGCGGAGTGCACGGTCTTGACTATAGCGCACCGTCTGCACACTGTCATGGATTCAGACAAGATTTTGGTGATGAGTGCTGGGTGCGTCGAGGAGTTCGACCATCCCTACAACCTTCTGAAACAGGAAAGGGGGATTCTGTACAACCTGGTGCAGAACACCGGCAGGGCCACCGCTACCAACTTGGAAAATATAGCGAAAGAGGTAAATTTAGACTTCACTGTACGTAAACATGTTAATGAATTTTTTTTCAGAGTTTCGAGAAGAAGCTGAAGACAGAATGACTTGCCAAGTTACCGAATACTACCTAAACTTGTACCTGTGATGTTTTATACTTAATAATTCCACGATCAGTATTTAAGTGTGGTCATTGAATAAAACCATCAACAAAATAATAAGTGTTTTATTGTCTCCTACCTACAAGAGTATAAGAATATTTTAAGCCTCAGTCTCTTCGTCTGAGGCTTCCGCTTGCTCCTCCGGCGTCCGCAAATCTATAGCAAACTTTTTCTTGCCGCCGTTCTCGTCGAGCTTCGACTGTCTTCCGTACTCCTGGAAGGCCGCCGCCAACGCATACGTGATCTGTCTGGCTTGATTCCTCGACTCGCAGACGAAGCTGTGGCAAACGAACGGCACACCGTCGTTCAAATTCGCACCCGTCACCACAACCATGCTGAAAACTCTGGTGTACACTAGATCTTGGACTCCGTACGAAATCGAATCGATGCCGAACATCACCGGCGGAGATTTCTCCTTCTTGTTTGTGACGTTGTGGAAGGACAAGCCTTGCAGGTTTATTTCGAGCTTGACGATGGGGATCACCTGGTTGGCAGGCAGGTTCTTGGCCAAGTTGACTAAGTAGTCTACAGGCTTGCGGGTGTGCTTCATGCCCCAGAGACCCTTGGCGGGCTGGCTTCCTGCGACACAAAAAAGTACATTTATGTAGATCGCCGTTGTGGCTGGTGAACAACGACGGTCCTGGATTGGGTCCTTGAAACTGTGTGAAATTTGGAAACGTTCTAGGGGCGAATTTGTGTTATCGGTGACTGGCCCAGCAAATATGTGTGCGTTTTCATCGATTACACTTATCGCGTATTAGCTCACCTAAATACTTGACGGAAGCTTTGAACGGTAGGTCCTTAAGGGAGACGACCAAGTCCTTGTCGTCCATGTCGATTCTGTGTCCTCGACCAAACTAGCAATAACAAACTTTCACTAGAATGCACTTTACATTATTACGCGTTCCGCTGTTATTGAATGTCGTTTCCGCTGGACATCCTTCCTGTGCTCTAGTTGTGTGTCCACTGGCGTTTTTACCTGCGATCCCCTCTTCGCAGATAAAATCGTCACTCCATTCCGTGATAAGGGAAATTTAATTGTTTATTAAATGATAAGCGGCTGTTTGCAACGCTTGCGCCACCTACGTGTATTTGTTGATCGAGCGTTACACACGCGAAAGACTGACTGACTACCTTTGGGACAGGTGCAAGACAGATGGCTCGTAGCTGACATCTGCACGGTAAATCAGGCATGACATATCATGACCGGTGCAATTTCGGTCGGACAGGAAGAGATAACGTAACAGCGAAACACAATGGCGTTGTACAAATTGGCCAAAGTGCGCACACGATTTGAAAAAAATAAATCACGTGTTACCTAACGCGTGCGAATTACATTGTTGGAATGTAATCGCGCGTTGAATGGAGTTTTCGGGGAGCCAAGGAGATTTTTGTAATTTTCAAATTATTGCCAATTAATATCTTCCAAGGTTCGCTTGCTAACGAGAGTGTAATTGCATTGTTACATTTGGAAAAATAAGGCTTGATTTGAATACTTGATTGCTGGTTTTACGAATTTTGGTTATCGGTGGTCTTGATCGCGGCGACTTTAGTTTTGAAGGTGGGCCGTGCTGTTAAAAAGTTATTGTGTATTTTTAATTGAGAAACATTATCTGGATTTTTTTACGATGAGATAATAAAACGATTAATTACTTTGTGAAGTGTAGACTTTGGTGATAACAGGTTTATTTTATAAGATTCTGGCTGTGCTCTTATCTTCGAAGGGTATTAAAACGTATTTATAAATGACAACTGTGGACACTAAAGTGCGAGATGTCATTTATTGTTTTACTATCGACAATAGTGAGCTTATAGTAGTTTCACATTTTCCTCGTCAGAAAGCGATAGTTTTTTTAAGTCTATCATCATTTTCTAACGACACACCAGCTACTTATTTAAAACTCATTTTTTCCAGTAATTATTTCAAGTGGACTTTAGATAACTATCATGTCATATGAGATATAAGAATCAGTTATTATGATGTAACAAATTAAAAAAAAATTAGCTTTTGTTTTCCGATAGAGTAATGAGTACGTGAAAAATCAGCAATGGACACGAATGTCTCGATGGAATTTATTTAAGTGTACATTAATTTTAAAAGGTGCTATAGAAATCAGTGTAATTACGGCACACAAAACCGTATGTCGTATGCCACCTATGAAACCACTTTTGAACAGGTGGTTAGTGAAAGTCGCTCGGTTTATTAGATGTAAACAATACAAGTGTGAGCTTTTTACTATTCGAGGTATAATAATTCTCAGATATAATCAGCAGACAATTTTTTAGAGCGCTCCTCGTAACAAGAGTGAAATATTACTCCGGAAAAAATATAATTGAGTCTCTTATAAACTTTATTACACTCATAATAAAAGTGTGAGTCATTAGGCTTCTCTTTGACTGTTTGTGTTTGCCTAGCAAATTCAGTACTACACCCGATGAATTAATCTAAAATTATAACAAAATCAATCCGTTTTGCTGATGGTAGTTTTGATTAGCATAGTACGAGGCGTGTGATCAAATTTAAATGTGGCGTTTAAAACGTCCGACTCAAAGTCATAAAAAGTTTAACCCACAAGCATTGAACGCCTCTCCTTAACAATTGAGCAACACCCCGATTAATAAACAATGGTAATAGAAACAACTGGTTCAGTAACAACAACAATATTAGGCAATTAGAAGAGGCAACAGAACGTCAAAAATAGCTTTAATTGCGTAAAGAGTCGATTTGTATTTTGTTAACATCATAATTAATTACTCAGAAAATCGGCTTCAGTGAATCATGCATTAATTCCAAGATAGTGATTTTATTAACTTTCATATCCTGTGATAAGAGCTTCATTTTTACGAATTTACGTATTCAAAAACTGTATCAACAAAGACAGCGTTAACGCCAACCATCCTGCAGATAAGAGAAAGATAACAGAACATGTGTTTTATTGTAATTTTTATCTTCACTCTATTGTCTTTGGCTAATGTTAAAAACCTAAGTATGATGAAGGTTTTAGTTTTATCTGCAACCTATAATTAACACGTCGGATTTGCAGACTAATCTCTCGTCCCGATCTTCCAATCAATATTCACCTATTTTTAAACCTCTTAAATCCGAAAAGGTTTAAAGTCTAAAAACCAGCAAAATTCCGTTGAATTTTACTTAATCGAAAATACGTGCACAGATTGTGGCCCGATTTTTGCAAACCGTCCCCCAGCTCTTTCAAGGTTGAAAAAATCTCTCCTTGGGCCAAGTGAGAAAACGAATCTGGGCCAACGACGATAATAATTAAGGCAGAATTTGTCAATATTTCAATTAAAAAATGAGAATAGCTTTCAGTTCTTGCATCCATCATAACCTGTGTGGGACCAAAAACAGTTCCACCACATCTGAAAGTATGAGAATCCGCTATTACGCTACCGAAGATCTTACTTAATCTTCGCCAGCCATCTCCCACATATAAAACCAAGCCGGCAATTAAAAGAATCATTGCTTCTCCACCCACCAAAGCTCGCCAATCGTTCAGGGTTGAAGTGTAGTCAGTGTCACGTGCAAACCCCACAATGTCTTCCGTTCCCCACGTCTTCGTCGCCGTTCTGTGTGGAGTTATAGTGCACGTGGTGTTCAGTGTAAGTGCGTAAGGAGATTTCCCAATTGGGGTGAATTTTCGTCAAACTTGGTTGCTCGGTTGCGTAATTTTCGAGAGAAAATTCGGAAAATTCTACTACGGTTGCGTTCCAGTTCCCATAAATGCGTGCACGCGTTACGTCATCTTGACCCAATAAAGAACAATGATCTGCTTAAGAGCAGATTTCCCAACAATGCGTTGTAAACTCATCGCTTAATCGTCTTCGTTTTCAAAAATCGGAATTAGGATGTTCACCCGTCTGGAAATCCGGGATCCGTAACCCCATAGCATTACAATAGAACCGCCAGATCTTGTTTCCGGTTTAACTGATGACATTTGATAACATCCGGAGACGCAGTCCAGCGGGTTTAATTAATTTTGTTCAATGGTGTTTGCAGCAATTGGACGGGTACGTGCCGGGGCAGGACTACCCCATCTACAACGAGGTGCCCCAGGGGCTGTCCTTCCGCTGCGACCAGAGGCTGCCGGGGTACTACAGCGACCCCGAGGCCCAGTGCCAGGTAAAAGGACCTCAACCAAATTAAAAAAAAAGATGAATCCTGTCACGGTACTAAACGAGCTTTCATTAAGTTGGTTACAGATCTAAACAATTTTTCAACAGCAACCAGTAATACACTCGTGCTGCTTTAATCCTTTCGGACGTTCTTTCGCAGGTTTGGCACTGGTGCCTGCCCAACGGCCAGCAGTACAGCTTCCTCTGCCCCAACGGCACCATCTTCAACCAGTTCGCCCGGGTGTGCGACTGGTGGTTCAACGTGGACTGCGCCGGGACCCCCAGTCTCTACGGGATCAACGAAGACTTGTACAAAATACCGCAGTACAATCAACCCCAGCAATGAAAGCTCGAAACAATGCTGTTCCATAGTCAATAAATTATCTCCACTTCATTGTTCGCAGTCGTTATTACCGTCGTCATTTTTCTGCTCGCTGAGTAGCTGTGTCGAACATCCTCCATTATAGTTGTAAATATACGAGTAAGATAAGATAGTTTTGTATTTTTGTAGCAAAATTGAAATAAAATAAATATTTCGAGCGATTGTTACGAAACGAGTTTCTAGGATTGGAAAGAATGTACTTTCTTCTTCTGTTGTTTACAAATCGATATTAGACGAAAGTGGTCGCTCTGCGGTTTTAATTAGCGTGTAACAAATGGTGTAAGTTCTTTATCTTTGTGTACGCTGGCGGAATGGACGCCGAAATTGGCGAGGTGATAGCGGCGATCCGTGAAATTAGAGCCCGAAAAAAGTATAGGTTGGTTTGTTTAGGTGTTTTAATGCTACATAAAACTTGAATTAAGGCAAAGGCTGAAAGTTTCGTAACAAAAAAGTTTCAACAACAATTTTCAAACAAAATTGTAATCAAGTCCGTCTAGAAATTAAATTCGGACTTAAACTAACGACTTAAGTCTAGTAAGCTAAGCAACTCAAGATAAACGATAAGATAACGGTTTCGTTTTTTCAAACAGTAGTAAGTGTGTACGTACTTCACATTTTCTTTTTTTCTTTTCAAAAATGTTTATATTGAGAGATCATTTGAATGTGGATTCAGAATAACCACATAAAACTGAAATTGGCAATTTCTGAAAAAGATAATCTTTCTCCGTTTCAAAAGTATGAATAACCATTTTTTAAATTCCAAGTGATAAAACATGATTTTTTTCCACATTGTCATGTCAAAATATGTACAACTTACCTGGTGCGTTTTACTTACTATAGTGATCCATCTCGATAATTCGAAGGTGGAAAATTCAGTGATTTAGAACTACCTATAAACATTTAGAAAATCTAATTCAGGAGTTGGAAAATATGAATCCAGGAATTGAGCAATCTGGGATTTTGTGAAAGCGAAATCTCCATGATTTGGAAAATTGACAAAATGGAAATATGCTGGTTTTAGCAGTTGGATATAGATGGGAAATTTGAGAATATGAAAATGAGAAAATATGTCGCTATAGGAACATGAGAATCAGGTTGATATTGAAAAATTAATATTCTGAATAAAAATCTATTTTATTTTTAAAAGCAAAAAGCAAATACAGCAGTTTAAGAATCTGTCAGCTCGGTGGTTTGGAAACCTAGAAAAAAGTTTAGCAATCCGTAAAACTGAAATCTGGATACTTGGCAATTTGTCAGGTAATAAATAATTTGAAAATTTAAAAATTTAGAAATTCGATAACCTGAAAATTTTGAACCCTGGAATATGACAATTCTGAATACACGAATAAAGAATTTTGGCGTGTTGAAAACTACTTCAGGAACTTGAAAATTTATAAATTTCGGAAATTGTAAACGTGAAAAATTGACGATTTAAAATTTGACCGTTTGAAAGCTTGAAATTTCGAAAATGTGAAAATGAAAAAAGGGCAATTTTGACAAATTTGAGAACGTTTGAAAATCTAAAAATCTGTAATTTTCGAAATAAAGATCTAAAAATTTAGAATGACATGAAACCCGAAAATTTAGTGATCTAAGAATTTGCAACCCTGTTAACCATGAAATCCCGAAACCTGAAAATCTACACATATTTTAATTTGGAAACCCAGCAATTTTGAACTCCAGAAACTCAAAAATTTATAAATTCGCTAAAATAAGTAACAATTTAGTCAAATAAAATTTAAACTGTTTTTTAAATACAAGGAAGGATTCAGTTTTCCGTAGAAACAGTAAATTAATGTTGATTACTCGCGTATCAAGTTGGCTCATACTATCTAAATGTTTCACGTCTATAAATGATTGTCACATTATGACCGTGAGTTTGATCACTTGCTGATTTTGTGGGTTAATTGAAATAAAAATTAGTGAGAATAAATGAGGAGAAATTGGTTAGGCAACCCATAATACACTAGTGCGTACATTTTTTTACTATAAATGCGATGCGACTTCATTGGAAAGTCGCAATATCCAAATAGTTAAAAAATTCAGGACGAGCATTTTATTTACTTGACAATGAGATTAGGAGTGGAAAAATTGTTTCGATGTGCTTTCTTGAGAATTCCATAATATGTTGAAAAAATGTATACATATATGTTAGCTAGCAGGGTTGTAGCTTTTACAGCGTCACATAATATAGCTTTAAAACACAGAAAATATTTTAGAATGATCATTATTCTACTCCAAACAGGTTTTCCTTCATTTGCTTTCAACATTAAAAAAAATCCCACAAATATGTGTCTGTTCAGAGAATACTATTCTGATCTAACACACCCTGTATTAAAAATGATTTTCTACTTTTGTACTTATTAAACAACAATAGTGGGAAACATATAGGTTTTTCACTTTTTATGGACAATATATTGTTTTTTTTTTAGTCATTAAAAATGTGTGGACTTCCCAGATAAACAACAACAACCCGAAGCAGCTATACACAGTGTCCAATCAAACCCAAATGTGCGACTTGTGAAACCATATAGCATAATTATCCAACTTCATTAAGTCAAGGGCTAATTAAGGTCCGCACACGTAACAGTTACAGGGCAACATTACATAAATCGCTCAGTGCGCACACGCCAATTAAACACACAGGGCCCTCTCATTAGGCTAAAAAGAGACAGCACCGTCCGTCATATCCCACCTTAGAAAGTAGAACTTGGCACCACGCTCTCAAGGCAGCGGCAAATCGGGTCCACACCGCCGCCGTCCGCGTAGAAAGTCCCAGACCGCATCGTCGCGACCGAGTAGCCACTAGCCCAAGAACTGAAAATCCGTCTTCACCTCTAGTCAGTTCAGTTGGATTGCTGCGGTCAGGTGAGATCCGAAGAGCACTGTCGTCGACGACGGTAATGGTTTACCCTTGTCAGAGCTACCGAAAAATCTGCCTTTTCTCGATTATCGGCCTGAAACTGCTGAAAATCGGCGTGTTCGCGATCCTGCCGTTCTCGATGCTGTCGGTCTGCCACTTCTTGAGGAAGCAGGCGCTGGGTTGTTTGCAGTGAAACGAAAATCGGAGTTCGGTGTGCTAGAGACTTTATGGTCATCTACTTGTGACCTACTTGGTGGATTTTGCAAGGGACGCTGGCCAGCCGTAACGAGTGATAAATGTGCAGTGAAATGCGTTAAATTTTCAGATTAATTAATTGGAAAACAGTTGTTCTAGTTAAACGCGGGTAAGTCGCATAATTAAGCCACTTCGGAGCGCGCAATGGTTTCACAATTGCGTTAGAACGTGCAAAAATCCCGCAATATACGAAAAGAATAAGTGTCGAGAGCGGCTGACATTTGCGTAAAAGTCAAAGTTCCACATTTATTTGTCAACTTTCGCTGAATATTAAGCCAGTAATTAAAATCACAATTATTGTAGATCTAACAGATGTGATCGCTAAACGTGAGTCCGCCGATTAAATGCATCGCCGTAAACCGATTTTCCTTTCTCTCGCAATTGTCATTCATTACTCCGTTCCGTGCTTTAATTTATGCATTTTTTTAACAACACACCTGTATAGGTGCGAGCATTTTTGCGACACGCCGAGACAAAAGCCATAAATAAAACCAAACCGCGACGCTTCATTTCAAATTCCACCCGAAAGCGAATTCGTGAGACTTTTTTTTATTTTAATCAAGGCAGTCCTCAATGTCACCTCCAGTTCCGTATTTTCGAATTCTTGCTGAAACCTCAACGACGAGAAGGACAATCGCCGGGCGATGACATCGGATTTTTTTAATTATTTTTCTTGGCAGCAGTCTCTTTTCACCGCTCGGTGGTAATCATAAAAAGTAATTGGCAATTTAAATCGGAGGAATTCTTAATTTTTGCTTGCTTTATTCGGCGGTTTCACCACGCTCTCAAAAATTCCTATTCCTACACTTCCTTGGGGACATTTTCAAAAAGCGATTTTCGCCGCCAATTCCCAAAACTGACGCGACGGAGAAACGTTGCTACGTAGTTTATCGGTCAATTTGAGAGAAATATGAGCTTTTAAAAGTATCTGAGCTGTTGATCATGTACTTCATTTGCATTTTGTTTAGAATTCATTAATACCAAGCTCCTATCTGATCGTTTGGCATAATCTACAAGTGTTTGATGACGTCAGGTAGTTGCCATGGCAACGGATAAGCGATCCAAGTGCTGGAAAGTGAAGCTTCCAATTTTCGTATGGGGTTGTTGGAGAAAATATTTTTGAAAACGAGTTTTTTTGGTTTTATTTTTTATCTCAAATGCATCTTTTTGAAATTGGCCAGAATTCTTTGAAATTCGCTGTAATTCTAATGTATTTTGTAATTTGCGAGAATTATTACTCGACTAGGTCGGAATTTTGGGGTGAAATTAGAATTATTTTGAATTCACTTAAATTAATGTAGTTCTGGAAGCATTTAAGATTAATTTGGAAGTGGAATTGAAATTATACTAAGCATACAAATTTTTTTAAACTTTATATACAGGGTGAGTCACTAAGTGTGCGGTCCACGATATCTCACTCATTCAGAGAGAGAGAGAGAGAAAAAAGTCAAAAAGCACACAAAGTTTAAATGAAACACCCTATATATTTTTACATATTCTCATTAACTTCTTCGTAAGCTTTATAACCACTGTTTATTTTTGAAATTACGATGCGACGTTACCACGTTATTCCAATTTTCTTAAATTTTTTAGGCAAATATAAAGATTCACAAAAATAATCGCAATAGAGTTATTTGTAAAACCTGTGTTACAGTATTTTGTAGAGGGATAAATAAAGATACGTGTACCAATTAAATCAAATTTTTATATATGGAGTGTTTATAAAAAATTCTAAAACATTACAATTTTCAATTGCTAAAAAATTTCAACAAAATTGGAATAACGTGCAACGTCACATCAGAATTTTACTACACTGTAATTGTAAAGCCTAAGAAGAGATCAGTACAAATATCTAAAAATATATATAGGGTGATTCATTAAAAATGTATAGTCCTCAAAGAATCGTACAATTTTGGTTTTTGCATATTTTTCTATTTTTAATAAATAATGACATATCGGGGAATGCGTGCTTAGTGACTCACCCTGTATGTACTTAATGATTTTTTGGAATTCTACCATGGGATAATTGAAATTAATTTGGGTATTTTTTACTTTTTTGGAAATCATCAGAATTCTCTCAAATTCGTTATAATTCTTATTAGATATCCGCAACTACTGCTATGTTTTTATTTTCACTTCCCTTGAGAGAATTGTGAGGCGAATTGTTTGGAATTTTGAGATTTTGTTGGAATATGTTTATAATTATAATTAGTGTTAGCTGTACTGGAATCTTTTGAGTTGTGTAACAATTTTTCTGGAGAAATTGATGCAACATTTTTCGTTTCATTGTTCTCCTTTGGCAGAACTATCATTGTTTAAAGTTTGGAGATTTTTTTTTTGAATTTTCAATTTTTGGAATCCTAACAACACGATTGCTACAATTTATATGAAGTTACAGAATTCTTTGGAATTTTCTACCAATTCTATAAAATTTGTTAATCTTTGACAGAATAATTCGAATAAGATCACTTCGAGATGCAAAACCAACGTTTATTGCCACCAAACCAGCCATTGCTTTGTTGCAAGTGGCTGTTCCAAAACCGCTTTTTTTTCATAATTAACAACAACTGTGGAATGCCACTTTCAATACCCCCCTGTACACGTGAAGGCGACCATTCTTTATCTTTCGGTAAACAATACCAAACCATGGACAGACAACAAAAATCCACTTCCTCATCTGTGGCAACATTATGGTCTTTAGAGGGCGTTGGCGAACGGCTTTACCCATGTGGAAAATGGTACGAAACGCGACTACCGCTATTAAAAAGCCGATCACCTTCACTTCGCGTCGAACAAACTTAAAAATTCGCTTGCAGCCACTCCTTTCTGCTTTTCATATTCCGAGCACAAGCACAACAGGTGCCTTTGCCGTTGCGACTCGATCTTAGATAAGCCAGAATTTCTTGGCCGACAATGTGTGAACTGCAAGTCAAATGGAAAGGTAATAATAGCGGTATTAGCGGCAGTTAACGCCGCTTTTCGTATTTGGCAAAAATTAGCGATTTCTTTATGCAATAAAGCGTGAATTGTTACGTAAGGCGAAGTGTGTTACCTTTGTAAGTAAACCGGAAAGTTAATGCTATAGGAAATTAGTTTAGCTTTTTATTATCGTCTTTGCATGATGTGGCCCGAAGACAATACGGATTTGACGCTTTAGTGGATCTCCCAGAGGATGTTGTGCGCGAATTCTATACGGAGGAAATGAGTGTTCAAATTTCGACTGCGGTGGAACTTGACCAACTTAGAGCGGTGGTAAAAATTTCAACAATGCCTATTTTGCCTTGTGTGCTATCTCGAGAAGAAATTATAATTACCGCCATTTGCATAATAGGTGCTAATTTTTCTGTTCTTGGAACTCGTGATTAATTCTTTGGACAAGGTTCCGTTTCTTTAATGACTTTTCTAAAATTAGCGAGATGTTCCCACAGACGTGAATAACACCATCAACAAGCCGGTTTATCGAAGAGGCGAATTTCTGGAAATGTTCGTTCAACCGGTGATGCATGGAACGAATGGATTTATGCAGATTAAGAGTCGTCGTTTGCTTGTATGGCCATTTAGATTCGGTTTTTCGTGGTATCGCGCTGGGTCAGACAATAAATTACACGAAGTAGCTACAATCCTTTGAAACACAAAGAAACAACTGATTTGGTAAGACAAATCGTTGACGAAAAGTGTGAAAAGTAACTGCTCTCGAACCGATCCCTGAATGACACCAACGAATGGCAATTTCAAGCTTCCTTATTATAAAATGAAAAATTTTAATGCAATCCTTCCTAGAACGTACAGTGCTTGCAGTAATTAATGCAAAGCGCTTTTTGTAATTACTCATAAAAAACCTTACATAAGTCAACCGCATAAATCAATAATTGTTGCATAATATCACCTTATTCTATTTATTCAATCTCAAGCTCAAAATGTACGCTTTCATAAAAATACGACTTTGGAAAGTGGCGGCTTTAAACACTTATCGCATACCTGACAGATCTCAATCTCAACAAACTTCTTAATTGTCTCACGATAGTCAAGGATACAACCACGAAAACAATACTCATACAAAAGCTAAATTATTTAAGCGGCGATCAAAACGGCGATTTCTGCTCTATTTCTTCGCGTGTTGATTGTAGGTATAATCCAGCGACAATTAACGAATAGCAAGAAAGTTTGAAGGTTACTGGAATAGAGCAAAAATAGCCTTAATTGATTTAATTGTGGCGATTTCACGATCGTCTGGAACACGAGTGACGTCAGTGCACGTCATCGTGTATCTAAATTAATTTAGCAAATTTTCGCCGATTACATTTACATTAAATCGTTCAAGTTGAATGTTATTAGTTATTACTTAGAATGTGGGAGCAACGCTCTTGTAAATATTCGCACAAGTACCGAAAAGTGAAACAAAATTTTTGAGCGATGTACATTTCCAGCTGAACGAGATCGGTGAAATTCAGTGGCGTGTCTTAAGATCATAAGAGGTTTTGTAAAATTTCTGTATCAAGGTAATGAGGGTTTCGAACGTGAGAAGTGCGAACTGGGTCACTAATGTATTGTTTATTCATCGAAATTTGTCGATAGTAAATAAATGTATTAATTTGGATCGGGCCAATTAACGAAATTTGAATAAATTAAGAGTTGTGTTGACGTGACGATGAAATTTGTGGAAAGTTGTGGTTGCGGCTTGTTATGTTTCGGTTGTAATTACTATTATTACTGTAAGTACTTGTAACAATCACGGGTAACATGACGGGAGAATAGTTCACATGAGCGAGTGTGGCAATCGCTTTTTTTGTGATAAGTGAAAAACGGAGCTGCTCTTGTTCGGGTTTGTTGTTCTAGAAAAGCGTTATTAAAACGCAAGAAACTGAAAGTTTGGGTTTATGAAACGAATTTAAATGAGTGGTAATGTGCAGTCGCAAACATCGCACTGGAACCTGATTTTTATTTATAGCGAGCTTTCTTAAATGTTGAAAATTAAAATTTCGTGCTAACAACATCTACAACGGTTTCGTACAAATGTCGAGGTTAAGTTAGGTGTAAAGTATTTAGATGAATTTTATTCATTCGTATTTTATTTGAATTATAAGGTGGTATGGTATTCCGACCGAGATTGCTGGCTTCTGTGTCCATAAAGACTTTATCTAAACATATTTGATTTGAGAAAATATTTTAATCATTCAAGATTTATCAGCTTCTTTCAAAAAATAAAACACCAGAGGCTCCCAAGAATCAACTTCTTTCAAAATAAAGCACTTAGGCTTCTGAAATTCTTTCAACATCTTTTAAAAATGAAATACCAAGGATCCCGAGATTCCTTCAGCTTCTTTCAAAAATAGAACGTCAGGTGTCTTCGAGTTTCGATTGTATCAACTTCTTCTAAAAGTAAAGTACCAATTCTGAAATTACTTAAACTTTTTTAAAAAATAAACCACGGAAGGTTCTTAGGATTCTTTGAATTTTTAAAAATAAACACCAAAGTTTCCGAGATTCTTTTAGCTTCGTCCAAAAATAAAACACCAGCAGTGTCCGAGATTCTTTCAACTTCTTCCAAGAATTAAACATTAGATTGATTTTAATTTTTCCACAAATAAAACATTAGCAGGCGCTCCTAAGACTTTTTGTCACGGTTTTATTTTACAACAATAAAAAAAATCACATAAAAGTCACTTTTGTTCGTTATAATCCCGAAATGTTTAATTATGCTCAGAAATATTTTTGGGGGTATCCTGCTTGGGATATTTCCACCTTTTTGTTTTGCTTTAAGTCGTTTTACCAATGTTAAATTCTTCGGCGCGACAACTATGACATCAACTACAGCAACATCTTCTTCACCTGCTAGGTAAACGCACGGATCAAATTCCGACGAGTTCATGCCTTGTTTTTGCAATTCTCTATCTAATTTATGAAGCCATAACTCTTTTAGTCTTTTTATTCGTAAAGTGTCTTTTATAAAAAACAAACTTGATTTAATCTTTTTTAGTCTTTTTAGTAACCACATATTTTAGTGTTTGCTATAGAAACATTTTCGGTTTGAAAAACCTGTCCTCCTCAAAGCTCTGCATTAAAGCTGCTGATATTCGTGATTTATGTCAACGACAACTCGATAAAACTTGTAATTTTTGGGTCGCATTTACCCACGACACCACTCCAAATTAATTTATACAGTCTTCTAAGTAGGTTCGATACTGCACCTCCAATGCCACAACTGCATTAATATTCACTGCCACCGCGTTTCGAAACCACCCAACAATACCCAGACCATAAAAGGCGTCCTAACGGAAACGTTGTGAGGAAATGAAATAACAAGTTCATTGCACGCAATTAATGCTTTTTCGTACATAAATCGGCTTATGTAAATCAATAATTGCACCCATTGACCAGTTTCTCGACGGAGAAAACACCCATCACTTGGTCCACTTGCATTCCTACCTCAAACAATACACTGTCTTCGTCGCCTCCCATCCGCTCCAACTTTTCTACTTTGCCAGTGTCGCAACTTGTCCCAAAACACGTACACCGGCAAATAAAAACGGCCCTCTCCTAGCACAGAAAGTAAAAGTTGTTTATTACTTCATTGCCACCGGTAAATCGGTGCACAAATCGGGCTAACACCTAAAATAAATAATAGTATGAGCGTACGACGCTTACGTAACGTGATGATGGATTGTCTACTTTGACTGTGGGCTAGAAATTGTGAATCATCACGTATCTCACCTATGGAGGAAGTATTTGGGTTAGAGCTTTTTGAAAAAAAAAAATTATCAGAAGTTGCTTTGTATCTTCAAATGTCAGAAGAATCTTTTCGTTGACATTTTCAAAACATCCGTTACAAGGATGTTCTTCCTCCGGGCGACGTGATAGTTTATGATTTAGCACGAGGTGTGTTAATTTAATATTTAAATGCACGTAATGAGAAATTGCTTGGTTTCAATTTTGCGTTATTACCAACTTGTGCTAAATTGCATAGCTCATTGAGAGTCATCCACGCTTACTTTAGTTTTCTAGTGCGTATGAAAACAGTGAAAATCTTCGTTCTGGTTGCGCTCTTTATATAACGAAAGAAATAAATAAGGAAATATAGAAGGGATAATTATTCGCATCGTGTGATTATTATATGCACAAGAAAGTCGCCGGATTGATGAAAAAATCCTTGCGCAAACCACGCACTTGTGATATTCTTGGTTTATGTAAATTAGCCCGTAATGAGGCACAGATCTTAGATAAATTGCACGATGTGTTTTTGTGGATGCTTTATAGGTCACGAATCACAAGTGTTATGGTTATATAAAGTCCCAGAAAGGTTAATTACTGGTCTGCCGTACAAAAGAATCCTGAATCCTTTTTTTTTATAGTCTGTGGAGGACTTTTCTAAGCTTATCTAATATTTTTGTGTACTAATTTTCGGTTTCAAAAATTTTGAAGTCTAAGTTGCTACCGAGAAAGCTAAGGGATTTTTAATTCGTTAGACAAATTTCCAATCGCCTAGGGCCTTGAGGTCATCTGGCTAACCTTTCTTTGTTCGGAAGAATCAAGATTTATTGATGGCGTTGACCTAGTGAGAAAAATGTTTGCTACTGTTGGGTGGGTTTTGTCAAAACAAATGGGGGGGGGGGGCTACTTTTTTCATATTCAAGTTAGGTGCTATGAAACTTCCAAAAAACAAAAATCTATATAGTACTTCCATAGTTTACGTTTGGGAAATAAAAATTAACTCTAATTAAACACCAGTGAGTGTGAATTTGACTTTGACATACAAATTTGCTATTATTTTTTAAATATATACATTTATTAAATTATACAACGATCCTTCACACATGACTAATAATAGCTCCACCATTTAGAAAAAATTGGTAGTGGAAATGATAAAGCTGTCTAAAAAAAGCAAAATGTGATATTCAAGCAAAAACAATTCAGACATGTTTAATAAATTACAATCAACATAACATAAATTACTTTTTAACTTATAAACAAAGTATATCCTGCGGCAGTTATGAAAATATGTTCAATAAATAGATTTTTTTCCTCAAGTTATGTAAGTCGTGCTAAATCAAAAATTTATAAATAATATACACAAACTCGTGTTCACATTTGAACTAGGTAATAGTCACACGTTCGGTTCTGAGTGCAGCAAAAGAAAGTTTAAATATTCCAAATGCATATTTGTCTGTGAGGAATGTTCAAAAAAATAGCCTCCGGAACGTGAATCTACAGTTCCGACAACCATTTCAAAACTGTTGAACCGGGAAGGTGGCAGATTGACGCCTAAATTGCAAAGGTTTGAGGAAAGACGTCGCTTGCGGGGGTTTTGGGTTTGTTCTAAAACAACAGTTAATTCCGTTATTGTCATTAATTAACCAAATGAGACAAGTTGAAGATATAAAAGTACAAGTCTAGATAGTGGATTTATTTTTGTGAATTTTTACAAACAAATTATAAAGTAATTTTATGCCTTGTTACTGCATCCTTTAAATAATAAGCAGGTGTTTTTTGTCAGAGTGAAGTAACAAATGTCGAAACACGTAATGGAATTACCGTATAATATATAATTCGTACGTGTTCTTAGGAGTGTGTTAATGTACTCTTAGCTCTGGGTCACAACAATATAATGTCTCATTTCGAATAACAGGAAAACATTTTAAACGGTATTAAATTTTAATATCATCCCGGATTATCTACAAACTTCAAAAAAGGCAAACCGTGGGTTTGAATCCGTTGGAACACCTACAGCTGAATAACACCTAAAAATAACTACCTGCGCTGTTATACAAGAAAACGTTGATTATATCTGCTTCGATTTTAAAGAAAAACTACCAAAACGAATTATAATTAATACATTACGCAATAAATCGGACAGATATTTGTAACGGTTCCTGCGAATTATGTCAACTAAAATTATTTCATAACGGTGCCAGCTAAAACAATGTACAAAAAATATTTGTTTTGGGCTGTCACGTAATGAGAGATATTTATGCATACGAGTTACAACAAATTATTTATTACCTACAATATGCACACTCAGGTTTTTTATGCATATTCAAACACGAAAAAATTTCTACAAACAGTTTACATAATTTGCCAAAACGTGCTTAATTCATTGCAAAACTTTATTGTGATATAAACAAATTAAGAATTCACGTTTTCCTTGTCCCGCTGGAAAATGATCGCTAGTAATCTCAAAAAGGTGACAGAAAGAAGAACCAGTCTGACATTAGTAAAAGTTAAACGTGACCGACCATCTTCTATTCTGCATTTACTTTTTTAATAGGTCGGGGCCAGCTTGTGCAATAATGCATTTTAGCACTCGAGTATGTGCAACATTTTTGTACAAACCCTTGAACGTCTCCAAAACTTTATAGCGGTGCCCCTCTTGAATAATAAAACAACCGTTTCTAGTCCCCATTATTCAAATAAGTTGTCAGTCTGCCAGTAAAATATTTCAATAAAAAAGTCAAGCCGACCGTTACGTTCCTCAAATTAAATCCTAGCTTCTTTAATTAAATAATTCCAATTTGTGAATGCGTTAATGGCGCCTTAAAAGCGAGATTTTCCCTTTCACTGTTAACGCCGACTTTATGCACTTAATCTCGTGCATGGTCCAGATTTAATAACCTTAATTTTTTCAGCGAAACGTAATTTACACGTTAACAACCTCCGCACAAATCCTGTCGTTCACCACTCCTTGATATCAAGCTGAAAATATTCTGGTATTTAAGTAATGGACTAGTAACGATGCGAATAATTGCGAAGTTCACGATCTTCGTGAAGATGAAACCCATTTTGAGGATTTCTAAAGATTTATTATTAATTCATGAATTAAACGCTGGATAATTGCATAATGCGGCTATTACATACAGAATTAATCAACTCGAGAGCGTTGAGCAAGGCTTTAATATCGTTTGTGTTGTTTCAGGAGGATGAAAAGGCCGCCTGGGATCTGGATACTACTGTCGGCAGGTATGTGGGACACACTGTATATTCAGCTTCATTTTTAAAAACTCATAATATTAAATTTTCTGGTAAACGGACTTTCCATTTTGTTCGACGTGTACTCTGTCCACTTTACTTTTACTGGGATCGTGCTCCGACCTGCTACTTACCATTCTAAAACAGACTAAGAAAGTCACATTTACGGTTTCAGGAGTCAAAAAACCGCGTTTTCTTCTTTCCAAGAACCCATAATCTCGACCTTCACCCACATTCTCGTACATTTTTCCCGCTAATGATCTTTTTCTCGCTAGGTGTTCTTTGGTTGAGTCTGCAAGACGTCTATGGAATCAGGGCGACGGCGCTGATTTTCGGCAAATCCACGACGACGACGACCACCACGGAAGCCTCGTCGTCCGAATCTTCGTCAGATGAGGTCAGTGGAAAGTATAAATTCCGATTTTGAAAAAATCGAAACCTTGGCATTAGGACTTGTGTATTAAATCACAGCTCTAAGGAAGAGAGGCGCATAAATGTCAGAAAAATAAATTAATCAAACGACTTTCTTGTAGGTTAAAAAGATATAAGTCGTTATTTATAGTTGCGGGGAACGAAAGAAGTTTTGTAAATACGGCAACGGCAATGACATCAGTGCTGAAAGCGGTTTGGTAAATTGCTTGCTGAAAACCAAAAAAGTGCGACGAAATGTAAAAACACCTTGAGTGTCGAATGTAATTAAGTGTGTTCGGTTTCGACATCTATTAATATTGTCAATAGCCTTGCGAGGCGACTTGAAGATGGGTTTTCTCTTTAAACAGCTCATTGAATTGCATTATGTTTTGAGGTTTACAATGCTAAACGAATTAAAGTGAAAATGATGTTTGCAGCGCCTGTCAATAATTAAAATCATCTGGATCTCCGGTTTTAAATTTATTATGCAGACAACTTTTACGCAGCGGAATAGAAACGTTTTCGCGAAATTTATAAACAACCATTTTTAGCGATGAAAACTCTTTAAATATTTGCAGTTTCGTCATATTTGTATTGAAAACTGACCACTGATTGATTATACTATGCTCATGTGACACACGATTTTCAGACTACCTGGAGTGCTTTAAGTTTAAAGCGAAATAAGAGCTAAACAAACGTGTGAAACTTACATTTTGGGACTTTCGGTGCATAATAGGTTTCTAAAAATCTAGAATACACCATTAAAAACGATTTAAAGCTTTCAGCCGAACCATAAACATTTCATTTAAATCAATTCCCAAACACTTAATAAGCGAGATAACTTAAAAATTTACATTTTATCAAAACACATATTAAAAATAAAAGCAACCATTATAGAGAAACAACAGAACCAGTTTCTTCACTTTCCCATCCACCCCCATAAATTATAAAAGAAAGTCAAACACTTAAAATTCATAATAAACCATTCAACAGCCCATTGTATTTTGAGAACTTATTATTATCTAATGATTATAAAATAAAAAATTCATTTCCCCAAAACAATTCGCATTTGCATATTGGCAACGCGAAACCCATGAATAATACGGAAATGCGTTTTTTCCTCTCACACAATGGAGGAAGAACCCACGCCGTTCTTTATTCACAAAATTAATTAGCTGTCTCCGGAATATTCCGTGCCGAAGCTTTTTAATCCACGAGGATAAATCTGCGAGATGTCACAATACAGAAAGAGAATTATTGTTCGACAGATCAACTCGACTCGACCCGTGTCAAATTTTGACATCATTTAATTAGTTTTCAACACAAATTTAAAGTCTGAAATGTTACCACCAAATTCGAATCCTTGTAAACCCACCAAATTCATGGACGTGTACAAACTTGCGAAGAAAATTTTCGGCGAAAAGTGGAAGGTTTCGGAAGAGTTGAAGTACTACCAGGAAGCTTGTGACCCGCCTCCCATGAACTTGGATTTTATAAGAGAGGAAAATGAATATATCAGTGTCGACGAAGAACTGAGAGTGTAAACCTCACGTGTAACTCAATAAAAACGTTGATTTTTTTCTAAATTCCATCACAAACGCACCTACATGAACGTTTAGAACCCATTAAAATAATCTACTCTCCATGGTACTATAAATTCAAGGTTTTTCATTTCACTTTCATTTAGCCACAAGTGAAATACCAAAACAAAACCACTCGCAGATAATGACAATTAAAAAAGCAAGCATGGAAAAACGACAGTAAATACTCAAATTTCTTTGTTAATTACTATCGTGGCGCAGCGACCATAAAATGAGTGTTTTATTTTAGACATTTAACAGTCGTTACATAAGGATTTTTTTCTAAGACTGTATTTTCAAGTAATCTTGTCGTCCTTGCCGAAGACAAACTACACTAATACGCCACGCCAAATGTCGAAATTGACCATTAAATTCAAAATTATAATTAAATTCGGAACGAACTCATTAACGCTGCCGTTAAGGTCTGCGTTTATCCTTTTAATAATAATTATAAAAGAATTTCGTTGCGGTCTACATGGCGGACTTTCTATTATTCTTGGCTTTACATATCGTCTCGGGTGCGTTTTATTGGAGGCATACACGCGTTTCATGCGATTATGCTCTAAAGCAGGTTTCTGCTGACCTTCGGATTATTTATTACCGAGATTTATCTTTCCAGACTGCAACAGAAGCGAGCACTGAAGCCTCCAACGTGACCAAACCGACCCTCACGGGAATCCCCCAACTGGACTACATATGGGACCCCAACTTGCCCAAAGAACTCAACGGTTATAACCTGTCCGAATACCCCTTCTACGAGAGGGTGCCCGAAGATATAGACTTCAAGTGTGACGGGCTGCATGATGGGTTCTACGCAAGTGTTCCTCACAAATGTCAGGTATATTATAGAACTCGATTATTTTTTTGTATTTTTCGACTTTTCAATTTTTCGATTTTTAAAATTTTTGAATTTCCAATTTTTTGGTCTTTGAATTTTCGATATTTGAGTTTTGGGATTTCTCGATTTTTGAAAATGTATTTTGGTTTTTCAATTTTTCGATTTTCTTATTTTTTGTGTTTCTGAGTTTTCGATTTTAAAATTTTTCCATTTTTGGGAAAAAATTTTGATGTTTTGGTTTTCTCAAATCTCAATTTGTCGACTTTTTGATGTTTCTACTTCTAGATCTATCGGTTTTTCAGTTTATCAATTCTTCAGTTTTCGATTTTCAAGGCTTTTGATTTTTAAAATTTTTCGTTTTTCTATTTTTCGAAAAATTGAAAATTTCGCTGTTTCAGTTTTGGGACATTTCAAGTCATCTATTCTTCAGTTTTTCTTTGGGTTTTTCAATATTTCGATTTTTTGTTTTAATTTCTCAATTTTTAGAATTTCGACTTTTAAAATTTTTCGAATTTTTAAATTTTAAGTTTTTCAATTTTTTGAAATTTCGATTAAAAATCTTTCGACTTTCCGGTTTTTCAATTTTTCGATTTTTGAAGTTTTTAAAGGAATGAACTAAAGTCTAACTCCACGTTAACCCCCACTTAGTGTAATTCGCATCCGCAGACATCTCTAAAATTTTTGATTTTCCAATTTCTCAATTTTTCGGTTTATCCAGATTTCTATGTTTCAATTTTTCGGTTGTTTAGTTTCCGAATTTTTCACTTTTCGTGTTTATTGAAACAGATATTGTAATGGCGATTTCAGATTTGCACCTGATTATCTACAATTTGACACGAATTTTCGGTCGATTGATCCGATTTTAACCATTTTTTGAAAAATTTTTGAAAATTTTGACATCATATTTTGCCTTTATTTTGACAGATGTCGTGAAGGCGACTTCGGATCTGTAACTGGCGGAAGATTATCTACAAATTGATACCAATTTTCGGTTGATTGAATTCATTTTAGCCATTTTTTGGGAAAATTTTTGGAAATTTTGAATTCACTTTTCGTATTTCTTGGGACAGATCTCGTGACGGCGGTTTCAGATTTGTAACTCGCGTAACATTGTATACAATTTGACACCAATTTTCACTCGATTGAACCCATTCATTTTAGCCACTTTTTTGGAAAATTTTTGGAAATTTTGAATTCACTTTCCGAGTTTATTGGAACAGATATCGTAATACCGATTTCAGATTCGTGACTGGCGGAAAATTATTCACAATTTGACACCAATTTTCTGTCGATTGATCCTATTTTAACCATTTTTTTGGAAACATTTTGAAAATTTTGGAATCATATTTTACCTTTATTTCGACAGATGTCGTGAAAGTGATTTCGGATTTGTAACTGGTGGAAAATTATCTACAAATTGACATCAATTTTCAGTCGTTTGAACCAATTTTAACCATTTTTTTTTTTGGAAAATTTTTGAAAATTCTGGGCACTTTTATTTTAATAGACGTCGTGAAGGCGATTTCGGATTTGTAATTAGCGTTAGATCATCCACAATTTAACACCAAGGTCCGATATTAAATTTTGAAGTAAAAATCTTTTAAATTTCGAAGTCTGGAATTTTGGAAAACGAAAATTGAAATGAATGAAAATAATTTATCCGTCAGGATCGTGATCGAAATAACTATAGCAATATTTTGTTGCTGTCGATTCTCAGAAAATGCTGTAGCTTTGCAAACACGCTCAGGCAACTCTAAAACGTGAAAAATTTGTTAAAATCTCGGCTCTAAAACTGTACTTCATTGCACCATAACTGTAAAGCTCGTCCGCCGCGATAAATAACCATGCACTGCTCCTCTTATTATGCGACACGCTTGCTCCCCTCAAAAATGCGGCATTTTTACACCTGCTTTCTAATATATGCTAAGGTTGAAGATTCCGAAGGCCTTGTTGCAATTTTCCAGCAAATCCAGCGTTACGAAATCGGCGCCTCGCTCCGGTCAGATCGTATCTCGCCAACGCTTCGTTAAAACGCCTTTGATAAAAATCTCGAGGTAACTGAACCACAATTGTCACTAAAATCGACCTTGCGAGTTTTATCGTTCGATTATAATTCACTTTCACTCCGACAGTGAAATTGTTATGGTAAGTTACAGTCGAGCACCGCGTCGCTTTTTGTTCTTTACAAAATAAACGAGCGATAAATGGAAATTTCTACATAAAATTGACAAAGCGCCGAGATAGTCCGACGTGCATGCGAATGCCTTGTCACAATTAAGTTAGGCGTGTAATACACGGTGTAGGAGGCTATCTGTGCGATAGGAGCATGCTAAAATAGCGGAAACCGCATCAAAAACACTCATACCATAAAACGATTACCTTCGTTCGGAATTTTAATTTGGAAACGACGTGACTGGTTACTTAAACCTGTTACGCAGAACAACGGCGAGCGATTTTGACATTTCAATTTAACCTGTGTCCAACAAAACAAATTAACATAAGCGAGCTGTAAAGTATACTTATGGAAATGAGGCGACGCTAATTTTATGTTCCGATTCGAATATTTCAAGCACTAGAGATAAAAGCTTTAGCTGATGGAGAGCTAGATTCGGATTCCGGAAACGGAGGCGTTATGTTTCCAGGTGTTTTTTGGTAAAATTTGATGCAACGAGTGCGCATTGCCGCATATTCGCCATACTTGGATTTGGTTTGTGCAATTTATGGCCAGAAATGATCTACAACTGCCGGAACAAATCAGAGTGATTAATTGTATGTATTAGTTAGGTAAAATATCGCGATTATTCAAAAGCGGAACTGAGTGGGGCACTTTTATGTCACTTTCCACGGGTTCTGGGTGAACAATGCGAATGTTGACGTGAAATTGTACTTTGTGGAGAAATAATATGCAATTTGCGTTAAGGTGACAGCATGAGAAGACTTCGGACTCGACGCACGTATTGCTATGAAAAGGAAGTACTAAATCTTGAATGGGAAGAGTTGGGTTGTGTAAAATTAACTGAAATAGTAAGACATCGAAAATTTGTCTGTTTTAATTCTTGTACGATGAAAATGTGCATATTTTTTCATAGAAACGATTTCATTTACCTAGACACATTTATATTTATTTAATAACCTAGGTCGTTCTACATATTGATGGCAGAAAAATGAGCACATCTACGTATGTCTGCTTGGAACGGTTGCAACACACGGCCTCAAGGAATCTGCCCTTGACATTAAGAAATTCCCGCTTCGCAAATTCGTATCATGCGGTTCGAAATAACCCAGTCCGCCTAAAACCCAGCCTGATTGACATTTCGCTACGTTGTCTTCCAATAAATCATTGCGAAACCTCCATAAAAGCGCAAAATAATACACCCAACCAAATCAAATATTGTGCAAAGTAATACCATTGGAGCAACTCAACATTTTTCACTTTTTTTCTGCTACCGTTACACACTTAACAAATTTCATGCCCACTTAAGAAACGCGATATGTCAAACTTTCGTTTTATCCAGTTATGTAAGTAAATGTCTGGTCTTTTACGGTTGCAACACAACTATACCATGTTTAACATTCGATTATCGACTGATCAAGGTCGCATTTCGTTGCAGGTGTATCATCACTGCCTTTTCGGAACCAGGTACGACTTCTTGTGCGCGAACTACACGGCCTTCGACCAGAAGACTTTTATTTGTCACTTCGTCTCGGAGGTGGACTGCGTCAATTCGAAGAAGTACTGGCACAGGAACGACGCTTTGTACCAGGCGGCCTCCACTACTACCGTGAAACCGTTGGTGGTGTATACGCACACGCCACCAGCGCAACCGCATCCGGTGGCGGCAGCGCCGGCACCGGCGGCCGCCAGTCCGCGAAGGCCGGGAGGGAGGCGGCGACCGTTGAGGAGGAGGCGGCCGCAGTACGACTACTACGAGTACGACGACGAATATGAGGATTACTACGAGGAAAGGCCGAGAGTGGAGAGGAGGAGGAAGAGGCCGCGACCTAGACCCAGGCCTGTGTATGACGACGATGACGAAGAGTACGAAGACGAGAGGTACGAAAGAAGGGGTTCTGGTAGGCGAGACGAAGACAGGAATAGAAAGACATACGACAGGAGAGGATCTGACGATCGAAGAGATCGAAGGAGGAACAAGGACCGACGGAAGTACGAAGATGAAGACAAACTCGAAGACGACGATAAGTTCGAAGACGAAAGAAAATCGGACAAGAGAGGAGGGGATCGCAGGTACCACAAAAGGCGACCGGTTGATGACTTCGACGACGAAGAAGACGATAGAAGGAGGAATCGACCCAAAGGAGGCTCCAGGAGACCGATTGAAGACGACTACGAAGAAGAAGAAGTGTCTCACAGTGATAAACCTTCAGATGAAAAAACCATGATTAAGCCTACTAGTGGTAGTTCGATTTTTGATAGGCCGAGAGCGGCTCCTAGGATTAAACCGCCTGTGCCTAAGAGCGAAGCGAGTAAATATGCTTACAAGCCTGTTGCGTCTACGAAAGCGACACCTGTGGCTGAAGATGAAGAGTACTACGACGACTACGAAGACGAGCCACCTGCAAAAAGTCACCGCAAGTCGGAGATGAGTGATTCCAGGAGACACTCCTCAACCAGACACGAAGAAGAAAGGGATACAAGAAAGCAACTTTCGTCAGCTTCGAGACAAAGAACGTCGCAGTCGTCTAGAGAAGACAGTTACGAAGAAGAAGCACCCAGAAGACCGTACAAACCAAAGTATGGTTCGCACCACCGAGAAAGACCGAGGGCGACCCCAAGTAACAAAAAGTCGCCTCCTGTTGACGACTACTACGACGACTACGAAGAAGAAGTGAGTAAAGAAAGTTCAAGATCGGAGACTACAGTTTTAGAAAAACAAAAATCGAAGTCTACTACGTCTACCACGACCACTACGACCACCACGACGACCACTACTACGACGACGACACCCAAGCCAACTACAACAACGACAACCCCGAAGCCTACTACAACCGCTCCCAAAGATATAAGACCGGAAACTATAGTGCGCATAGTTAAAAGACCTTTCCTGCCAAGCAGAGGAGGTAATCCGTACTCGCCCCGTGGTCTTCAACCTGTAGGTGCTAAAGCCCTTGATAAGAAACCAGAAAATAAAGAAAGCCCAGAACCAGAGGACGAAACCTTGGAGTTAAAGCCGATTTTTAAAACGTCTCCAGTTATTATAAAGATGCCCCATCGCCAGAAGTATGCTCAGCCGCAGACGGAAACTCACGAGGAAATTAAGTCCGTGCCTGCTAAGCCCCAGCTTCCACCAAGACCGACTTTTAAACCTAACAAGGAATACTCAGGTCCACGTACGACGCAGAAACCGAAACTACCGGACCACGACCCTTTGGATATAGAAGAAGACGAGTATGATGTTACTCTGAATGATGCTCTCAACCCCACACTGCCTAATTTACCGGTTCGGGGGTACCCGACTGGATTTAGCTCTGCGAATGATTACAGCTACAATACTTTCCAGAGGCCTAGATATGTTCTTGAAGAAGCAGCGAATACTAACTACTATCAAGCTAAGCCTGTGAGACAGAGGTATGAGGCTGTTTCGTATAATAATAATCCACAAGATCATTTGGTGAACTCTGATGCGGAATTCAAGGGGCAGTATAGTACAATCAATAGGGAAAGTTACAGGCCAAGGGTGACGCAAGCCTACTACACGAGATTTTAATTCTTCGAGCCATATTCTAGGTAGACTAAAATTGTATGTTATATTTAATTTTTATGTAAAGCTAGTTAAGCAAATTATGGTTGTGTAAATTATGTTGACTATTTAAGACAATACTGTGTAAAATACTCGTACTTTAAAATAAAAATTTGTAAAAAAATGATACATGGAAACTATGTTTGGAGTTGTAGGTACGTATTACTACGAATGTTGCCAGAAAACCTAAAAAGGGTTGAATATATGGACTTTATGAGTATTTAACACTCCACAACTTAAAATCTTCCAATGGAAGTATTCACAGTGTGATTATACATAAATGATACCTACCTTGCTTATGGCAGAAGTCTCTTCTTTTCACAATTGACATTATTCGTTATCCGTATCCGACTAATTCAATGTCTTGCAGTCTCTGCGTAACCTAAATTCACAACCCTGCTGGAAGAAAATCCTGCGTCGAACGTATCCGTCCAATGTCATTACAAAGGGCCTAAATACCTCATTAATAATAAAAAAAGGCCCTTAAAAACCCTGTAACCCACCTGTACCAAACAAAATCGAAGAAAATAATCTTCATTTTTGAGAACCACAAACTCTATCTTTTACGCGGGAGGACACAACAGCCAATAGGAATGAAGACAACAGTGCACCATAAAAATTCCCTAAATTGACAGATAAAGCTGAAAGCTGAAATAAAGTATCCAAGTATCTAAATTCTAAATTGAGAGCAGACAAAGCAGTTCTGCAAAGATTGAGTCATTTGGATAAAGCCCCACACTAATTATGGACTCAGGAGGGTGATAATGGGTTAGATAACAAGCCAACAGTGATTATATTTAAATGTGAGAACCCTTCGAGACTCGTTATTTTTGTAGGTTATGTAAGCTGCATTTATCTGGTATGATTAACGCAATAATGGAACGAAGTAGCTGAAAGAACGTACAAAATCCAGAATACAAGTGCTCTAACAAGAAATATAACAAACAGGTATTGAGTAGAGCTATGGTCAGTGGCGAGAAAACGCCAAAATTAAGCCCCATTTAAACTATCCATTATTAAGTTTTTATATTGGTTTGAATTCTTTTCGTTGATTTCGTACTGTTTGATTCAGAATTAAATTTCATTAGTTTTGTTTCTGTCAGCTGTCAAATATGTTTCGAAATTTTGCCAGTCGTTTGAGGTTATGTAACCACTACGAAAACAAAAAGTGTGTAAACAAATGGGCCAGTTATTAGGATTCCTGTGTTGGTCTTAGTGAAGTAAAAATCGTGAACTTACCTTTTCTACTTTTAAATTTTATGTGTATTTGGAAATTTAGTATGTATCATCGAAATGTAGCTTTTCAGGTGGTATATGTAATGACATTGAATGTATAAGTTTTAGGTAATAGTTTTGTGTCTTAAGACAATATTTTAGCAACTAGAACAAGATTAATACCATTGAAAGCCACAAAGAACAGAAAAAGGGAACTCAGTCGTTATGGTAATAATTGCTAACAAGTTTATTTTGCCTTAATTATAAATTTGCAGTTTACCCTTAAACATTCCCTGAACATAGAAGTGACAGTCCACACTGATACATTTAGTACAAAAAGCGCTTCAGATGGTTTCTTGTCTGTTTTTTTTATACAAATTATTATAACTGTGGGTCATACAATTCGCGTGTTGGAACTAGTACTAAAATCAGCTATTCGTAACGTTTTTGGGTGAAATGTGGAATATGGACTAGAAATAAAGACATAAAAAGATATAGATTTGGATTCAAAGTTATTACAGTTTTCTGTTACATGACACTTTCAGCATGTCTTAGGTTAAATAACTTGAACATAGATGGCGCCACAACAACTTGTTCAATTGTTCAAGTTCCATCCATTCCATCATATTTTACAAAATATTTTCAAATTAAATTACTCTTAGTAGGCGTATGCATATTTGTTGATTCATGTTACATAATTACATTCAATTTTATCAAATCTAGCATGCTTTGAAAACATGGCGAGTTTTGTTGAAACGAAAGTCGGAAAGAATTTAGATAAAGTAATTATTTATGAAAGATCATAGCAATCAATATATTTTGCCTCTAAAAGGTAGCAGAGTTTCGAGTTTGTTATTGTTTTTATTATGGGGTACATTGGAAGTGTGGTTTATGGTAAGTTACTATAGGCAAAGTTGGTACAGCCTTGATTTTCTTTAAAAAATATATATAAATTTTTAAGGCTTGCTAGACATTTTCGAATGAAGACACGACATGCATGCACGGTTATTTATTTAGTTTAATATAAAAAAAAATAGAATGTATTTGTACAGCATTTTGTTCGAAATTTACATTTTCGGCGTTATTTTGATTAATAAATTCAGTTCTTATTGTTCCAGAGTCTGCTGTAGTGATAGAAAGAGCGGATCTTTTGAAGCTATGAATTATTTAGAAGTCATTGAATGTATTGAGAATGTAGAGGTGTCTCTAGGCAGTTATAACTTTCATCACAAACACTGCAAAGCTCACTTTTCTGATGACGTTTGTTTGACTTGCCTTAGTGACATTATGTCACACTAATTGGATCAAGAGTGTTTGAAGAATGGTCCATTTTTTGAGGAAATGTTACGGTTTGTGTTAAGTTTTAATTTGAAAAGAAGGAACAAAAAGAATTATTTAAATAAAGTAGAACAAAACGCCTTATTCTTTTTGTTTCTTTGTTTTTTAGGTTTTCTTTGGTTCTGATTTCATTAATACAACTGTAATTTGACAGTTTTGTCGTTTGTACTAACCGAGTGAACTTAAAATTGAAACCAAACATCTATTTGCGGCTAGTCACTAATCCAACTATAGGTATATTGCTGAAATAAAAAAATGTTTGATGTTAATTTACATGCAAATAACGTTCCCTAAAGATTTCGCAAAAGCACCGTCACCACCAAAAAGTTAATGATATCGTCCCAAAACTGCATTTCGTGCGCTTCCTTTCAACATAATCTTAAATGCAACTTCATCTCCGCGGAAATAACACTCCGAAGAAATTTTCATTTTCCATTATCAAGAGAAATGTAAACGACGCCGTTTTTTTTTTTTTTGTTTTCAGATAACGCCTCTTTTTTAATTGTAACAAAAACGCGTCAGGCCCACAGGATGTTCTTTCACTCCCGCTTTAAAGCGGAATGTGTGCATGAATTTAATTTCAGAGCGGAAATTGCGTCTTTCCAATACCCTTTTCTGTTGTTTAACGATAAAACATTGGCGATTCTAGCCGTCGAGAACAACAATGTCGTCTCAGATAGGGTGGGAGTTCAAGAAAATTTTTTCCCTCTCTCACTGAGTGTCTATTGTTCATCGGGTCTTCATTTATCACGGAATTTTCAGCATGTTTGTCGCTTTGGATTGGAAGGGTAATTTGTTCCGAATTTGCGCTCTTACTCGACTCGTTTTTCCACTCGACGATTCGTGTCTTTTCAAAGATTGGAAGTATTGTCTGATTGTAATCAAAAACAGATTATTGGTGTGACGGAGGGCGGTCGGGGCGGGGTGAAGTATTTTTGCAAAAACACGCCTGAAACTGTGACCTGTGAAGCTCACGATATACATATTATGTAAGTCGTGTTTTGTATCTTTCACTCGCCAAAACAACGAATGATGAAACTGTCTAGCAGAAATTTACAGCATCTAGGACAAAGCACACACGCCAACGTAATTGCAGTTCTCCTTTCTGGCACCGGCTCTAAGAACGAAGATTATTTATCGCCGCCTCGATGATCTGACAAGTGAGAAATTGACCGAATCACACGTTTCTGATATTTTCAACGTTCTCAACAACGTAATATATACTTAGTTATTTTTCTCGTTTTTTATCGCCACGTTTATAGATCTCTATATCCACGTACGAACCGTTCCTACCAATATTCATCTCCATTACTCTCTCCATTCTCCCGTCCGGTTTCCTCTTAGTCGCCAAATGGACCCACAGTAAAGTTTTCTATTTGGAAAATCGCGGAAAAGCCGATTTCCCGAACAACGCTCCGCTTCACCAAAAGTATAGCCGGATTGATGAGAGTCCCCGGCGGTGGCGACCTCTATACACTCGAAGCCCCACGACTCAGCCAAATATACGATAGGTATTTAATCGAGTTTCGCAATTAAATCTAAAATAGCAAAAATTTTCGAGAGGCGATTGCAGACTGAGTCTGGAGAGCGACATTTTCGTGTTCTATGAGCTGTGAAACGCCAAGAAAACTGAAAAGACACACTCGTTGTTGCAGTTCGTTTTTTTTTTTTTTTTGTTAGGTGCTCTGGGAAAGTTATGAGTTTGTCGGATAATAATGCCTCCGAAGAGGTTTTAAACTGTGCACGAGAGTCGGTTGTTATGGTGGAAGCGGTTATAAATAATGACGTAAGTGGTTTTTCTTTAAAAAAGTTTGTCGGTTTGGAAGTTTTGTGAGCCGTATGCGTTAAGCAGTTTCTGGAAAAAGGGTGTGCTATTACAGCAAGTGGCGAAACTACTTAAAACTTGTGTTAACGATTTATAAATTCGCAAACACGTTTTTTAATTGTCAAGGGGTTGTAGCGTTTGTAGAGCGTAGGCAGGGGTAACACAGTTAAACAGAAAACTACCATTGAATTCATTTTCGCTTTAAGCACACCCACCCCTCCTGAACATCCAAGTTAACAGAATAATTCACCCCCGACCTCCCAAGGTTACAACGCATGCTGAGACTTCTCTAAACTGTTGGTAATTTCCGAAAGTTTGACGAGCTCCATGCCCCAACTTCCAGGTGGGATTACCAGACGAACTGACAAACAATTATTACGACGTGGCAGGATCGATTTTCAGGCGATTAAGCGACAACGTGTCCGACGGATTCAATCGCGCATGCAACAAAGAACCTCCAACTCTAATCCGAAACGTCCAAACCTGAACAAACACTTTTGCACAAAACCCCGCCAGCAGAAACCAGGTCGTGGAAAATCCTCGAAAAATCAAATTCGTTTTGTGCTCCACTAACAAAATTTTGTGGTCTAGTATAGTGAGGAAGTGCTCCAGCTCCGCTTCCCTAGAGTGGAGCTGCAATATCGGTACGAGTGTTTGTCGCCGCCTGGTAGTTAATTCTTGTAATCGTCTCGAGCGTTGAGTCAGATTGATGACTGCTCTGTTTGCCGAATTAATCCTTGGCTCCCCGTCCCAGTCATGCCGTTGTGTTTTCCCCGAATTTGCATATGCATTCAGGAGAAACATTGTTTGCAATAAGCTCGAGCTTGCGGCGGCGCCGCTGCACTTCGACACTAGCAGAAGAGATGTTGAGCAAATTCGCAACTCGAATAAAGATTTAGTCTCGAGTTTGAGTAATCTTGAGCAAAAAGGTCTCTGGGGCATCTCTTACATAAGTTACAACCCCGTATGCAAAGCCCAAAGTTTTATCTTTGTTTGTAGGTGAAGAGCACCTCGGCACAACATTAAGACAGAGATAAGTATTCACTTTTTCTTTTTAATAAAGCGTTGTTTCAACGTGGGTGGTTTCCTACACGGTTTCCCCTCTTCCAAACTTCGATCCGAATCTTTAAAAGTTGTTCCGAAGGGATGTAATTTAATTGATGCCGCGAAAAAGTAGGTCATCAACACTCCTCCGCCGAATTGCGGTGGCTCGTGATTTAATTAAATAAGCCAAGTTCAATACACCTATCGGCACTGGCATCGCCTCTCCACGTTACTAATTTGTGTAATGTATGAATAATATGCGAAACAATCTTCAAAGGGTCCAGCTGAATCCGTTGTAAAACGTCGAACCGTGCCCCGCTGATTTAATACCTTCCGAATTATCACAGCAATTAATCAAATGAAATATTTCGTTTTGAAATTTCGCCTAATACCCTTTTCGGCCTATCTGCTAATTGAAGTGTTTTATCTGCGCCCCCATTAATTATCCGATTTTCTTGGAGGGTGTTTATGTGCTTCTTTTATGCGCGCGACTGCCGGATCTCGTAATAAAACCGTCGGTGGGAATTTATTTGGACGATTTGATGTCCCTGCGTGAGCTCATCATACATGAACGCTATCGCAACCGAATGACAGAAATATATCTATAAATAAGGATTTCAAAGGCGATATCCTGCGGTGTTTATTTTGCGGGCGGCGCTCCTGCTCTGGGTCACGTGCTGTGGATATGAGTCCACTGATGAGCGCCCCGCGGTCAGATAGTAACGCTTCTAAGCAATACCACGTCCGGAGCAGCCGCTACAGAAGACCTGCACGATCTGCTCGTAAGGAACGTTCATGAATATGAGCTCGGAGCAGTTAGTCGGCCCGACCTGTTTAGGATAAATAACAGGAAGAGGCGAAGTTCGGAACGATCTTGTATCAGATATGCCATAAGGAGAGGGCGATAACCGACGGTGACAATTACGACAGCATGTGCAAGAACAATGGCGATCATTGTGAATGACTCCCAGATATCGGAGTTATGCAAATTTAGGCAATTATATTAAGTAAAACGGATGTTTGTTAAATTCAAAATAAAAATGTTTCCAGTTTAATCCACGTTGCTTGCCAATATCCCCCTTATTCCTTTTCTTTCTTTCAACTGTCTCTTATCGTCAGCCTAGGCTAGGTCAGATCAGACTAGACCAGGCCAGGATAGGCTAGCCCAGGTCAGACTACACCAGGTCGGGCTAGGCTAGATTGGACTGGGCCAGATCAGGCTAGGTCAGGTCAGGCTAGACTAGGCTAGGTCAGGTCAGGTCACCCACATGTGTGAAGTATGTAAGAGCCATATGACACAGCACACCCTATTTGAGTGTGAAAAATGGAAATGATGCAAAGAAGATGCAGAAAAAGAAATCGGAAGAGAGATCTCGAAAGAAAACGTGATAGAAACGATGTTAGAAAGCGAAGAGCTCTGGAAAAACTTACTTACCTGTTGGTGTAGTGAAAGGAAAGGAAAGGAAAGAGAAGAAAGACGATAGCATTGACAAGGATTCCCCTGACCTGGTCAGATCAAATCAGATTTGATTTGATAAGTTAGGTCAAACCAGGCCCGGCTAGATGATATCACATCGGCTTTGATAAGGTTAGATCAGCTTGTCAGGCCAGACCAGATTAGATCGAACTAAATCAAGTCAAGTCAGCTTTAGCCAAGTTAGATGAGGTCAGGCCAGGTGATAGGTGCGGATTCCTTTATCTGTTCGCTTCGCTTTCTCACATCTCTTCCTTTTTTTTTTTGCTTGCTATTTCATCACCTGTATTGCTCTTTTGTCTGTTTCATTCTTTTAATAATTTCAGATCATGATAAACCACTCCGAACTGAACCTTCCATCTGGTTTCCAGAAATCAACAAGGAAAGTTGTGGCCCTTCTTGCTCTTCCCGATTACCTGTCGGTCCTTTGTCCGGTCTGATTCCAGTAGTTCTTTGCTTCCCCTTTGATTGAAATCCCCAACCTTTTCTTCTTTTGTTTCCATCGTTAACCAAAAGGAAAAGTTGAGGTTGAACCTCCGACTTTTAGTATTTTGCTTGTGTTGACTAATTTTTCCTTAGTTTGGTTTCCTTCACCTCGATTCTGATGATTTCGTTTTCTTTGTGTTGTGGTTACTGTCTTTCTTTTTCTTGGATCAAGATTCGTCCTTCGTCCTGTGCCCTCTTTTCCTCATCGAGTAGATCCCACCGGATGTGGACCTCGCCTGAAGTCCGGTTTTCCTTGAACTTTCCGTTCAGGCTTCGGTCTACTCAGAGTCTTGTTTTCTTGTTTGTGTACAGTGGTTTGTTCCCTACTAAGATGGCCAGCGCCGCGTTATATGTAGTTCTGCATGGGTTGGTGCTATCCACCAGGAACGATCGAACCGAGAACTTCGGAAGACAAACACTTGCTTTAAAAGTTGTAGTTTGGCCCCTAGTTGTGATAGTTGCAGCGACTTGGCCCCTTGGCCGGAACGGTGAAGTTAAAGTGAACTTTTACCGCCCAGCTTGGGCGGCTTGCCGCCCCTCCGCGAAAGTTCCGGCCCAATAAATCACCCGCGGCATCCGAAATTTAATCCAATTGGCGCCATTAAAGGTAATAATTAAATACGTGCCGCCGCCCTCCGCCCCACATAAAGAGAAAAGTTGCGAATTCCCGTCAAATTAGGTAAACGAGTTGAACGTAAAGAATGGAAAATCGATATCAATACATAAAAGCCAAATATAATGTACCCAGTTATCTACGACGAAGTTACACATCATTGGAGATGGTAACGTTTCATTTTAGCAGCGCGACGCGATGATGGCGCTGTCTGTTTTTCCCTCTTCGCTTCTTTTGTTTTTGTTATATTTAGCGGAATGCGTGTGATATTCGTCGGGGCCGGCCGGGGAGGGGTTTAAAACCAGCTAATAAAATGCATTTACATTGATGTTGTGCAGGCGGAGTTTTGTTGTTTTTGAATAATTTAGCAAACACAGGCTGAATTATTGATGTCGGGATGAAAAATATTTATGTCGGAAGCTATGCTCCGCATTTCGAATCATCAAATGTTGATGATTCCGCGTATTAATCGGCCGTATTTGCGAAAAACTTGGTGATTTAAAATTGCGTAAGCCGATTACACGCTAATGCCGAACATGTGTGGGCTTGTTTGCCGTGGCGCGATCTGCGGATTAAAGGTGGCAGCCGGCGGTCAAACGCCGCCCCCCAAATTTCGAAGCGAATTAAAGAGGACCAAACTCCAGTACAAAGCACTCCGCATTCAGAAGAGAGGAGGAGAGTCTTTTCCATCGGAGCTAGGAATTTTCTAAGGGTGTCAGGGGTTAATCGTGGTTTCGGTCTTTTTGGGGAAGACTTTCGAATCTTGCTAGAACTGTCGTTATCTCGAGGAGGAACGGCAGAAAAGTGCATCGTGAGCCACCCGGGCGACCCCGCATTAAAGTAAGGTGGGGAAGCGAGGCACCTCCAGGCCCCAGCGAACTTGTTGTGGTCGAGGCTTCAACAAGATATTTGACATTCGATAGCACTTTAACAGGTTAATACTGAAGTTATCGTTTTAGTGGCCTGTTTAATATTGAACGGAATATCTGAATATTAATTCCATCCCAACTCGCAGAACTCTGTCTATCACACAATCGTTGTAATGGGAGTTTCGTGCTTGCTTTACAAACCGACTCCCGTTTAATACAACTTCCAGCTCGCACGTACCATAAAACTATAAAATTTGCATTCGGCTTTAATTGGCCAAAAATCGGACATGTATCGATTATTTGCTTCAAAGCAAAGCCTCCGGGGACCCATCAGCAGTAAACTTTCCGAAATCCAGGTTTTATCTTTATTGCTGAGGAAAGTTAATGTTTTTCAGCGCCGTGACGGCCAAGAGTCGGGAGGCAGTGACGTACGCAGGGGAAGGGGGCGGAGATATTTCAACATTATGGGATCGTAAGAAGGAAGAGGCTAAGTTGTGTGGCGATACGGAGATCAAGGAGGCGTTTTTCCCGAAGCGGCTTTCAGGCAATGCGACACATCCGTCACGGAACGAGACCACCAGAAAGAAGTAAATTAGCGGCGCGTGTAGGGCCTACGTTGTGTTTTTTGCGCGTCGTGCGTTTAATTTTCGGGCGAAGCTCCTCCAGGTCGTCGCGGAATGATTCGCGTTATCGACTAGCACTTACCTTCTCGAAGTTTGAAGCCTTCGCGGTAATAGCAGGCGAACTAGTTAGCACGGCGGCCGTAAAAGAGGGTTCTTTCGGGCCGTAGTTGTTAAATATTGATCAGACCCCGTAATGAAACCGGAGAAGTTATTTTGACCCCGTCTCGAGGAAGCAATCGGACACATCCAGGACCAGCCTCGGCCCGACTAATTATGGAATATCCGTTAATTAAAACCGCCAGCAATGCAATTAATCAATTCTCTATTGCGGCGCTCGGGGGACGTTCGACCCGCAAACGCACTACAAAGTTCGGAATTGTCCGCAATTGCCGTTTCCAGCGGCGGCATTTCCAAAACTGTATTCAACCGCGTAATCAATAGCCGCCCCCGTTATGCACCGCCGGGATTTTCCCGTCACTCTTAAAATTAGATGTCAATGCTTTGACGAAAGTTCAGCAGGTTAAGGATAAAGTTGACGCGCTGACGTGGCCGATTGAAGATGTTCGCCGTTCCGGCAGTTGATTCACGATTCACGTCTCTTCTTCCAGGACATCGACAGGGCGGGATAAATCGTCTCGGAATTCCCCAGCCGTGAATACGAAAACATTGAAGTAAGCAAAACTCAAACCGGATCGATCGCCCGTTAAAAACTATCCGATCGGGGCTCCGCGCGAAAAGACGCGGTTTTTGCCGCCGCTAATCACGCGCCTCATTTGGCCCATTGTTTCTGCCCCCGGAGCGCCACGACGCCGGCTTTGCCGCCGCTAATTGCAACCAAATTCATAATCCAAAGTGCACTCCGCAGATCAAAGCAAAGAGTATTATCGTCCCGTGAATGGGACGAACCCATCAATCCCGTAATGTGCAAATGCACGTTGAAGTGGGTGGCGGTACGTCGGTTGCAAACTAGCATAGAGGGCGCTAATGTTGCCGACAAATCCGTGCGCTTTGAGCAACTATGATGAAATGATTGTTTGACGTGGCCTGTGATTGACGAGTTAATCAATTGCACGGCGGGTCGGGAACTCGCTACTGCTTAGTTATT